TAGTTCATTTGAATAAAATAAACTCTGACAAAGCTGAAGAATCCATCATCCTGATGAATCAGGGGTGGGGAACCTTTTTTCTGCCAAGGGCCATTTGGATATTTATAACATCATTCTCAAGCTGTACAAAATTATCAACACCTTCATTCTTAAAAATCAGCCTGCTATATTTGGGCAAACATTTAATTAACTCATCCCTGATGTCTTGGCAGGGCCAGACCAAATGATTGGGGGGGCCTTATATAAACCTCAAGTCAGATGTTCTCCACCCGTGTGGTAAATGTCTCTACCATCCATCAATCTCACCAAGCCATATGGTGCACTTACGGTACGTACAGAATTTTAAAAGGTCTTATTATAGCACACCCTATTTTTTTTTCTCTCTGCAGCTTACATCTAACAAGTAGTTCTGGTCATATTTTCTCTTCAGTAAGTTCTCTATTAAATCCCCACCTTCTAAGAACTTCCATTCATCTGCTCTGTCCACTTGCCCCAGCACTGGTACAAATAAAGGAGACCTGGGGAGGTGGGAAAAAACTTGGACATCTGAAATGAGAGAAGGAAAACTGGATGGTCAGAGAAGCCGATTTCCCTCTCCCAGCTCCCTCAGGTTCACACAGCTTTTTTAGTAGCAGAACTAGAGCTGAACTGGTCTTCACCCATCCTTCTCCCCATCTAGGGTTCTTCCCACAACCAGAATGCACCCAGGGATTTGTGTTGAGCCTTCACGACTTGTTACCGATGTGACATTATCACCTAAACACAACTTTTTAAAACTAAAGGAAACACTAGTTTCCTAAATAATTTAACTCCACTGAAGTTATTCAGTATATAAAAGTATACAAAAGCACCATGGTAATCATTATATCCAGCAGTGCTCGTAGCATACCAGCAAATGTACATTTACAGAGCAGAATTTAGCAACATGCCTTAGAAGTCTACACTTTGATCCAAATTCTAGAAATTGTAGTAACAAAATAATCACAGTTATGTAAAGAAACACACAATATTTACTGCAGCTTATTTATAACAGTGAGAAATCAGAAATAACCTAAATGCCCAATAATAGGGAAATCAAATCAAATAGAACATCCATTTAATGTAATACCATGCAACAGCAAAATTGTAGAGGAAATATTAAAAGACACAGAAACAGGTCAACACATTACACTCATTGTACATGAATTTTTTTATATAAAAAAAATTTCTACAGCCGAAACCGGTTTGGCTCAGTGGTAGAGCGTCGGTCTGCAGACTGAAAGGTCCCAGGTTCGATTCCGGTCAAGGGCATGTATAATATCTAGGTTGCGGGCACATCCCCAGTAGGGGGTGTGCAAGAGGCAGCTGGTCTCTCTCATCGACGTTTCTAGCTATCTCTCTCCCTTCCTCTCTGTGAAAAATCAATAAAATATATTTTTTTAAAAATTTCTACAAATTAAAAAAAAGATAATACTATCCAAGAAAACACTAATTGCAGTTCTGGGTGGTAGGACTATGGAAAATGTTCACTTTATTTTCTTTACCCTAATTTTTCTACAAATAACATTGTTGGATTTTAAATTACAAGTAATTGTAAAAGTTATTTTCAATTATCCTACAGCTGAATGTGATGAATAATAGGGCTGTGGTTAAAAAATGTCAAATGTTTTTTACATAAACCTCTTGATACTAGTCCAGAAAGACCTCTTAACGCCGTCAGTAGGTTTCTGGAGACTGAAGCCAGATGACAAGACCAATGTGACCCTAGACCCGTGGTTGGCAAACTGCGGCTCCCGAGCCACATCGGCTCTTTGGCCCCTTGAGTGTGGCTCTTCCACAAAATAACACGGCCTGGGCGAGTCTATTTTGAAGAAGTGGTGTTAGGAGAAGTTTAAGTTGAAAAAATGTGTCTCTCAAAAGAAATGTCAATCGTTGTACTGTTGATATTTGGCTCTGTTGACTTATGAGTTTGCCGACCACTGCCCTAGACTAATACAACAGTTCCTACGGCATACTTCTCGGCACAAAAACATCACCAAACTTCAAAATAAAGATCCAAAACACTTCTAATCGTAACCATTTAAATAAATGTGAGCTGTGCATAAATTTGGAAGGATTAATAAAAACAGGTAAGAGAATTCCTTACCACTTCCAGGTCAAGGTCGCACTGCACTGCCCTGGGCATTGCAGCCGCGCCAGGGCGCCTCCTGGGCGTGCCTCCGGGATGCCAGGAGAACCCGAGTCCCCGGAGAAACCCACGCACACGGCGGTCCCGGCCAGGAATCTTTTTTTTTTTTTTTTCTCATCAACGTCAAAAGGAAACGACGTTCAGCAAAATGACGTAAAATGACGTTATTCCCACCAGTACTCCAAAATTGGACTTGCTCACACCTTACACTTAACACTGTATGTTTTCCTCTCCAGTTTACTTTGACCAGTAGTTCTGGGCATGTTTGCTCTATTAAATCCCCTCCTTCTAATACCTTGCTCTCCCTCCGGCCCTTCCCTCCTTAACATAAGGAAGCACACAAACTGTGATTGGAGTCATCTTGGAGAAGGAAAACGCGGCCAGGCGAACTGAAATGCTGGGGCTCCAGAAAATAAAATCACCCTGGCGCTCTGGCCAACTAAATGGCTCTCTAGAATGCTAATGCATTATTTTGGTTTATATTTGGAAATCCCTATTAAAGTTGAATTTTCCCCATGAAGCCCCAGAAAGAACGCAGCCCTGCGATCGAAATGGAAAGCACTCCATGTGCTTTTGCTGAGCTCCACTATCCTTTAAAAAATGCAACTTATCTCAGAATTGAGATCACCTATCTGTACACATCTCAAAAAATAGACCAGATACACAAATGCAGCCTAAATTGGACACCACACACAAATGTTTGAAATATTGATTTTATTAGGAAAGCATTAGATCATATAATCACTTGATTTAAAAATGTGACCAAAAAAATATCAATTAAAATTTGGATTTTTTTTCCCAACAAATATTTGAGTGCCACGCATTGGAGACACAGGCTAAACAGGAGGCTCCTTGCCCTCACAGAGCTCACATTCTAGCAGGAGGGCAATATTAGAGACCTGTTTATATTTCTGATAAACAGGTAAGATAGAAATGACAGAGGGAGTGATGGTGCTTTACAAAAGTACACTTGTATAGGTGACTAACCCAGCCCCCAAAGTCAGAAACAAAAAGATGTGTTTAAGAAGAGAGAACAGAACAGTTCAGGCAGAGGGAACCTATAGACCCTGAGGTGGGGAGGACTTTGTAGGTTCAAGGAAGTAGGATAGAAGGGCTGAAGCACAAGGGTGAAAAGAGGAGACAAGAAGATGAGACTGAAGAGGTGATGATCATGGAGGGCAATTCTACAGAGAACCAGTCAAAGATGTAAGATTTAAGGAAGGGAGTAGCATGACCAGATGTGCATTTAGAATGGCCACCCTAATTCTGGAGTGATGGAGATTGGACCAGGCAAGACTGGATGTAGGAGGACTACTCTGATGCCTATGGTAGTGAAAGACAAAGATAATTGGGGTATTCAAATGATGGTAGGAGATAAAGACAATAGAATTGACTGAATCTGCAGTTCCTGTTAGACAGATATCCAATATATCAGATATAGGTTTGCAGTTCAGGGGAGAACGGTGTTAGGAACTGTCAACAAGGAATCACTGTAACGAAGCCATAAGGGCTGAAATGGCCTGAACGATTAAATCAAGCATGAGACACACATACATTTAAGAATAAGGAGGTATGCCAGGGGCTGGGGGAAAGGGGAATGGGGAATTAGTGTTTAAAAACAGAATTTCAGTTTAGTATGATGAGACTTATGGATGGTGGTAATGGTTGCACAACAATGTGAACGCACTTAATGCCATAGAACTGTAGACTTAAAAATGGTTCAAGTAGTAAAAGTTATGTCCATTTACCACAATTTTTAAAAAGAGGAAATATTTTTGTGTACTTGTGTCTTTTAGAATAAGAATGTATTTTGAATGGCTGATTAAATATCAGGACAAATGGTGAAGAGAGCAGGAATCAGCAGAGGAAGAGGGACTGCAAAGGAAACGAAGAGAACAGAATGGCCAAAGAGGTCGGTAGAAAACCCAGAGGGTCACGGCGTGGAAGCGAAGGAATGCGTTTCTAGGAGCGAATGTCCAACTGATCTGAAAGCTGCAGAGAATTAAATCGGGAAAGTCGGGAAAGAATCCACTGGTTCCAGTAACGTGGAGGTCCACGGTGACGTTGGGAGGGCTATTGGCAGAGGAAGCCTGTGAGGGTAGGTGAGGAGAGAATGGGTAGGAAAGGAGTCCTGTATTATGGGAAGGAATGGGATGATAGCTAGAGGGAAAAATATTATAGATGCTTTAAAAAAAAAAGTGTTACATAATTGTGCATAATAAACAAAGCACCATTTCAGTGGAGATAAAACTTTAATAGTTTTGATAATTCCTGGAATTTATTGTTTACAGAACTTTTCATACTACTTGTGGGTTAGAAAGGATAAGTTATTATCTTCATTTCAAGGGTGGTAAAGCTGAGCTGAAGAAAAATCTAAGAAAACTCACGAGGAATTAAGGTTCTTCATGAAATAAATATCTTCATGGGAGTTTTAAAAAATAATTTTGTTTTGTTAATCCTCAACTGAGGATATTTTTTCCATCGATTTTTTTTTCTTAAGAGAAAGTGGAAGGGACAGGGATAGACAGGGAGACACATCGATGTGAGAGAAATATATCAACTGGTTGCTTCCCGCATGTGCCCCAATCAAGCCTGCAACCAAGGTACGTGCCCTTGACCAGATCAAACCAGGACTCTTTAGTCCAGGGGCCGTGCTCTATACACTGAGCCAAACCAGCCAAGGCTTCATCGATTTTTTTTAAGGTAAAAAGGTATAACGCACTATAATGAGAAAATTTTACTGTAACAGTCAAAATTGAAAAAGTCTAAAACAATGCTATATGAATGTATTGGTTTTTGGTACATGTGCAACAGAAGATGCTATATATTCCAGTTATATCCTAAAGATGCCAAAGTCTGTCTTCTCGATTGGTGCGTTGAGGGCTGCACTGAGACTGAGACCCAGGACCAGTCTGGTGTCCGCTGGATCAATAATCCCATCATCCCACAGCCTGATAAAAGAGCAAAATATGAGTTATTAGGAATCCACCACCAAACTACCATTTATACATGCCCTACCCAGAAATGCTGAGGAGGTTCTTATTCAGGTAATAATATATGGATCTATTGACAACTTCTGTGTACTATAATCTCACAACTGAAACCATGTTCGAGAGAGGGGAAAAGAGAGAAAGAAAATGATATGACTTTTATCCCAGGCTCCCACAGAATGTCAAATCAAATTTAGGGACTTAGGAACAGCTTTCTACAAGAAATCACAAAATAATCCCTAGTTTAAAAATATTTTTACTTATTCCAGGAAAAACTTTGCTGTTCCTCTTCTGCCCACACAAATGTACAAATCAAGGTGATGTATTCCTGTTATTAATATGAAGAATGATATAAACCCAAGTAATGGTCTCAAACCAAAGTCTCTACTAGAAAAGGTTTATCCCCCAAAACTTCCTCATCTCTTAAGAAACTATGAATAGAATACATTTTATTAAAATAACACCTTCCTATATAGTTCTTTATTTTTTGCTTCAACGGGAAAAAACAATAGAACTGCTTTCAGAAGAAACTTTTAAGTAGAAATTTTAGTTTGCTTTTCACTGACAATGTCAAATTTATAGAGAAAAATGAATGAGAAATATTGCTTTTTTTAAAGGTCATTGGTAGGTGGCACTGTTGCTTTCTTTAAACAAACTGCCTTCTGTAACTGGTTATAGCATCAATTATTAAACCATACTTACATAGACAGACCATGATTCAAATCTCTGCTCATAAAACATTCATAATAGGAAGTCTGCAGTATGAGCTGTCAATAAGAAAAGGCCACTCGTGTAATCTGTAACTAGGTCAATTGATTACACTTCCTTCTGAGGCCGACAGCGGAGTAATACAAGCACGATGATGCCAGGAGAGAGGAGACTGCTTCCTGAGGGTCTTTAAAAGGCTGTGAAGAGGCTTTAATCAAATGCCTGAAGAGTTTGATCATAAAAACAACTGAGCAGAATAAAACTGACATGCTGCATATGTAACATGTAGGATTGAGAAAAACATAGGAGGCCAGAGTAGCAAATGATGACAGCTCTCTCTGAAGACAGTTGAGCCATGTGAAAGCCTGACAGACCACAAGCTTTGAGGAGAGGAGATTTATTAAACTGAAGGAAGGTGCTATAAACTGGCTTACAAATCCCTTCATCTTTGAAAGGAAGTTGCTATCTCCATGCCACCGAGTGTTCCAACAGAAGGGTTAAACATTTACAAAATAAGAAATCTCACTGTCTTTCGTTATTTATTTCCAAAGGTAAGTTCATCTGGGCCATTGCTCTCCTGCCTTGAATATAACCCATTAAAAATAATAAAAATTTTAAGTATGAAAATAATAAAGGATTGAGTCTTTCTCAATAGATGGCTTAGCCATCACACAAAATATGCAATTTTTCAAAGTTTAATATTTCAACTGTTCTTGTGAATTTCAGCCGAAATGTTATGTTTAAAAGAATGTAGATGTGCTTACAAAATATATTTTCTCTTAAACCTTTTCTATGGTTTTATATTTCCTCTTTGCTTCTACTGGCTACTATAAAAGAACATGTTTATTTCTCAAATCAAAGACTATAAAATATTTTGTTCTTAATTCAATGAATTAGTGAACTACCCCAACAAAACATATCTATAAAATCAGTCATTAAAGTAGATGTTAACAAGAAGAGAAACAGATTTTTTTAAAATCCCAAATGGCATTATAATGATGCTCTGGGAAACAAATAATGCTTAGTCTTTGTGGCTCAGCACTAGAAGCAGTGCCTGCCACCAAAGATGTGTTCACATGATTGAAATAGATTCTAACTTCTCTCCCTCCTCTCCAGTAAATGGCATAAATCATAGCATAACCTAATTTTAAAAGACAAAAGTAGTCATTTTTTTTTCCCCATCTACCCCAGGGATGAAATGAATCCATGAAGCTTATTCTTCAGAATGCAAAACATTATTAAGTTGTCCAAAATAGAGATCTGAAAGTCCATGCCAGCAAGTCTCCAGCAGGGACAGGCGGGATAATTTATTACCTTATTAAGTGGTATAAGAAACAAGCAGAGCCAAGGGCTGCATAGGTATATGAGGTAATTATTCGGTGTTGACACAGGAGCCCTGTCTGTGACTAATCACCTTCTGAATGCACAAGCACACTTTTCACAAGTGCCAAAGAGTGTTTGGCTAATCCATGCTTAAAATGGGGTAAAAACAAAGTGATCCTAGAGAGGTGATGACAGGAATCCACAGATCTTAGCAATAACTATAACAGTACTAATTCTTATAAGTTATACAGCCAGGATTACAATTCTTAACGTCCTTGCCCCAGCATGGCCCTCCTCTGGCTGCAGTGCCCCTCCAGGCCCCAGACACCTCAAAGACAAATGGGATAGAGAAGGAGGGTTGAAGGGTGGCAGAATCAGACTGACGGTAATGGAGCCACAGCTTGGCCTGGGAGAAGGGGCTGTGCTTCAGCAGCAGGCATTTCTATTATGGAGACAACAGAACAAAACTGGGTCCCCAACATTACTTTTTGTTTCTCACAGAGGCTGGACCATCCTGACTGCCCAGATCTCTGTGAAGCTGTTGTCCTAATGGCCAACATGCATCCAGAAAGGAATTAGTAATTCTCAGGCTCCCACCTTGCACTGGAATAGTAAGGGTTTCCTTCCTCTTCAAACCTCTTAATAATGGGATCTTTTAAAGCAGCTTCCTCAGCGCTGGAGAACTGAAAGAAAAGGGCAAGGAATAAGACACTGCAGTGGAACACAGATCCGCCCAGAGCATCTCAAGAAAAAAGGGGCAAGAGATGTCATGGATGATACCATCAACATCTTATCTGCACAGTGAGGTATAGATGACTTACCTTTGGGTACAGGACATGTACACTGTGTTCTAGTAAAAAGCCTGCTCAGATTGGCCAGAGTCAGAGAGGCAGTCTATTAAAAAAAAGAACCGGCGTTGCCTCAGAAGTGGGGAGTAGCCTTATACAGCGAATATAGGCCTAAACCTATGTTTTAACTGTAAAATTAGGGGGTCGTCTTATACGCCGGAAAATACGGCAGTGATGCTCTCACATACACAGTCTCATGACTATCACACTAGTGCACCATTACATCTCCCTCATCAGAATCGAGAGCCTGGGCTGTGTGATGTAAGGTCAAAACCAAGGGCACCCCATATCCCAGCACAGTTCAGCGGTGATGTGAATTCTTCAATATAACAACAGGACTACATTACATTTATCAGCTTTTGTTTAAGAAGGTGGAGAAGCAGGGGGGTTCTTTTAAAATAGCTCAAATTTTAAACATTTTAAGGCTTAATGGGATAAAATGTCAACCACAACTTGAATAACCTCTATAGTTTCCCAGATATCTGAGAGATATTCTTCCTTAATTAAAAATTCAATGGCTTGCCCATCAGTATTGCCAGAAACGAGTGATAATTCAGATGTAAGAACCTTTCTGAAAGTCAATTGTGAAACATTGAAAAAGTATTTTCAACTTTAAAAAATTCCACACAAAAACTAATGCCTTATTTCAAATAAATCCAACCTTTTTTTAAAAAACATATTTTCATAGTTTAATATCATTTGTAGGTAAAGAATTCAGAGAGAGAACCACTAAAATCATGTACTTTCATTTATTAAAACAGATGAATTAATATATCTGTATATCAAATTAATTAAAGGACAACTATTAAAAGCAGATCACCATGCTGGGCTGAAGTTTAGGACATATCAGGTAGAATTTCATATTTCTCCCACCGCTGTTACCCTTACACACACACACACACACCCACACACACACACAGCTTTCCTTTTGCTTAGACACTGGATAATACTAAAGTGAATCTGAAACCTCAGTTTTGGTCTTCAGAGTTCCTTGGGGATATGGGATATTGCCAGGGAGTCAGGAATCATCCTCCCGCTTTTTATTATCCCATTCCACAAACAAGATGGTTGACCAGACAGATGCTTCCTAAATGGTAGGACTTAGAGCCTGTGAAGACAGGGCCTCCTTAATATTATCCCTGTTATGAAAACAGTGCACCTAGCAATTTCAGGAACGTGAATTCATTTTTAAGGCTTGGTGCTTACACAAAATAGCTAAAAGCTGTAATTTCAGAAGCCTCTCTAACAGAGAAATGAACAAAGAAATTCATTTTAAAAGCAGCCACTTGCTGACATGCCTTTCAAGCCTCCAGTGCCCTTTCCATTTTACTTCACTTACACTTTCCCAATATAATAATGCTAATCAATTTTCATTACGTGACTGAGCCCTCCCACTCAAGGAATCCTTCACAACATGCTAAAAGTGAAATAGAAAAAACAAAATTCTGCTGCTTTGGGTCATAAAATCAAAGGCGTAAACCAGATTTATTTAAAGCTCACTAACAGTGAACAGAAACTTAAACATCTTTGTGCCACAGGCACTCTCAGGCAGCTCCCTGTAGTGCTTTCCTGGAATTATGAAAGACTCTGTACGTAACCACAGAAAGGTACCTCAAATGAAATAGTGCAAAAAAGAGAGAGAATATAAGTCTAAATTCCTCAAACAACTTCCAGGTCAGTGTCTTTTAAACGGCCAGGATCTTCACGTTGTACTCCTGACCCCTGGTACAACAGGGTGTGCCCTGGTGAGAGTCACACTCAGAGACGGAAGACAGGAGAAATGGCAGCACTTACCTGTTTCCCTTCCCTCGCTCTCTGGTCCTTCGCTATTGTTGCCAACACGTTGGCTGCCTGCTCTCCTCCCATCACTGAGACACGAGCATTTGGCCAAAGGTAAAGAAATCTTGGGCTATGCAGGGGAGAAAAGAATGATCAAATTAATTGACTGTACAACACAGAAAGTGTAAGAGACCCATGTGTACCTTTTAAACTAGTGGTTCTTCATTCTAGCTGCATTAAAATCATCTGGGAACTTTAAAAATACTAATGCCTGGAACCCACCTTACACTAATCTCTAGAGATGGGGCCTGAAAAATAGAATTTTTATGTTCTCTAGGTGATTCTGATGTCTATTTTGATACACATTTCATGAAAATACCCTATATAATAAAAGGGTAATATGCAAAATGACCCCCACAGTGGAACAATCACAACTGATGCTATGATGTGCACTGACCACCAAGGGGCAAACACTCAATGCAGGAGCTGCCCCCTGGTGGTCAGTAAGCTTCCACAGAGGGAGCACCACTCAGCCAGAAGCCAGCTCATGGCTGACAAGCATAGCAGCGGTGACAGGAGCCTCTCGCATCTCCGGGATGGACATCTAAGAATGTCCAACTAACAACTTAGTCAGACATCCCCTGAGCACTCCCACGTTGCCAGAGGGATGTCTGACTGCCAGCTTAGGCCCAAACGGGATCAGGAATTAAGCCATCATTTAGACATGCCATGAGGGGTACCGGACTGTGAGAGAGCACAGGTGGGGCTGAGGAACCCCACCCTCTCCCCCCAATACATGAATTTTTCGTGCACCAGGCCTCTAGTATTGAGTATAAAAGTTTTCAAGATATCCTCTTATTATCATGGTCATGTCCTGATTTTCAGTCTAGATATGGGTTACTTGTGCTGTCTCACTTTATCTTTAAGTTTTACCAGGGAATTAGCAAGTTTGTTAACCTTTCAACAAAGCAACTTGGGTTTTCCTGATTCTTCTGTTTTATGTTTGTTCTTTATTATGTCCTGTCTTCTATTTTTCTTGTGTTCAAAATGCTCTTCTTTTTTGAACTTTCTGAGCTAGCTACTTGGCTCATTGATTTTTTGGCCTTACTTCTTTTCCATGATATTTATTTATCTCTACATACTTTTTCAAAGCAAGACTTTGGCTACATCACACGAGTTATGACATGCGAATTTTCATTACCAGACATTTCAAAATATTTCCTAATTCCCACTGTGGATTTCTTCCAAAAGTACCATTAGCATTAAGTTTCATTTTGCCCCTCCAGATGATACAAATTATGGTATTAATTACTTGAGATTTCTGAATGCCATTCTATATTTCAAATAAACCTAATCATTTATAATTATACATGAAGTATGAGTCTTTCAGAGAAAATCATGTCAATCACCTACCTGTACGCTCTGCCACACATCCCATAGTTTCCAGCCCCGTAGGATCCACCAATGATGACAGTTATCTTAGGCACTTTGGCACAGGCTACAGCAGTCACCATCTTGGCACCGTCCTTGGCTATTCCTTCAGCTTCATAGTCTTTACCAACCATAAATCCTGAGAGAAAGAACAGAAAGAATGCCTCTGGGTGACAGGATTAATGTGCAGAAGTTAATCCCACCAAGGCATTAGAAGGACATCTTGTCCAATTATATTTTACTACAGGCCTCACCCTAACAAAATACTTACATGTGAAATGTGCTCCCAAAAAAAGTTTTCTTTAAAAGCTAAAATAAAATGAACCCTTATCACTTTTTAAATTTTCTTGAAATGGTTCATCTGGGTATACAGAGATCTTCAAACAAGGTTAGGATGCAATTTATCTTTAAGAAATTATCTCAGAACAGTAGCCTGGTGATGAGGGAACGTGAAATGGCAAACTAAGGAAAAGGTACTGCGGCAAGGCGAACTGTGAGAGAGCTGTGGTGTCCACTGACCTGGTTTAAAAATAGAGAGTGTTCCTCTGCTTTGCTGCTTAAACTTTGATGAAACAAACATTAATGTTTCACAGAGATGTTAAGCGTACCCGTCAGCGACTCAACAGCAAGGGAAGAGAATTTTTCATTGTAATTATGGGCTCCTTCTACTTCTTTGCGCTCCCATCTCCACTGAACCTGGTCTGCAGCTGCCCTGGGCCTGCAGGCTTTGGGCTCCTTCCTCTTCACCTAATAAACACCAACTCAGGCTTCACGTGTCCCTCTCTCCACCTGCAGACTCACAGCCAACTTGTTTGTCACTGCTCTTGCCTTGCAAATCTCCACCATCAAATCATCCAATTCAGTTCAACCAGTTTTGAGGAGCACATATACTTGCTATGGAAAAGGTAGTGACAAGACATGCCTCGTCTCACCAGGCACCAGCTGCTTCCTCCAGCAACCCCTCTGAGCTGGGCCCTCAGAACAGCTCAAAACTCCTTTATCCCCCTTATCTTGATTCCTGTAATGTTCCCACAATATCTATCTCATTATCTACCCCTCTTAAACCTCTCACTACCCCCCACACTTAACTGCCCCTCTAGTTCCTGTAGATGATTTTTTCTTTAAAAAAAAAAAAAAAAAAAAAAAAAAGAAGAAGCCATCTCACTTGGCTTTCTCCATTCTTCTTTCCATTTGAAAACAACAACATAATCATAATCAATTCTCTCTGTATTCTCACCTCTGTAGAAGAAATCAAAGTTACTCACAGATTGTCCATAAGTCCTCTTATCTATTCCCATAGCTTTAAATACCATTGCCATATTCTGATGTTTTTCACTTCCAGTTAACACATCCCTTCTGTGCTCAACATTTGTCAACTGTCTACTATATGTCTCCAAATGGATGCCACACAGGTCCCTCAAATGCAACGTTGCAAAACCAAACTCAACCTCTGCTCTGAGTCATGAGTCACTGTAGAAACAAGGCCCTGCCCTGGTGAAGCTACTTTTTCTCTGCCCATTTTATGAGGTTGCCACACAGTGCCCTCAGGCTTCCATCTGGATGTGACTCCTCTCAAAACTCATCTAGCCAATTACCTTAAAGTTAAGATGAAGATGCATTAGCACCAATAATATTTAAAGCCCTCCTGACTGTAAAGAGCCAAACTTCTTCTCATGAAGGTTTGCCTGATCCCAACAACTAAGAGGCTCTCCTCCTTTTAAACCTGAGATAACCATAGATGACTTAGAAGACTGGGGGAAATAAGTTTTCAGTTAACCTACATTTCTGAGTGTATCCTTTATGACATATACAAAAAAGTATACATGGAAGAATCATGGAATTCTTTGAAAAGAACTCTAGAGCCTTAAGAGACCTTAAAAATCATTTTATCCTCCACGTGAAGATCATCTAGGGAACATGAAATCCAGAGAGTTCACACTGATCAAACCACTCTTTGGAATAAAAAATTCAAATCCTGGGGATATAATGTATAGCACAGGAAAGACAGTCAATAATACTGCAATAACTATCTATAGTGAAGATGGTTACTAAACTTATTGTGATGGTCACTTCTTAAGCTATACTGACAGTGCAGCTCTAGATTAAGTTCAACCAAACTAAATACACTATTTTCTTACCAGTAATGTTTTGTAGAAACAGCAGAGGAATTTTCCTTTGGCAGCATAGCTGGATGAAGTGAGCACCCTAGAAGCAAATAAGATGAAAATCTTTACATCAAAATGAAAAGCTTCTGCACAGCAAAAGAAACCATCAAGAAAACAACAATAAAGCCCCCTGCATGGGAGAACATATTTGCCAATGTTACATTTGGTAAGAGTTTAATCTCAATAATTTATAGTGAACTCATACAAGTTAACAAAAGGAAGATAAACAATCCAATCAAAAAATGGCCAAAGGACCTAAACATTTTTCAAAAGTGGACCTACAGAAGGCCAAGAGACATATGAAAAAATGTTCAAAGTCACTAATCATCTAAGAGATGCAAATCAAAACAATGAGATACCATCTCACACCTGTCAGAATGGCTATCCTCAACAAATCAACAAACGACAAGTGCTGGCGAGGATGTGGAGAAAAAATAACCCTAGTGCACTGCTGGTGGGAATGCAGACTGATACAGCCACTGTGGAGAACAGTATGGAATTTCTTCAAAAAATTAAAAATAGAACTCCCATTTGACTCAGTAATCCCACTTCTAGGAATATATCCCAAGAAATCAGAAACACCAATCAGAAAGAATATATACACCCCTATGTTCATAGCAGCACAATTTACAATAGCTAAGATTTGGAAACAGCCTAAGTGCCCATCAGCAGATGAGCGGATTAGAAAACTGTGGTACATCTACTCAATGGAATTCTACGCTGCTATAAAAAAGAAGGAACTCTTACCATTTGCAACAACATGGATGAAACTGGAGAGCATTATGCTAAGCGAAATAAGCCAGGCAGAGAAAAATAAATATCCCATGATCTCACTCATTTGTGGAATATAATTAATAACATAAACTGATTAACAAAAATAGATTCAGAGACATAGAAGAATCAAACAGATCATTGAACCTCAAGGGGGGGGGGGTGGTAAGAGATGAACCAAAGGACTTGTATGTATAAATATAAGCATAATCAATAGACACACAGACAGTAGGGGAGTGAGTGCCTGTACTGGGGGGAGGGGGCGGGAGCAGGCTGGGAGAAGTCAACGGGGTGGTGGCTACGCAGGAGACATATGTAATACTCTTAACAATAAAGAATTTAAAGTAAAATAAATAAATTAGAAAATCTTGAAACATGTTTAACAGTACTTGCCTTTTTTGCAGATTCAGAAAAGAGAACTCCATTATTTCCAATGATGCCAATTGGATATCCAAATATTCTAGCAAATCCTCAAAAGAAAATGGAAATAAAGAGTTATGTACTTCAGAGGGCTTTTAATTCACAACAAACATATTTAATATCTTTTAATTTCAAATCAAAGTTTAAAATGTACAGATTTTGTCTAGGGTATGCACCAGCTCATGTCACATTTTATTTCTAAAGTACTGGAATCTGGATTTTTTGCTTTCTTAAAAGGGGCTTGTCACATGTAAAGGGTTGTACCACCTGTCTGACTGCTTGGTTTGGTTAGATTGTAACATATGATATCTGAGGGCTCGCTGTGTACCAGACTTGAAGGATATTCTAAAATAGAATAACCAAAGATAAACAGTCCTTTAAAGGTCAATGTTCAAAACTATGGGCCAGTTTCAGGTAATTAGCTTGCCTGAAAATGCCTGTGGTAATGACAGGCCCTTGAAATGAAGGGGAACCCTAACAGGTTTGGCTTAGTGGATAGAGCACCAGCCTGGAGACTGAAGGGTCCTAAGTTTGATTCCGGTCAAGGGCACATGCCCAGGATCAATCCCCAGTGGGGGTTATCCAGGAGGCAGCCAATCAATGATTTTCTCATCATTTATGTTTCTATCTCTCCTCTTCTCTCTTCCTCTCTAGAGTCAATGGAAAAGGAAGGAAGGAAGGAAGGAAGGAAGGAAGGAAGGAAGGAAGGAAGGAAGGAAGGAAGGAAGGAAGGAAGGAAGGAAGGAAGGAAGGAGAAAGGGAGGGAGGGAGGGAGGGAGGGAGGGAGGGAGGGAGGGAGGGAGGGAGGGAGGGAGGGAGGGAGAGAGATACACTTAGCAAAGACAAATTAAAACAAAACAAAACAGGAACACTGTCAAGCCTGGTGATAACCAAGTTTAAAGAAATCTAAATAAGCTTAGAAGAAAAATGCATCACTCCAATTTCATTTTCTCAGTTTGCATCTTTTTCTTTCTTCTTTCCATAAGTTTTGTTTATATTTCTTAAAGGAGAAGAAAAGAAGGGAAAGATGATTTGGTGAGGTACACACTTTAGATGATTTCAGGAGATTATTTTGTGAACCTGAAGCCCTTAACTAGAGAGATCTTTCAAGAATAATTCTCAACAAACCTACTTATGACTATATATAGATGTCAAATACATGGAACCCAAGAGTCAACAGCTGTGCTGGTTGACGTGGGTCAAAGGCAGCATGCTACCAGCGTTTCTAGAACCTGGCTCTGTCTTCAAGCTCAAGGAGGACAAGTTGCCATTAAGACACCCAGTATGTGATGCCTGACACAAAGCAGGTGCTTAAAAAATTAATAGGTAAGACTGTTCTGTTGTCTATTGACAAGCAGAACACTAAATTTTTAAAATTCTATTTTTGTTCTTTATTCTGATCTTTGATTTGTTTTTAATTATGTTTATATAAGGTGATAAAAATGAAATACTGATCAATGGTCAACTAGATTTCTCTTGGTCTTTCAGGCCTAAAATCTAGCCACATCCTCACTTGCATTGCCATTTAGAATCAATGTAGAAAGGGGTGAACTTCCCAAACAGCTCAGCGATCCACTTTGAGTCCTGCCCCACCCACAGAAAGGCTGGGAACTTGGCTCACCCTCCTCCCCCCCCCCCCCCCCCCCCCGCAGTAAGGTGCTGTCCCAGAAGATATCCTGCTCTCTTCACTCTTAGACTTTTAGCCCGTCCTCAGCCCATCCCCAGGCACAGGGCTAGTGAGTGGGGCACATGCCCCACTGAAATAGGAGCACCTATGAAGGGAGCACCTTCACCAGCTTCCTATGGGCCAAACAGGAAGTAAAATATCCAAGAAACTACTAGGGCCAGCAAATGGCAAGTGCAAAGGCAGGAAGAAACCTTTAGGAGCTGCCTGGGACACCTGATCCCAAATGAAAAATCTGTTCTTTGCCTCCTCATTCCTCCCCCGAAATGGCCCTTACCTTCTCATGTTCCCCGACTCTTCTTTTCATTCCCCGCCCCCCCAACCTTACTTAATGCTGTCAAGAAGAGATGGAGGAAACTGGCTATATCCCTAGTATTGTAGGGGACAAAGGTACCACCAGTTTTTTAGCAAGTACAGGCCAAATACATAAAAAGAGACAATGAAAAAAAAAGAGAGAGACAATGAGGACAGCCCATCCATCTTGAGAAAGAAGCAGAAACAGTGCGAACTTATTTTAAACTGCCCCACATTGAGGGTTACATCCTGAACTATTAAGTGGCAAATCCTGTCTATATATCAAACAAAAGCTCTTAAACACCTAAATACAAAAACATAAATTCCACTCCCAGTGTCAACCCTTCTCTTGCTCATAAATCAGATCAAGAGAAAGTGTGGTGACTTACCCTTAAGCTTCAATGTATATTTGCAAATTGGATTTTTTACAGCTGGTTGTTTATTTTACTCTAAAATGTTGTCTTCAGACTAACTGCTACATTTTTTAGCTTTTATCAGACAAAAATAAAATAAAATAAAAAAAGCCCACATTTCTTTTGCCATTTGTCCAAGATAATTATGGGTCTAGCATCTATGTTTCAAATACTTTTCTCCAAAGGCCTACAAACTTAACACTTCAGGTGAATGAATTACTTCTATAAATATCCTTGTTTTGTTTTTTCAGATTTGGTATTCCGTCCTATATTCTGGATCTAGTATTTGCATAAATCAACATAAGACCTATACAGAGGTCATGAGGTTTAACTCAGTCTGCATCCTCCCAGGAAGTTTAAACATTATATACAATTTCCCAATTGAATTAGAGACTAAATAATTGTGCTGAGCCCAGCCAGTGTGGCTCAGTTGGTTGAGTATTCTCTCATACACCAAGAGGTTATTAGTTCAATTCCTCATCAGGGCACATGCCCAGATAGCAAGCTCAATCCCCAGTAGGGGGTGTGTAGGAGGTGGTTGATCGATGTTTCTCTCTCTCATTGATGTTTCTATCTCCCTCTCCCTCCCCCTCTCCCTTCCCCTCTCTAAAAAATCAATAAAAACATATTTTTAAATAAGACAGTGCTGAAATTTTCAAAAATAGTTATCCAGAGAAACAAAAAGAATTACAAATATTTCTGCTAATTTGACAATAAGAATTTTTTTAAATGTATCTTTATTGTTAAAAGTATTACAGATGTCCCCTTTCTTTCCCCATTGACCCCTTCTAGCTCTCACCTGCCTCCCACCCCAAGCCTTCACCACATTACTGTCTGTGTCTATGGGTTATCGATATATGCATATGTTATTTGGTGAATCTCTTCCCAACCACTTACCCATCCTCACCTTCCCTCTGAGATTCAACAGTCTGTTCCATGTTTCTATGTCTCTGGATCTATTTTGTTCATCAGTTTATTTTGTTCTAAACTTTTTATACAGCTAATGCTGCTAAGTCACAGATAAAGACCTATACCACAGTATCTAGACATCATCATTTAAAACTCTGGATCCATGAAGCCATTCAGCTTCAACTGATCTTTATAAAGCAACTACCTTTAAAAACTGACTCACACATTTGTACTGCTCTAAATAACAAAGCTCATGCCAAGTGCAACAAAGCCTTGAGACAAGACAACACTTATTTTCAAGCAACAAAAAATGTTCACATTCAATTCTTCATCTTTATACCTGTTACTAATGTGTCTCCATATAAGGCTTTGAACTCATTGAATCTGCTTCCATCCACAATTCTAGCAATGACCTAAGAGGAAAAAAAACAATGTCCCTAAAAATTACATTACAAAGGAATTGTTACATTAAAGTTACTTATAAGAAAAAAAAATTCATAGTGAAGTTGTCACTTTCACAAAATGTCACCCTACACAGAAAATCTTCTCACTAGAATTTCACTTTCATATGAAGTCATTCTGGGCTCTGATTTTACACTTCACTATAGAAGTACTAACGCCGTGTTGATACCAGAGAAGCAGAGAGCTGGTTGTCAGACTCAAAGCTTCAGTGGCTGTTCAAATGTACTGGCCTAGGGTCAGGGATTTAATCAGAAAGCAAGATAGAGAGCTTAGTCAAAAGACCAGCCTCCAACTTGAGGTATCACATATGATTTGTGTGTCCTGGAGTAAAGTCATTTAACCTCTCTGAGTCTCAGTTCTCACTTCTGAAAGATGGGACAGAGTTGTGAAGATGTGATGACATAGTAGCTAAATAACCTAATAAAATAATGCTGAGAAGAAAAATCAGCTCTGACTCCCAGCTCTACCAGTGAGAAATTAAGAGCCACAGCCTGGCTAGCTAAAATCCTCTAAGCCTCAGTTTCCTCATCTGTTTTAAAAAATGGTAAGACTAAAAAGTGCTAACCACAGCACACTTCCTAGCTGTCATTAAAAGGTAGCTATTATTATTTTAAGCTTTTGAAGGGGTTCAGAAGAACAGATGCTACTTTGACATATGGATTATTTTAAGATGAAGGTAACTGAGACCCTACCAGATCATGAAAAACTTTTACATCTCCCTTAAAGAATTAAAATTAGGGGCCTAATCTATACTCAGAATTATTACTGACCTATCTATAAGGCAGGGAGAAATTCTAATTGTTGAACATCTGTTCTTCTTAATGTCCTGCGAATGACCCTCCTCCCTTCTGAAGCCCCAAGGCGCCTTCCTTCATCCTTAGCTCAGAATGCCATATATATCTCATTTTAACTTTCTGTCCCTGAACCTCTCATGTATGTGGGGTCTCTCTCATGTATGTGAGGGTTCCACACATACATGCATAATTAAATTTGGCTGTTCTCTTAATCTAATCTGCCTTGTGTAGATTTCATTGTTAGACTAGCCGAAAGAACCCTGATGGGTAGAGGAAAGTTTCTCTCTCCCCCCCACCTTCAATAAAAGTTTACTGATTCTGAATGTGATAATAAAGGATCACCCCACATACATATAGTAGTATAATTAACCTAAAAGGATTTCTACTCCTTTTAGGTTAAGGTATACACATATGAGAAGACGGACAGCAAGGTTTACAGTTCATAGTTCCACTTTACATACCTCTCGGACATCAAAGTTCCTCTTAAGGTTAGCGCCCACTATTCCATACAATTCATCTGCTGGAAATAAAGGTTCTTCAGAAGGTTCAATGGTAACCTGCAAAACACACAAAAAAAATTCTATTAACCATTTTTAAAACATTATTTCAAGACTCAAGGCTTAGTGCATGAATTTGTGCACCAGTGGGGTCCCTCAGCCTGGCCTGCACCCTCTCAAAATCCGAATACCTCAAGGGATGTTGGACTGCCGGTTTTGGCCTGATCCCCACAGGCCAGGCCGAAGGACCCCACTAGTGCATAATTCCATGCACCAGGCTGGTTTTGGCCCAATCCCCACAGGCCAAGCTGAAGGACCTCACTGGTGCACAAATCCATGCACTAGGCCTCTATTATGCATATAAGATCATTGGTTAATCTCTTCCTGCCCTCCTCTCTCTTCTCCCTTTCCCTCTGAGATTCATCAGTCTGTTCCATGTTTCCACATCTGTGGTTTCTGCTCCTGTGTTGAGCATCTGCCTCTGGTGGTCAATGAGCATCATAGCTACCGACCAGTCAGCTGGTCGTTTAGGCTTTTCTAAATATAGATGACATAAGCCAAAAAGCTTTTCAGAAAAAATAAAAGATATAAGAACTCATCCAACTCACATCCAATTTTTTCTGATAATTGAGACTTCTCACAATCTTCCTAGTTAAGTGAAGGGCGTGATTATCATCCAAAGCATAGTAGTCAGTGACTCCGGACTTTCTATAGGGCAAAGCACACTAAAATATCAGATTAGAGAAAAAGAAAAATGAAATATCTTAAGCCCCAAATATCTTCTCTCATCTAAAAATGGCATCATTTTTACTTCCAAACCATTTTAATAAATTATATTTAATTTGTTCTTCATAATGTCCCTGGCAAACATTGTCATGTCCCTGGTATCATCCTTGCTTTACAAACAGGAAAAACAGGTATGCATAGAACCTTGCCTAGAACCACCAGTAACTGCATAGGAATCCATGCCTCTATTTCTGTCTTGACTTCCTTCAACTAGACCATGGGGCCTTGCTGATAAGGACTTCTATTTAATGGTCATCCAACATATATCAAACAAAATTCTACAAGGTAAGTACAACCACAGATGACACACTTTCATGATGCTGTTGGTAACAACAAAAAGTTTTTGTACCTAACTGAGCTCCTAATGAAGATGCCAACTATGGCCTCACGTTCTGAAAGACTGTTGCGCTCCCTCCCTCTAAAGTTACACCTAAAAGCAATCTGTCATAGGGTAACAAGTGCAAAGGTTTAAGACACTGTCCCTTGGATTATGGGTAAAATGGGTATTGCTAAAATGATTCTGTCTTAAGGGCCAAGGAAGTTTCTATTCAATTTCAAGTTCAGTGTCAATGCAATATGGGTTTGCCTGGTTCTGTTCCAATTAGATGGCTTCTTGTTTCAGAGGTAAAGTACTATGACTTTTTAATAAAGTATAAACAAAATGGTAAAGTTAGGCAAACTATATACCTGAAACAAGCAGAATTTTAGTTCATTTTATGAGAAAGGATTAAGCTGCTGCAATCTCAATTTTGATATCTTTTCTAGGGAAAAAGCCAAACCCTTGGGAGACATTTCTTAGAACTGTGCTCGCACAGTGGTTTTGTGTCACTCTCCACCTCTGGATTGGGTGTCCCTGAATAAAAGCAGAGACTGTACTTGCTCCTCATTACAGCCTTCCAGTGCCTTTGCAATGGCAAACCCTTCCCTTTCTCTAATTTAATAAGATAATTTACAACATCTTTTAAATGCTTCATATATAATACCAGCTACAATTGCTGACCTCTGACTGTAGTAATTCAGAAAACAAACAGAAGCAAAAGGAATTGCTTCCAAATCAGTAAATATCTGTACTAATAAACAGATAACATGCTACTTAGACTGGACATCTTCCGGACATCCTTCCTGGACAAAACCACAGTGGCGGGGCCGAGGGAGAGGCAGTTAGGGGTGATCAGGCTGGCAGGGGAGGGTAATTAGGGGCAATCAGGCTGGCAGGAGAGGGCAGTTAGGGGTGATCAGGTCAGCAGGGGAAGGCAGTTAGGGGCGATCAGGCCAGCAGGCAGAGGTTGTTAGGGGTGATCAGGCAGGCAGGCAGGTGAGCAATTAGGAGCCAGCAGTCCTGGATTGCAAGAGGGATGTCCAACTGCCGGTTTGGTCTAAACTGGCAATCAGACATCCCTCAAGGAGTCCTGGATTGGAGAGGGTGCAGGCTGGGCTGAGAGGGTCCCCACCCCTAACCCCACCCCCATGCACAAATTTTGTGCATGGGCCTCTAATTTAAAATAAAATGCTTTTTTTTTTTTTAAAGCTGCCTAGTATTTACCAAATCAGAAGGAAAGGGAAACCTCTGATGAGGCATCACATTTACATAAGTCTTTGTGTCAAATTAATTCTTCCTGATGACTAAACAGAGAGGTATAAATATGTATTTATAAAAACAGAGAGAATCTTTGTAAATACACATTTATCACTCTTTGATTAGACAGAGAGATCCCAAAGCAATTTGTGACTAGCAAATTTTATGACATTATTCCCAAAAAAAAAGCCATCACCATCTAATCATTGTCCCATGATTCTAAGCAGGTTAAGAATAATAGCCGGTAGTAATAGGGTTCTTAGTACGCACCAGATGCTGTGCTGAGGTAAGAATTATCCTTTCCTTTGTTTTACGCATGAGGAAATAAGGCTCTGGAAGGTTAAGTGGTTTGTCTAGTCACAATGGAAATAAGTGAGGCGAATGAAAGATGAATTCTAGAATCTACCCTAAATTGATATACTTTCTACAGCTTTCATGGGCACTGGGTTACATTTTTTAAAGTCAAAAAAATTTTGTTAATAATAAATACTATCTTCTTCACCTTCCCCAGATTAAGCTCCTACAAACAGTAACAGCCACACTGTCCTGTACCCACTCACCCTTTTCTACCTGCGTCCTCTTTCTCCACAGGTTGAAACATCCACTCACTGTCTCCCTGCAACAGTCAGTAAATGGTCAGATAAGGCAGTCACGCTGCATCTCTGCTCATACAGTTGTGTTCACCTAAATGAACAAGTGTCCTGTTCAAATTCAGGCAGACCCTCAAGCTCTCCCTCAAAGCTTTTCTATGTCTCCCTCAACTCTAGTCATTCTTCCTTTGGCCTCTAGTTGTAAAATTGGAAGTATGCTAGCATATTTTGTCATTGTTTTTAATTCATTCATTTATTTCTCTTAGCTGCCTAAATAAATAAAATTATAAATCCTGAGATTAGGGACTAGGGCTAAAATATCTCTGTATTATTCATTAACAGTACAATCAATCTATTCAAAATAAGTGTTCAGTGAGAAAGGAATGAAAACCTGGGGCAAAGATAGGCCCCTAAATCAAACCTTTAATTGCATGGCAGTGTTCTTTGATAGAAAAGCAGAATTATTTTTTTTTATTTTATTGATTTTGTACAGAGAGGAAGGGAGAGAGATAGAGAGTTAAAAACATCGATGAGAGAGTCATTGATCAGCTGCTTCTTGCACACCCCCTACTGGGGATATGCCCGCAACCAAGGTATATGCCCTTGACTGGAATCAAACCGGGACCCCTCAGTCCCCAAGCCGATGCTCTATCCATTGAGCCAAATCGGTCTCGGCGGAAAGCAGAATTATTATACCCATCTGCCTCCCTAGGTTGGTTGTGGTTGGAAGATCAAAGATAGGTTTACCACTCTAGAATCTGATGATTAGACACTTGCCATTCAGGTCTGGGTTCTTTAGGGTATAATCCTGGGCCCTCCTCTACATCTATATTCACCTGGGGGTGAGTTCATCTCATCCTATGGTTTTACAGTCCATCTCTATGCTAAGGACTCCCATATAAAGAACTCTAGCACCGGTCTGGGCTCTGGACTCTTATAGCTAATTGCCTCATCAGCATCTCTACTTGGATGTCTCAAGCATCTCTAACTTATCAGATCCAAAAGGACTGCTTGATCCCCCTGCCCCATCCTCAAATCTGCTCTCCACCCTGCCTTCTTAATCTCAGAAAGTAAAGCCATTTCATGTCACCATCTTTTGTCATCTCACCTCCTTGCACCCCTTAAATGAAATCCATCAACATGTCTCTGAATTCCACCTCTAAAATAGAGTTCAACTCTGCTAACCCCCCTACCTTCACTACCACTCTAACCACCTAAGCCACCAGCATCTCTCACCAATGCTACTGATACCCACACCCAACTGGTCCCCCATGTAGACTCTTGTCAACACTCCAACAATTCTGTACTTAGTAGCCAGAGAGAGTTATTTTAAATGAAATATTTGGTGATAGCACATTCTGCTTAAAGCTTTTCAATGGTTTTCTAATTACTCTTTTTTTAAAAAAGGTCCAAAACCCATAATGTCTAATTATGATGATAAAAAACAACAGTAATAATGGCAATTAACATTTATAGGTATTTATTTAAAGCAGGTATTATTTCAAGCAATTTACATTTATTGTCTCATTTATCCTATTAATAAAAGAGTAATATGCAGATTGACCATCACTCCAACACACAAGATGGCTGCCCCCATGTAGCCAAAGACCCTGCCCCCATGTGAACACAAGATGACCACCACAAAATGGCCAGCAGGAGAAGGCAGTGGAAGGGACCAGTCCTGCATAGAAGGGCAGTTGTGGGTGATCAACCCTGCAGGGGAGGGCAGTTAGGGGTGACCAGGTCGGCAGAGGAGGGAAGTTGGGGGCAAACAAACTGGCAGGGGAGCAGTTAGACATCAATCAGGCTGGCATGGCAGTGGTTAGGGGGTGAATATGCTGGCAGGCAGAAGCAGTTAGGGGCAATCAGGAAGGCAAGCAGGTGAGCAGTTGGGAGCTAGCAGTTCTGGATTGTGGAGGGATCCCAGATTGGAGAGGGTGCAGGCTGTGCTGAGGGACACCACCAAACTCCCTCCCCCTCTGTGCACGAATTACATGCATCGGGACTCTAGTCACTTCATAAAATTCTAGGAGGTAGATGGTCTTCTTACCCCTGAACTCTAACCTGAAGTAGTTGGACCAATGATGTGCAGAGCAAGCTGGCACTTGACTCACAAGAGCCTACTGTGTGCCAATCTCTTGCTGACTCCACACTCAGCTGCATCCTGTTGATAGCTTAAAATCAGCTGTGGTGGAATAATTTATACTACAAAAATGGTCAGATGCCACAAAGCAGGGCTTTTCCCTCCCCCAGAGAACCAGCTGTTAAACACTTACCTGCTATCAAAAGATTAGCTAAGCTCTTGATAGCAGGTACTACCACCTAAGCATCCATTTGTTTGGCCAAGAGACCTGCAAGGACTTTAAACTGACTAGTACAGGTACAAGCCCTACAGAGCAACTGAGAGTCAGAAGCAATTGTAAGCCCTGATTTGACTTTCCCAGCAGCCCTTGTGATCAGCAGTCTCCCCTTCCTCCCAGCACCTATGTCTTATGCACCCTTAAATAAGACCCCCAAAATTCCACTTTTTAGAATGGAACAATCCGGCCCTAGCCCAGGAACCCCAAAGCACTTCTACCTAGGACTTATTAAAACATGTGCCCAGACCTACCCAGTTTGGCTCAGTGGATAAAGTGTCAGCCTGCCGATTGAAAGGTCCTAAGTTTGAATCTGGTCAAAGGCACATACCTGAATTGTAGGCTCAATCTCCGGTTGGGGGCATGCAAGACAGCTGGTGTTCAATGATTCTCTATCATTATTGATGTTTCTCTCTCTCTCTCTCCCTCTCTCTCTCTCTCTCTCTCTCTCTCTCTCTCTCTCTCTCTTTCTCCCCCCCCCACTTCCTCTCTAATTAATATAAAAATTAAAAAAAAAAACCAACCATGTGCCCCAGTTTCTTTCTTTCTGTCTGCACTGCCTTGACCTCCCTAGGTGGCCCCTGAAGGCATGCCATGGACTTCCTCCAGGCCCCTGGTTAACAAACATCTTTATTTCATTTTCTTGTGTGGTCCGTTATTGAACTGCAGTTCACCACCTAGCACCCTGTGCTCCACTTCCCAAATGTTCATTTAACCACTGGGTTTGATCCACCTTCTATATGCTCTCCCTGTATTTCTCCTTTGCAGGCCTATCACACATATACATTTATATGAATTTTTGGTAATATTTGTTTATTGCCCACCTCCCTGACCACTCTGTAAACTCCCTGAGAACATGTTTATCATCTCAAAGATCTAGAACAGTGCCTGTTGACTAACAGGTGCTCAACGGATATTTGTTAAATAAGAAACCTGTCTCTCCAGTCTTTCTATAATGGAAAAGCTGATATTCTAGTTTAGAAACGCAACTACACGGTTCAAAGAATTGAACCCTAAAACAGCAGATGGAGAACAAGTAAACTGTGGCAAGTTTAATACTTGGAAAAATAATTTACACTTTTTAAAACATGCGGCAATCAATCCTGAAAAGAAACAACCTCTTCCCGTTTCACCTGCAATGAAGATCAGCGCCTCCAAGATCCTCAGCTGACACCTCTTCCCCAGTTGCTGCTTTAACCTACAACAGAGAGAAAAGCCAAAGGTGAGATTTGCCCATCTGAAATATATAAATGTTTTCCTAACACACAGCACCTAACCTGCCTATACCTACCACTCTTTCTTCTACAGAGCTAAAGACATTTTTTTTTTCCTTCCACTTGCTTAGCAAACCAGTCTACAAATGAAAAATCTGAACCCAGAGTCACTAAGGAACTTGCCCACAGCTCCAGCGCGGGAGATGGAACTTGATTTGAACACAGGCATCTCTGGCCTGCGAGCCTGCTCTGTCCCCTCCGTCAGGCTACCTCCGCTGCATGTTAAAGCCTTAGGGTCTGTGCCCTTGGCCGGGGCTCCCTGCTCCCTCTCACCCTCCTGGTGAATCCCCGCTTACCCTTCAAAACCCACCTGCTCTATGTTCCTTTCCCTGACCCACTCAGGCCTTTCACCATTGATGACACTGCATATAATAGAGCAATGCTTGCTTATCCATGGTCCAAGGGTATTCCACTTAGACCTTATTCCACATGGCACTTGCCTGACTATATTTCTGTAATCTGCATGTGTCGCTGTCCTCTCCTCTATACTGTGAGTTCCTTGATGGTAGGAACTGTGATTTACTCATCTTTGAACACTCAATAAATACATTGATATATTGCCTTTTCTTCACCTATGCTGAAAAACTCCAGTGACTATGGTATTACAAACTCTTAAAGGTATAATAACTTTAAAATGGAAAAAATATCTAAGATTACTCACATCTAAGATTCAGTAGAATGTAAGCAAAAAGAAAGAAACCTCAAGTAATAAATTTAGAATGATTTAATTATAGCCTGAGAAATTCTAAACAAGGAAAGTCTTCAGTACTAAGTGCCAACCTGATCCTCAGAAATTGCTTATTGATTCCTACTTCCTTAAGTTGATTGAGTTCTTTGTCTTCAAATAGGAAAAGCTTTAATTAGAAAAATGAACACTAACCTAAAATACAGCACAGAAATGACTTATTATTCACTACATCAAAAGTTCTGTCTAAAATAAAAAATTCCACTGGGAAAGGTAATTAAAAATTTCATCTCCAATTATTCCAACCCCAGAATCAAATTTTTATTTCTCCTTCCTCCCAAAGAAATTCAGTGTAAAATATCATTTGGTCCAAACAATAACTAATTATAAGAGGTGCCTGGATATTTAAAGCTGTAAAAAGGAATAAACACCAATATACTATTTTTTTTTCAGAATTCTGACTAAAAATATAAGGATTTGTCACTAGTTAATATTTATTGAGTACCCACATCATGTTTGGTACTGTGATAGGTGCAAAAATGATAAAAGTCAAAGATAAAATTAAAATAGCTCATTCTACTAAATTATAAGTTCAGAAGATAAACAAAAGACAGGAGAACAAAGCTCTTTCAAAAACTTGTCTTGTCACTATGCTTATTCAACCATTTTAAGCTACTACAACTCAACCCCACATAATGTGTGAAACATACCAAACCTTTTCTCAATTTTCAGTGAAACAAGTGTCAAATTTAGAATTCTCAAACAGGTGAGTATGCTACTGCTTCTTTTTGTGCTGTAAACAAGTGTTTCGATGGTGAACTCTGGAACGAGGATCAATTCTGGGACAGACCGTAGACTAGCCTGGCTGCCAAGTTAGCATTATTCTAGTAGTATGCGGCTGCCTGTATTCCAAAAAAGCTATTTTCAATTTTTAGTCACATCTTTACTCATTATCTAATAAAAAATGAACAAGGATTACTCATGAAAGTATGTACCCTTTACTATACAAAGGTAAATCTGCATGAATTTTCCTCTCATTAAACAATGATCGCTATCACCTAAAGCTAGAGAAATTTTGAAGAATATTAAACACCACAGGCTTTTTGAATATGAAATGGCAGCTCCTCAGGCTGACCTGATCCTCAATAAGTTATTAAAAATTAGCACATCATGTGGAAAATATACTGACCTCACACCAAAACTTATGCTCCTTTTAACATGCTTTTTAAAATAAATTTTGTGTTAATATTCCAAAACCAAAGATGATTCTTTGACAGACTTTTGAAGCAATAAACATACTTGAGATACAATTCACATGCCATAAAGTTCAACATTGAAAGTATACAATTCGTATTTTTAATATATTTACAAACTTGGGCAACCATTACTGCCACCAACTCCAGAACATTCATCACTCACAAAAAAAAAAAAAAGAAACCCAAATTCATTAGCAGTAACTCCCCATTCCACCCTCCTGGTCCCTGAGAAATATTCATCTACTTTCTTTCTGAATTTGACCACTCTAAATATTTCACAGAAGTGGAACAATTTCCACTTATCTCACAGTAAAACTGAAATAATGAGATCTGTCCTCTTGTATCTGGCATAAAGTTTTCAATATTCATCCCTTCTGTAGCATGTGTCAGAACGTCATTCCTTTTTATAGCTGAATAATACCCCATTTTATATAGATGATGGTTTTATATGACATTCTTCTTTTAAGTATTTAATATTCTTGGATTTCACTTATGAGACATTATGTTGTTTGATGTAATAATTACCTGTGTCTCCACCTATCCTCTATTACTCCTCAATCTAGGGTCATGTCTGCCATAAGCATGGTGTAGTGATGACTGCATTACTGAAAATCACTGGAAGGGAGCTGACCAAAGGGAAGGGAAGGAAGAGCCAGGATTACATAATCCAGTTCTCAGTGCTGCATCAGAGGCAGGGGACCAGTGAGGCTGCACAGGGTCCCATTCCCAGAAGGGCCCTGTGCTTGAAGTTTAATGCTCAATGGTCACTCTATTGAAATTCTAATTTATCTTTGAATTCATGTTCTGTAAGTAAAGTCTGAGATGACAATGGAGTGTGTGAGTTGGAGTTTGGGCTTCAGCTCTTGGACAGTCTGTCTCCCACCACTTCTCTGGGATGACTCCCTGCTTTCCTGCTAACTAGAGCCTGAGCCCTGGGCCTGTCCTACCTTCTCCTCCCTGACTCCTTTCTACTGACTGCTACACCTGCCTGAGTGAGGGCCTGGCCTGGCACGCACCCCCTAGTGTCTCAGGGTGGAGCACAGCAGCACCATCACTATCCTGGCAGGCAGTGCTGAATTATGTTCACCAGCAGATGACTAGGTGCGGGTCTGAGCTAAGGGCTAGTCTCCTGCCTACTCCCCATCTAGCATGGAGGCTGCCCACCCTTGGGGGTCATGTATGCACTGAGGGTTGGGTTGGTGGGTTACTGGAAGAAGAGATAGCTGGAATGGAAAAGATGAGAAAGTTCTGGAGATGGATGGTGATGATGGCTGCACAGCAAAGTGAATATACTTAATGCCGTAGAACTGTATACTGAAAATGGTAGAAATAGAAAATGTTATACTATGTATATTTTACTTCAACCAATCAAAACTATGTTCTTACCAAGGGGGGTCCAGCCAAGAAAATGGTACCCTGCTTGCGTACAATGATGTTTTCATCAGCCATTGCAGGCACGTAAGCACCTCCTGCCGTACAGGAGCCCATGACCACTGCTATCTGGAACCCAAGCATATATGAAACTCATCAGTACAGCCCAAACAGTGAATTATACTGTCTCTGGATCTATAGTCCCATAAATGTTGCAGTATGGGCATACTACTAGCTGGTCCCTGTACTTCATTTTAAAAGTGGAGTCCTCTACATCCAGCCATGGTTGCTCAGTAGCTGAGTATTGACCTATGAACCAGGAGATCAAGGTTCTATTCCCAGTCAGGGCACATGCCTAAATTGGGAACTCAATCCCCAGGGTGGTGCGCGCACCAGGCAGCCAATCAATGTTTCTCTCTCATTATCGATGTCTCTCTTCTTTTCCCTTTCTCTCTGAAATCAATAAAAATATATTTAAAAAAATAAAAGTAGAGTCCTATAAACATTTGTAATAGTTTCCTTGTATCAAAGCATTTTGAAGGGCTTATGTCACACTTTTACAAAGTTTATGGATAATCTCCCCATCAAATGCCCAGATAGACTATTCTATCTGGAAACTACTAATGGAGAACTCACGATCCACATAAATTGGCAAAACTGTATGAAAGGATAACTTTTAAAACTAATAAATTCGGGGGGAGGAGGGGGGAAGGAGACATATGTACTACTATTTGTAATGCTTCAAACAATAAAAAAAATAATAAATAAAAATAAACTAATAAATTCTTTAAACAATTTCCACTTATCTCACAGTAAAACTGAAATAATGAGTGTTATTAATACTGTGTGTTACCCTGCATATGATACATCAAAATAGAAAACTAATGTTAGCATCACAGTTGAAAATCTTGTTCAAAAGTAAGTTAATTGTGTGGAAGCTGGGTGATGCATACAGTCGGGTTCACAGCACTATTCTTTTGTATGTGTTTAAATTTTTTCATCATAAAAATATTCTTTCTTAGATATCAGTATGACACAATGAACAATAAATATTGCTGATTACCCCCACAAATAAATAGTATCACAAAGAAAAATAAGAAAAGTACATAATATTTTCTTTAATTATCCTATGTTGCTACTAATTCCAATATTCCACCAGTTTTCCTTATGGTCATACATTATCTGTTCTGAAGAAAAACCCCACTAGTATTAATCCAAAAATGAAGACAGCACAAGTCAAGATTTTTTCATCTAAATGGCTGGCACAAAAAGACATAATTCCCTATTTCATGTATGTTATTTAAAATATCTGCAATAGGCCAAAACCGGTTTGGCTCAATGGATAGAGCGTTGGCTTGGTGACTGAAGGGTCCCGGGTTCGATTCCGGTCAAGGGCATGTACCTTGGTTGTGGGCATATCCCCAGTAGGGGGTATGCAAGAAGCAGATGATCGATGACTCTCTCTCATCTATGTTTCTAACTCTCTATCCCTCTCTCTTCCTCTCTGTACAAAATCAATAAAATATATTTTTAAAAATAATAATAAAATAAAATAAAATAAAATGTCTGCAATATTTCTGTCACCATAATACAACAATGTTTATCACTTATTGTTTTTACTTATCAATCACCCAGTAGTTTGTTTCCAAAATATCTTGGCTAGAAAAACTCATGCCTATGAGTCCACAAAAAAACATTCATTGTAGTGGTGTTCATAATAGTGAAAATATGCAAATAGCCAATATGCCCATCAATACAATATTCTTTTATTTTTAAACTTGATTTATTTTTATTTACTTATTTTTCCCAACACCATTTATCACCTCTATGCCCTCTTCCACTTCCACCCACTCCTACTTTCCCCACCATCACCACACTGTTGTGCATGTCCACAAGTTTTGAGTTTTTTTGCTCAGTCCCTCCACCTCTCTCTCACACACACACACACACACACACACACACACACACACCTTCCTCCCACCAGAGCTGTCTGCCTGCTCTCTCTGAGTCTATCTTTATATTGCTTGGTAGTTCATTTTGTTAATTAAATTCCACATGAGTGAAGTTATATGGAACTTGTCTTTCTCTGACTGGTTTATTTCACTTAGCATAATGTTCTCCAAGTCCATCCATGCTTCAATACAGTATTTTGAATGGGTAAGTGATTTATCAGTAAGTTCTTGGGTCTTTTTTTTGGAAGTGTTCAGTATGGGTGTTAATTACTTCATTTGTTTGTGCACAAAACCAGTACACGGGTAGGGTCCCTAGGCCTGGCTGGCAATCAGGGCCAATCTGTGTGGTGACCGGCAGGATGATCAGGGGGCCCCCACTGGCATCCGTCTTGGTGGTCAGTGCACATCATAGTGACTGGTCATTCCATTCAGTCGATTTGCTATTAGGCTTTTATTATATAGGATTTATTTTGGAGAGTAAGGAAGAGGGAGGGAGAGAAACATCAAAGATGAAAAAGAATCACTGATCAGCTGCCTCCTGCATGCTTCCCACCAGTGGTTGAGCCTATAACTGAGGTATGTGCCCTTGACCATGTGCCCTTGACTGGAATCAAGCCTGGGACTCTTCAGCCCATAAGCTGATGCTCCATCCACTGAGCCAAACCAGCTAGGGCAATAAATAAATTCTTTTAAAATCTAAGGCAGCCGAAACCGGTTTGGCTCAGTGGATAGAGCATCAGCCTGAGGACTGAAAGGTCCCGGGTTCGATTCTGGTCAAGGGCATGTACCTTGGTTGCAGGCACATCCCCAGTGGGAGGTATGCAAGAGACAGCTGATCAATGTTTCTAACTCTCTATCCATCTCTTTTCCTCTCTGCAAAAAAAAAATCAATAAAATATATATTTAAAAAAATAAAAAAATAAAAATCTAAGGCAATAATAAGAAAACGTTAACACTTCATAAATCTGAATTAAGAGGTGAGTATTTTGTTCTATTATTCTTTGTACTTTGTGCATGTCTGAAATATTTTATGGGCTTTTTCTTCAAGGTTCTATCAGGAGCAAGGCACACTATTTCACTTAGTCTGTTCTTTGTACTGAAACATCAGATTCCATTCAAACTGTTTCAGTACTAAAAAAAAAAAAAGTCAAGGAAGTAGAAAAGAGATTGTAAGAATCTAAAAGTGGACACTTTCAAAAGTAAGTCACATAGAACTAAATAACCAGAAAACAAAAGGAGAGAAAAGAGCAGTACTGCCAACAACTATACAGGTGAGGGTGGAGGAGACAAAGACAGAGGAATTAGTTTGCCAAATAATAATAGAAACAATAAAAACAATGAGGAAATGAAACTGAGTGCCATGATGCCATCTGGGGTTGGGAGAGGGAAGACCTACCAATTTAGTAGGAAAGTCTCACAAGTGAGTAGCTGACAAATTATTAGCACATCTACATTAGGGGATTTTACCATATTCCTAAGGGCACTTCAGATGCGTTTTCTCCACAGTACTCTGAAACAAAGGAAATCAACAATCTACTTTTCTGACACCAGCTAATAATGATCCCCCAAACCCTTGACTTTGGTATTGACGTCCTCTGTAACCCTGTCCCCTTGAGTGTGCAATGGATCTGATGTCCCTGTCCTATCAAATGTCAAGTGTCACTTCTGTGATCAAGTTATGAGATGCTGCGTCATCCATCTGGCTGGCATTCTCTCTCTTGCCCATTTGCTTGATCCCTCTACTGCAGCCAGCTGACACATGGTAAGATATTCTATGGAGAAGCCCATATGGGAAGAAACCTAGGAAGAGCTCTGGCCAACAGCTTGTAAGGAACTGAACGAGTCCTGCAAAGAACTGAATCCTGCCAACAACCATGTGTGTGAGCTAGGGGTTGAATCCTTCCCAGTCAAGCCTAGAGGTCTGCAGTGGGTGGAATAGTGGCCCCAAAAAGGTAGATCCATACCCAAACCCCAGAATCTAGGAATGTGATTTTATTTGGGAAAAGAGTCTTTGCAGATATAATTAAGGATCTCGAGATTAAAATCATTTTGGATTACCCTGGTGCACCTGAAATCCAATGACAGAAGTCCTTATAAGATAGGGAAAAGAGGAAAACACACCAAAAAGAAAGCCATGTGAAGAACTTCACTGATTCTCTCCTCTCTCTCTGTCTCTCTCACAAGTTCCAAGGGCCCTTCCTTTGCCTCTGTAACTTGTTTCCTGAGCCCACACAGTCCAGCTGGCTCACTTTTTCTACCTCTGTGACTTCATAAATAAAATTTTTCTTCTATTGGGGGCTGGGAAGTTGGGGAGGAAGACCTATGCAGAGATTGGATCATGCAACCTAAAGGCAAGGAAATGCCTCAAGCCACCAGAAACTTGAAGAGATTTTTCCTTAGAGCCATTTAGGGAGCATGGCCCTGCTGCCTCCTTGATTTCAGAATTCCAGCCTCCAGAACTTCAGAGAATAAATTTCTATTATTTTAAGCCACACACTTTGTGGTACTTTGTTACAGCAGTCCTAGGAAACTAATGCAAGGTTAGTACAACTATGGAAGTTATAATACCAGATTAAATGGGCTAATTTCCCCTATAAAACAAAAGATTACACACATTTTCATATCAGATAATGAAAGAGCCATCTATGCAAAACTGAGCAAAATTGATTTTCTATTTTGACAAATAAAGTGTACAGAAAGGCAAGGTTACTACATAACAATAAAATATATAATAAATAATAACATAATCTATTGATAGAAAATAAAAAAGATATAATTGCAAGTGAAAATAATTAGAATATTAATAAAAACACTACAGACTTAAGAAATCCAAAAAAACATAAACAAAGGAGTATCATCAGTATAATGAAGTATTTCAAGCATGCAAAAAGATTATAGAAAAATAAAATAAATATCCTTTCACCTAATTCCAAGTCTTTTTTTTTTTAAATATTTTTATTTATTTCAGAGAGAAAGGAAGGAGAGAGAGACAGTAACATCAATTATGAGAATCATCAATAGGCTGCCTCCTGCACACCCCCACTGGGGACCAAGCCCGCAACCAGGCATGTGCCCCCCAACCCGAATGGAACCCCAGACCCTTCAGTCTGCAGGCCAATGCTCAATCCACTGAGCAAAACTGGCCAGGGCAATACCAAGTCTTAAAAAATCTTGACAGATTTTTAATAAATCTTAACTCAGGTTCTTTTTTAAAGAAATAAAATATTTCATACATAATTAAAGCCTCTACCTGGCCCCTTTTTCTTCCCTCCCACTTCAAAGGTGACCACTGTTTCAAAGCCAAGTATGTATATTCACATATATGTATTTAAACATAAATAATAGTATTATTTGATGTATTTAAACTTTATACATATACAGCAATTGGCTGTATATTTATTCCACTATTTTTTACTAAATATGTTTTTGAGATTTACTTATGTTGATGCATGAAATTCTAGTTCATTCACTTTAACAGCTCAAATTCGTATTATTAATCTCCCGTTAGTGATCACTTAGGTTGCTCTTCAACTTTTGCTGCAACAAACAATGCTACAACAAACTTTCTTACACGTCTCCTCATACATATACTAGAGTTTCTCCAGAGTATAGTTCTAAAAAACCAATTACTCAGTACCCATTCTTTTTAAAAATTTTATTATAGTAAAAGTGTATTCCCATAATTGAGAATCTCACTGAAGGTAACCTTAAGATACTTTCTGTAGAAAAAGACTAAACTCTGAATTCACTAGTTTTAAGTAATCTCAGCATGCTTAGTTAGCAAAGTCATTTAGAGCAAAAAGCAACATGTCTCATTAATGAGAAATTACCTGTGTGATATTTTGAGAAGACATAATTGCCTGATTATAGAATATGCGGCCAAAGTGATCTCGATCTGGAAATATTTCTGCTTGTCGAGGTAAGTTTGCACCTCCCGAATCAACTGAAGACAAAGGAAATGAAAGAAATAAGTACATCTCTAGGAACAAAATGTGCTCCACACAGGAACATTTGTATCAATGACAGTATCATTTCTTAAACACATTCACAAATGTCTTTTTAAACTATTCTACAACATCTTTCTCTAATCCCCCAATGCAGCCAAAAGGATTCACTATTTTCCTCAAATCCATTAGGTTCTCCTACCCTGTGCCAAATTCCACTTGAAATGTATAGTGTGCTCTCTCCTTTGAGACCAGTTAAAGCCCCAGAAACACTGTAAATGCTTAACCAGTTCAGCTAAGAAACTGTCTTTCCCTCTTTTTCACTAATACAAAAACCAACTACAGAAGTTGTGAACTTATCATATAATGCACCTTCTAGTATTGTTTTCACTGCACAGTAGAGTAGTGGATAAGAATGTCCGCTGAGTTCAAAACAGAGCTTGGTGACTTCATAGCTTTATTTTTTTTAAAATATATTTTATTGATTTTTTACAGAGAGAAAGAGAGAGGGATAGAGAGTTAGAAACATCGATGAGAGAGAATCATTGATCAGCTGCCTCCTGCACACCCCCTACTGGGGAATGTGCCCGCAACCAATGTACATGCCCTTGACTGGAATTGAACCTGGGACCTTTCAGTCCGCAGGCAGACGCCAAACCTGTTTTGGTGACTTCATAGCTTTATGATCACAGATGTACTTCCTACCCATTCTATGCCTTGGTTCCCTCGCCTGTAAAATGAAGATAACACTGTCTCTCAGAGTTCTTATTGGGATGACATGAAATAATGTGTGATATACTACTTAGTTCAACACATACTGTGAGTGCACATAGTAGAACCACAAAAAGTTAGTTAGTCCCATACCTATTAATCTTGCCTGCAACTATAAGTATTTTATTATTTGATATATTATATCTTATTTCCAATCATTACAAGTGGGCTAAAGACAAGGACAACAAAATACTCTTCACTGCAAATAGGAATTCATTTTCCGTGTTCTATTTATACAAAGTATATATACCAGGCAAATTTTCCTTCCCAGGAAAAAAAAAATCCACATCAGTACCTGTTCAAATCCTTACATAAATGAACAATATATCTTGGCATTTTACAAAACTATACCAATATCCAGAAAGTAGCAATTTTATACTGTTTTGCTTCTATGTTCTTTTTGAAATATTCATAGATTTAAATGTATTTTAATTTTAAATATAAACGTACCAGTACTTTCATTGAAAATTAAATTTCCTTACTAGTCTTCATCAGGTGATCACTTCATAAGGTATATAAATGTGGAATCACTATGCTGTAGACATGAAACTAATATATAATATTGTATGTTGACTATAATTAAAAAATAAATTTAAAAAATTTTAAATTAAATTTCTTTAAATTTTATCTGCTCAAATTATATACATATATGGCCCTGGTCGGGTAGTTCAGTTAGCTGAGCACTGTCCCGATATGCCTTGGAGGTTCAATCCCCAATCAGGGCACATACAAGAATCAACCAATAAATGCATAAATAAGTCATACCAAAAGACCAATGTTTCTCTCTCTCTCAATTCAATAAATTTTTAAATAGTTTATTGATTTTTTTTAGAGAGAGAGAGAGAGAGAGAGAGAGAGAGACAGACATACATGTGAGAGAGAAACATTGATCAGCTGCCAAACGAGGGATCGAGCCTGCAATCCGGGCATGTGCCCTGACCGGGAATCAAACCAGGAACCTTTTGGTGCATAGGATGACACCCAGCCAACTAAGCCACACTGGCCAGGGTTAGAATCAATAGATTAAAAAAAAAAAACTATATATATACTCAAGCATTTAATATAGTAACTCATACTCAAGAGATCAAAATATATTAGTTATTATTTTTTTTATAGTTTCAACCCATTAGGGTTAACAGAAAAAAAATATATACAAAAGAAAAAGTACACATGTTTAGAGGAAAAATTGGCATAAACCAAAATACTGTCAGGAGTTATTCCTCAATGAAGGGGTTATTATGGGTGTCCTTGTTCACATTTTCTCCCAGAGTTCCCAACCAAGAACATGCATTTCTTTTATAATTATGAGAGGAATCAATAGTTTTTTTAAACACCCCTTGATAATGTCATATAAACAGTAAAATATTTTACCAGCTAAAAATAGTTACTTGCCCAAGTAGATGCAGGGGAGCCTGTTTTGCATTGCAATTTCTTGTGCCCGTAAATGTTTCTTCACCGTCACCGGGTAGTAGGTGCCGCCTTTAACAGTGGCATCGTTGGCAGCAATCACACATTCCACTCTGAAAGGCAGAAATTTCATAGGAAAGAGAGTACGAGAGATTTATTTATTCACAAAGAACAATTACAAAACATTCCAAGATACTCCAATGCTATTTTCAACTTCTAGTACCTACGACCAATGATGTCATTAGTAGATAATCTTAAGACATAAAAGCAAGCTTTAATCACAGTTAACATATTCGCTGATATAATACAAAATAATGACTTTTAACAAGAGCCACCAGTCTTATATTAGCAGTGAAAAACTAACGTAAACCACATTTCATAATGGTTATTTGAATGAAAGGGTCCTAAAAATATAATCTATAATAATAAAACCATAATATGCAAATCAACCAAACAGCAGATCGATTGACTGGACAACCTTCCAGACAAACACGCTATGATGTGAACTGGTGCCAGGCCAGCCAAGGCGGGTGTGATGCAATTGGTCAGGGACCCCACCATTGCCCCAGATCACCTCACAGAGGGAGGCCCAGCCACCCTCTGAGGCGTGATCAATTCAGGGGAGAGCCCTCAGCCATCGATCCTCCCAAGGAGGGAGGCCCAGGCTACCCACCCAGAGGGAGGCACAGGCCACTCAGCTGGCAGCGCTGTGGCAGGTGGGTGGGGCCTCCCTCTGCGGAGCAATCAACCTGGATACCCCATGACCAATCACCTCACAGAGGGAGGCCCAGGCCACTGGTCAGCAACTGCTGTGGCATGTGTGCAGGCCAGCCAGCGATCACCCTGCAGAGGGAGGCCCCGGCCAGCCAAGCTATCGAACCCCACGCCTATTGCGCAGGGAGGGTACCTGAGGACCACACTTGGAAAACTATTCCTCTTAACAGTGGTTTTCACCCTAGATATGAAGAAATCACCTGTGGAGCTTAGGAAACCACACAAGTGGGGTTTAGAAAGTAAATAACTTGCCCAAGATCAAGCCACTGGCTCAGCTTTGACCTCAGGCAATTGGATTCTGAGCCCAATACAAGTACAGTTGATTCAGATGCCAAGCTTACAGGTTTGTGTTCCTCCACCTTTTCATCAGAGCCCTGTGCCTTTGAGGAGGAAACTGGTCTTGCAAGGTATGTCAGGCCATAAAACTATGAACAATGCACTGCTGGGGAGAAGGGGGGGAGTGTTATTGCTGGCCCCAGGACAGATGATTGAATATGGCCTGGGGACCCCCCCACACCTGGGGTGGAACCTTATCTGCAAGACAAAGACCCCAGAAGGTTATAAAAAGCAAAGCCCTCTGCATGTTTCTTCACTCTGATTTGGAAATTATTCCCGGAGTCCACTATTGTTAATAAATGGGGTCCCTCCCTTTCTCTAGGAAGCACACTTGATATTGCTTTGGTCTTCGGCAACACCTTCAGGGGAGGTGCAGCTATAGCCATTCACCACTGTTACAGAGCTGACTGAAGACATTCCTCCTGGTTTCTATTCTATAAGCTAAGATTTTTTTCCCCTTTAATTTTTGGCTCTAAAGCTCTATAATCTGCACAGGAAGCCTCAGTCCTAAGTAATATCAATCGCATAAAACTTGAATGCTAATATGCAAAGCTGTGAGTGCTGGATGCCCTGTGAGTGCCTGGTTAATGTTCCTGACCCTCGATGTTGCGTGTAAGTAGAACACTCACCCTGATACTCTCCCAATGCCTGTAATGATGCCGCCTGCAGGGACCTCCTCATTATCATACAACTGGTAACCTGCAAACTGGGATAATTCCAGAAATGGAGACCTGAGAGGAAGAAAGAATGTTCTTTGAATTAATGTCATTTTTTTTAAAGCATAGAGTTACACATGGGGAGGGGGGGAGAGGCTTTTTTTCTTTAATGATACAATGTTTCAAATATGTATATTGTATATAAAATCTACAAGAATATTTAAAACAAAATCTAATGTGAAAATTTCAGGGGTTATATAGTATAGTCATACAATAGAACACTAGGTACTTATTTAAAAAGATGTTTACAAATGTGTTTATTATTATAGAAAGAGCACAGCACCTAAAATGTATGTAGTACTGACTATGTGCCAGGCTGTCTTCTAGGACTTTCAGAAACCTAACTCATTTACTCCTAAGAACTACCTTCTCAGGTGGATCCTATTATAATCCCATTAACTGATGAGGAAGCTGAAAAGAGACTAAATCACTCACCTAAGTCAGCAGTAAGTGGCAGAGCTGGGTTTTAATAACCAATTTGGGACCACGGTTTTTGTTTTTTGTTTTTAACCACTAGCTCTTACTTAAATGTTTAAGAAATAGTAAGTGAGGGGTGGGGGAAGGGGGTTAGAAAACCCACATTTAGTATGATTCCTTTTTTTTTTTTTTAATTATGTCTAATACACATATTTTTGAAAACGGTCTAGATAGATATATGAAAGGTATTAGCAGTGTCAGTGTGAGTGTGTGAGTGTGTGAGTGTGTGTGTGCATGTGTGTCAAAATATACTTTGGTAGTCTTTATTTCCTTCTTTCCAACCCTACATCCACCTAATTTAATCCTTCAGGAAATGCTGTTGGGTTAACTTTGGACAACAAACCCAGAAACTAACATTCTCATCATCTCCACTACCAGTACCTACTAGTCCTGTCTACCATCCTGTCTCCCTTGAATCACTGCAATCACTCTCAAACTGGTCTCAGTACGCCCACCCTTGCTGCACAGTCACTCCCAACACAGCAGCGAGAATAACTCTTTTCAAACATAAGTCAAATAGATCCCCATTCAAAACCCCACAAAAACTTCCCATTTCTCTCAAGGTAAGAGCTGAAATTCTTATCCTAGCTCACAAGATCTTACAGAATTGGACTCCATTTCTACCACTTTCCTTCCACCCCGACCTCACTGGTCCCTGGCTCCTGAAGCAGATCAGAACACCCGGCACATTCCCACCTCAGGGCCTCTGCACTGGCCATTGCTCCTCTATCTGCAGTCCTCTTTCCCCAGATATGTGTAGGGTTATCTCTCTTCACTCTTTCACATCTTTGTTCAAATGCCACCTTCCCAATGAGGCCTACCCTAACCACCTCATTTAAAACTGCAACTTGACTACCTAGACTTTACCTTTACTCTAGACTACCTTCTCTTCCTGCTGTGACAGTTACCACTTTCTAACAAAATATAAAATTATCATTTATTTTCCGTCTCCTCCTGCTGCAATGTAAACTCCAGGTGGGCAAGGATCTTTGTCTATTTTATTCACTGATATATCACCAGCACCTAGAATAGTAGCCTCCTGATAAACATTTATTGTTGAATCTTACAATAACAACCAAAATTTAAAATCATCTATTTACAAGGGTGTCTAAGGAAGTCCCATGGAATAGAGAGAACTGAGTTGGCACTTGGGTATATACTAACCCTGGGTCCAGAAGGCCATCAACTCTTTCCCTGGCTAACAGTTTTCCTCTTGATGTATGGCGTTCTTTGGCTTTCTCACTACCTCCTATAATAAAAACAGGAGTAGATTAGACTGACATGCAATAAGATCTCCATATAACTTAATGCCAGAAAAACATTTAACATTTAGTCCACAATATAGAGCTTTTAAAAGTTCAACATATGCTGTAAGAAAAGGCGTATTTTTCAGATCATTCATTCAACTTACAAACTGACAGTTTTCTAAAGTAAATTAACAGGTATTTATTTGTTTGTTTTTTAATCAGCCCATCCCTATTGCAATATTTTCTATATACTAGAGGCCTGATGCACGAAATTTGTGCAAGAGTAGGCCTTCCTTCCCTCTGGTATCCAGGACCTGGGCTTCCCTCTGGCCACTAGGAGGCACCCAGGACCCAAGCTTCCCTTGCAGCCCTGGCTTTGTCCAGGAGGTCATCCAGAAGGACGTCCAGTCTAATTAGCATATTATACTTTTATTATCTACTAGAGGCCCAGTGCACAAAATTCATGCACGGGAGTGGGGGTTGTCCCTCAGCCCAGCCTGCACCCTCTCCAATCCAAAACCCCTCAAGGGATGTCCAATTGCCAGTTTATGCTCGATCCTACATTGGACCTAAATCGGCAGACAACCCTCTCCCAATCCAGGACCGCTGGCTCCTAACTGCTCACCTGCCTGCCTGCCTGCCTGATCATCCCTAACTGCCCTCCCCTGCCGGCCTGATTGCCCCTAACCACCTCTGCCTCAGCACCCCCCCCCCCCACTGTGGCTTTGTCCAGGAGGAGGACTGGACTATCAGAAGATGTCTGGTTCACCCAGTTTAATTCACATATTATCCTTTTATTAGGATAGACTAGAGGCCTGGTGCACAAAATTCATGCAAGGGGGGGGAGGGGTCCGTTTAAGCCCAGCCTGCACCCTCTCCAATCTGGGATCCCTCAAGGGATGTCTGACTTCCCAGTAGGATCAGGCCTAAATGGGCAGACATCCCTCTGACAATCCAGGACTGCTGGCTCCCAACTGCTCACCTGCCTGCCTTCCTGATTGCCCCTAACTGCTTCTGCCTGCCAGCCTGATCACCCCTTTATCACTCCCCTGCCAGCCTGATTGATGCCTAACTACTTCCTGCCAGCCTGATTGCCCCTGTCCTTCGCTGCTGGCCTGGTGCCTCCCAACTGCCTTCCCCTGCTGGCCATCTTGTGTCCACATAGAGGCAGGATCTTTGACCACATGGAGGCAGCCATTTTGTGTGTTGGTGGGATGGTCAATCTGCATATTACTTTTATTAGATAGGATAGAAGCCTGATGCACAAGTGGGGGCTGGCTGGTTTGCCCTGAAGTGTATCCCAGATCAAGGTGATGGTTCCCTTTGGGTCTGGGGCAGCCTGGGAGAGGGAACTGTGGTGATTTGCAGGCTGGCCACACCCCCAGTGACCCAAGCATAGGCCAGGGCCAGCTGGAAGCAGATATGTGAGATTTATTTATCTTCTATAACTGAAAGTTTGTAGCCTTGAGCAGAGGCCAGGGCCAATCAGGCCAGGCAGGAAGCTTGGCTTCCTCCATCGCTGGGGGCAACCCAAGCTTCCTGCTTGCTCCAGCTCTGTAGCGGCTGCCATCTTAGTTGAGTTACTTTATATACTTAGCTCTGATTGGCCAATGGGCATAGGGGAGTGATGGTCAATTTGCATGTTTCTCTTTTATTAGTGTATATAATAATAAAAGTGTAGTATGATAATTAGACCGAACAGCCAAACAACCTTCTGCATGACCTTCTAGATGAAGCCAGGTCTGCAAGGGCCAAGGCAGCCATCATGGCTGTGAGGGCCAAGCCCCTTGCACAAATTTCGTGCATCTGGCCTCTAGTTATAGATATAAAAACCTAAGCAACATTACAATCAAACAACTGGAACAGCTGGTTAATCAGTCGCTATGATGCACAATGACCACCAGGGGGCAGATACTCAACGTAGAAACTTCCACAGCCAACCTCCCCCGGTCCCTCACCCTGTCCAGCAGCCCCCAGCCAGCATCTGGCAGGCCACTAGGCCCTGGCCAGCAACAGTCAGGCCCCCAGGCTCCAGCCAGCAGCTGGCAGGCCCTGGCCAACCTGGCCCCAATTGGGACTGGGCAAGACAGCCCAATAGCCTCTGATCGCCATCCAGGCTGGGGCACTGGGTTGCAGGTTCAATCACTAGTCAGGGTGTGTGTGGGAGGCAGCCAATCAGTGGTTCTCTCAAACATTGATGTTTTTCTCTCTCCCTCTCTCCTTTCCTTTCTCTCTAAAATCAATAAAAAGATATATATTTTTAAAATAAGTGTTTACCTAGTCTAATTTTCTGTGCTCGTTCATGGAGTTCATTTACTAGTGCTTTCATCTGTTCATAGTTTTCCTAAACCAGAAACAAAGAGAGTAATATTAGAAAGCAATTACATTTTTTTAATCAAAAAAGACTATCACGTGCCAACCCATCCATGGGATCTCCACACGGGGCCAGCGCATCCATGTGGTCTCCATGCTAGACCATTCAGTTGTATGGAATGATTAACTCCTGCCTGTAGCTTTGCTCAAGCTCTTCACCTCCACCACCCGCTCTGATCCATCTATCCAAATCGCACCCCCTTATAAAGCCCGATGCACAGGATCCTGTGGGAGGTCCGCATATACACAACTGGCTGATCTGTTTCTTAAGTCTTTTCTATTATAAAATATAAGTTCTACCATCTTTTTTGTCTTGAAATGTTTTGTTTGCCCCAGATTTCTCCCAGAGTGCTAAACGCATCCCCACAGTGTCTTTTAGCAAGTTCTTCCCTTGTAGATCTAGAGGCTTATGGGATTCTTGTGTGCCTTCATTTTTTATTCGTTTTCCCCAACCCCAACCCCCTCCAGCATCCTACCTGCCAGTCTCCTGCCAGCTTTACGAACTACAGGTTCAAAGCTGATGAAAAAGAGTTAACATACATACAAAGCCAAATATTTGTCTTGGTTTTAAATCATATCCAAATCCAGGGACACAATCACTGCAGCCAACAATCATTGCCCAATTTGGAACGGCAGCTAAAGCCGGTTATGCAAGTATTCTTTACCCTAGCTAAGCTAGCCTCCCATAAAAGAAAAGAAAAGAAAAAAGAAAGAAAGAAAGAAAGAAAGAAAAGAAAGAAAGAAAGAGAGAAAGAAAGAGAGAAAGAGAGAAAGAAAGAGAGAAAGAAAGAGAGAAAGAAAGAGAGAAAGAAAGAGAGAAAGAAAGAGAGAAAGAAAGAGAGAAAGAAAGAGAGAAAGAAAGAAAGAAAGAAAGAAAGAAAGAAAGAAAGAAAGAAAGAAAGAAAGAAAGAAAGAAAGAAAGAAAGAAAGAAAGAAAGAAAGAAAGATAGATAGATGCCTGGCAGGCATGGCTCAGTAGTTGAGCGGCAAGCTATGAACCAAGATTCCCGGTCAGGGCACATGCCCAGGTTGCAGGCTCGATCCCCAGTGGAGGATGTGCAGGAGACAGCTGATCAATGATTCTGTTCATCATTGATGCTTCTATCTCTCTCTCCCTCTTCCTTCCTCTCTGAAATAAAAAATATATTTAATTAATAAATCAATAAACAGAACTCTCTCTATCAAGCCTTTGTGAAGCACACAATGGGTAGAAGTGAGAGTGGACAGTACATATTATTGGTCTTACATGAACGACCAGGAAAATTAGGCAGGGAGAAACTGGTTTGTGGTCAAGGCCCTTATGTGCCATCTCCCATCCAAGGGATGGCTTTACCTTCGTACCCTTTGTATGTGTTTACTACTTGTAGCTGGAGGTCCCAGGAGATATGGCTGCACCTAAGTGAAATCTTTTAACATCCAACCTAACATAAGAAGAACATACCCACTCCAAGCTAACTGTTATCTGTGGCAGACAGTATTAACTGTTTATCCCATGTTCATTCTTCCCACTTTCCTTGATGATGGAGTCCTGATTTTACTCAAAGTGGCTACAAGCCTAGCTGGAAAAATAACAAATCCTGGCCTTCCTGAGCGTAGACATGTGGCTGTGTGACTAAATTCTAACCAATAAACTATAGGAAGCAAGCCGAGACTGGTTTGGCTCAATGGATAGAGCGTCGGCTTGGGGACTGAAGGGTCCCGGGTTCGATTCTGGTCAAGGGCATGTACCTTGGTTGCGGGCATATCCCCAGTAAGGGGTGTGCAAGAGGCAGCTGATCGATGACTCTCTCTCATCGATGTTTCTAACTCTCTCTCTCCCTTCCACTCTGTACAAAATCAATAAAATATACTTAAAAAAAAAAAAAAAACTATAGGAAGCAAGTATGACTTCTAAAAAGGCTCCTTAAAAAGAAGTCGAGTAGATGAATCCTTTTGGAGCTCAGACATAATAGTTGGAGCCTAAGCAACCACCTTAGACCATGAGGTAAACTGTATTACTTGTTCAAAATTATTCCTCCCCTCCCACCTTTGCCAAGGTTCAGTGTGAGATTATACTTCCCCACTCCACAGTCCGTGAGTCTGTCTGTATCACTTGTTTTGTCCAGGGGAATGTGGATAGGGACCAAATGCAAGCAGAGGCTTTAAGAGGGACAAAGTGTTGCCATACTCTCCTCTATGTGCCGCCACCTTCCATTATGAGAGGAGCATTCCCCAAGTAGCCACTGCCCTCCAGGCTGGGGCCTGGAATAAGAAACAAGTAGAACAAGCCCTCTTGGTACACCAAGGTTTCCGGTCCCATCCCCAGTCAGGACACATAAAGAAACAACCAATGAATGCGTAAATAAGTGGAACAACAAATCAATGTCTCTCTCTCTCTTTCATCAATAAATAATAATAAAATTTTTAAAAAGCAACAGACCTTCACCGATGCACTGCTCAGACCAGAGCTGCACCAACCAACCCACAGATCCAAGAGTAAAAAATAAGTTCTTGTGGGAGGAGGGATTGAGCAAAAAAGAAGAAAAACAAAACAAAAACTCATCGATACCAACAACAGTATGTTGAATGTGGGGGGAGAGAGATGGAGGGAATAAGGGGATAAATGGTGATGGATATGGACAGAGACTTTCCTTGGGGTAGTATACACACAATACAGTGTGCAGGTGACGTGTTTTAGAACTGTACACCTAAAACGTATATAATTTTGTTAACCAGTATCACCCCAATACATTAAATAAAAAGGAAATCAATATTTATTTCAGACACTAAGATCTTGGGATTGCTTGCTGCACAGCATTACTGAAGCCAACACTGGCTAAATACAGATCATGAGATGACCTTGAGGAGAGGAGAAAAAAGCATCAAGAGGTAGTATTTTCACCGTGGCCAGGTAGCTCAGTTGGTTGAAACGTTGTCCCAGTACACCAAGGTTGGAGGTTCCAACTCCAGACTGGGCACATACAAGAAGCACAAATACACGGATCAAAAATCGATGTTTCCTTTTCTCTCTCTCCATTCCTCTCAAATCAATTTAAAAGAGAGAGAACATGGGACAGACTGAAAATTCCCAGCCCTGAGCTTTCAAAAGATGCAAGTTGTGTCTTTGACCTTGTAATAGCTCCCAATTCCAAGAAAAGCCACTCAAAAATACTGTGGGATATTTTCTATTAACACAACCAACTATCTAAAGTCTGATAAGCATTACTCCCAAGGTTAGCTGTCCTAGGCCAGGGATTCCCCAAACTGGCTGCCACAAGCCCCCAGGGTTTCATTAACCCCGTAAACACCAGACCCAAAAGGTCCAGGGAGGGGTTAAGGCAGCTGTGTATCCAACAAGCTCCCCAGCTGACCATGCTAGGCCAGGTTTTGAGAACCACTGATTTCAAAAACACAAAAAACACTGCCAATGCTTAAAGTAAACGAAAGTGAATTTGTTCTGGGATTTTTTATTATTTTTTTCAATCTTCACGACCCCTCGGTGCATCCCAGAATCATTCCTGAGGCCGCAGAGAAACGAATAGCAGCTGTTCTAGTGCGTCCACCTGCCTCCGAGTGCGGTGAGCACGGCGCCCGGCGGGCAGGCACCAGCGGGTGCGGCAGAGGCGCTCACCGGCTCGCGGGGCTCCGGCCCAGGCCGCTCGCCCAGCCTACCTGATAGACGGCAGAGCCCGAGTCGGGCTGGGTGCCCAGCGTGGCCACCGCGTCCCCGTGATAGGCGCGCGGCCCGAGGGCGGCGGCGCGGGCGCAGCGCCACAGCGCTAACCTCGCGGCGGCCCACATGGCAGCGGACACTGAGCGAGGGAGGAGCGCGAGAGCGGTGCCGACCCGGAACCCGTGCGACCTTCGCTCGCTTCCCCGCTTAATGGATACGGCTCAGCTCCAGTTCTGGCAGCCTCGCCAGCCAGGTACACCCCTGATTCTCCGGCCGGCCCGCACGCCCCCAACATCAGCCAATAAAAGACGGAGAATCAGCCCCGCGAGACCCTGTCGTATCGCGAGCCCAGGGGCCACGGGAGTCCTGGGACGGGGCGGGAGTCCCGTGGCCAGCCTGCATTCAACAAATTTCATATTCAACCAACTGCAGACCCAAAATATTCAACAAAAATGGTTATGTTGCTGACATAGCTAGCCTAGAATGGTTGCATCTATACTGAACATGTACAGACTTATTTTCCGTGTCATTACTCCGCGCCGCCGCCCCCGGACCGCGCGCCTACCACGGGGACGCGGTGGCCACGCTGGGCACCCAGCCCGACTCGGGCTCTGCCGTCTATCAGGTAGGCTGGGCTCGCGATACGACAGGGTCTCGCGGGGCTGATTCTCCGTCTTTTATTGGCTGATGTTGGAGGCGTGGCACGAAGTGCCTACCAATCACGGGCGGCGTGCGTAGGCCGGAGAATCAGGGGTGTATCTGGCTGGTGAGGCTGCCAGAACTAGAGCTGAGCCGTAGCCCTGCCCTTAAGCGGGGAAGCGAGCGAAGGGCGCACGGGCTCCGGGTCGGCACCGCTAAACAATAAAGTATAGCAACTATTTACTTAGCATTTACCATGTATTAGGAATTATAAGTAATCTTGAGATGATTTAAAGTATATTGGAGGATATGCATAGGTTATATGTAAACACTATGCCACTTTATATAGGGGCTTGGGCTTCCTCAGATTTTGGTACCCACATGGGGTCCTGGAACCAATCCCCAGATACCAAGGGATGACCTTACTATATTTTTACAGAAAAGTATAAGTATAAGCTGTGGTGAAAACTTCTAGTTTTGGTTAACTAAACATTAATAAAATGACACAAAAATAATATAAAATAACTTTTATTTACATAATTTATATCTGCAGAACATAATTGCTTTCTTTAAAACAAGAAAATTTACAAATGACAGATATTGCTTTTTTGTCAAAGACTTCTTCAAGCAAGATAGTATGTATACATGGTCACTTCTACTTCAACTAATAATAGTGGTAAACAGTAGATATGTTTTTATCTGTGCCTCAATCATTTACTAACAAATTAGTCTTTTAATCCATCATGTTCACCATTTGCTAAGATGTAAGTGTTCAGGAGGAAATATCAAGAAAAAATAAAGACCTTTATAATCATATTTCTTTTAAGATTTATAAAATACAAATCCTTCCCAACATCATCTTTATATGAATTAGATTAAATATAGGTCTATCTTAAAAGGTAAATAAATACACTAATTAAGGTTCTCTTTCTCCAAGATTAGTTTTAAGGATATAATAGTAGGGTAATTTAGTTGGGTGACTTGATTCTCTATTACAATAAATGCCCAAAAGATAAAATTAATCCTTATACAGTAAGAAGTTACATCTTTCATAAAATTAATTCACTGCAGATGAACAAGAGACAGACATTAACAAAGTTAAAACATAAATGTTATAAAAAGATAAAATAATAGTTTGATTGTGGCAACCTAAAACCCAAATTAATATTAATCAAAATATAGAAACCTTTTCAGAATGATTTTTAAAAAGTTATAAAAACAAGGCATTAAAATAGCAATGTGATTTACACCATGATTCTTGTGATCACATGAAATAAATAAATGCATACCTACAGAGAATTTCTGCTCATATTTATAGATCCTCCTTTGTGAAAGAGTTAAAAGTATAAATTTCACTATAATAAAATGAAGAAATGTTCTAATATCAATTGTTTTAATAAATTAGAATTACTGTTAACTTCCTCCTGAGCCATATCCTATTTTACTAACTTGAAAATTGTCCTCCATTTTTTTCAATATACACACACAATTATCTAGACATTAAAATATCCCCCCATGAAATACTGATCTTTCCATAATGCAATCAATACTTTTGTTAGGCACAATTTATAACTTCAATGACAAAAATATCTTATAGCTAAAGACATCAGCACCTTAAGGTAAGAAAATTACTGTCTCATACAGAGGGACAAATTAAAATCGCCATCCAGCCATGTCCATCATTTAAGTATTGTCTGTGGCTATTTTCAACTGAAATGGCAGAGTTGAGTAGTTGCCACAGAGACCATCTGGTCCAAACAAACTCAAAACTATTTTGCGAAAAAATATTTCTGACTCCTGACTACTTTTGTTTATCAACTCAGGGTAAATCTGCTTTTTGAGAAGTTTAATTGAATTACACCAAAGATTTACTTGGGTTAATAATAGAATTATATATGTAAATCACAATATTGAAAACAACTCAAATTCATATTGATAATCACTGACTTAATAGTCTTATTTTCTGTTTTTAATATCACAATTATGTTCTGTACTTAAAGGCCTAAATATTCCTTAAGCAGAATTTAATGGGGGGAAACTATTTAAAAAATTATTTGTCTTTAAAAAGGAATGTATGTGAGTGTGTGTATGTGTAAAGGAGATTGAGTTTTGTATGGAAATTTTCCTCATAAATGAAGGTAAGGTGTTTTCTTTTCCATACAAATCCTGAGATTATCCAAGAAATAAGAAAAACAAAACATTCACAGTACAAAGTCAATATACTAAAACTATGAGAAAAAAATGTATTCAAAACATATACACTATCCAAATACTTTTAGTTACATCACTTTAAATATCTTTAAAATTAAAGGGGGAAAGGAGACAAATTGCTAATGCCTTCTTTACCCATATCTGAGTGGTGAAAATAATTAAAACTGAATATCCTTTTAAATAAAGTTTTTAAAAATAAATAAGCTTTTTGATGTTTCATCTTTATAAATAATAAGTTTAAATACTAGATCTTCAATTAGGACTAATGTTAACATGAATTAGAAAAATACATATTTTTCAGTCAGTCAAATAGCTGATAATAGAAAAGTTTTTAACAATTGACTTTCATATACTTAAGAGGCAACTAAAAAGGCCTAATCACCCAAAGAAAAATCCAAACAGAAAGAACCTTCACAAAAGTAGTTTGCTGTTAAATATAATCCACCTCAAAATACATCAGCACTGAGATTTATAGAGACATTTATCAGCGAACAACATTCCAAAATGTCCATGTGTTTTCAGTACAGGAAGAGTCAAAATGTAAACAAGAGGTACTATTTCTGTCTGAAAAAGCAGTCTTAATTGCTTGGTAATTCCAAAATGCTGAATAAAAGGAACCTTAGAGATGTTTCCCACTGATGATGAAAACTTCAAATCTAGCTCATTAAATACTCAAAATCAGCATAAAGAAAAACAAACATGATGCTTTTTAAGTCTGGAAATCCTAGACTAAAAAAAAAACTTTCATTCTGTTTTATCCACTTCAATAAAAATATCACTAAAGAAATATTCAGAGACTGTGTCTGACTCTTCTTCAAGTGCCTGGTTGTGGGCACTTTTACATTCTTCTTTTGGTAAGGAACGATCACAAGAAACCTAAAAAGATAATAAAAATAAGTATGCATATATAAAATTTATATATTGATAATGGCAGTCTAAATTGATAGCTGTTTGAAAAGCAATCTAGCATAAATATATATCCGTTGATCTAATAATTTCTTTTCTATGCTTTTTACATTAAGAAAATATTCCTAAACACAGTAAGTTTTGTGAATAAGTTATAATAAAAGAACATGACATGATTACGTTAATTGAAGTCTAGCCATGATCCATTACATCAACCTAATTTCAATGAAAAATTTAAACAATAAAAAAAACCCACATAACATTAAGTCTAGAATTACATTATATATTTTTTTTAGTTTTTTTTTTCTTTATTGATTAAGGTATTACATGTGTCCTTATCCTCCCCCTGCTCATGCCCTCATCCCCCTAGTGTCTGTGTCCACTGGTTATGCTTATATGAATGCATGCAAGTCCTTTGGTTGATCTCTCCCTCTTCTCTCATCTTCCCCTGCCTTCCCTCTGGGGTTTGATGATTTGATCAATGCTTCTCTAACTCTGGATCTGTTTTTTGTTATCAGTTTATATTGTTCATTATATTCCAAAAATGAGTGAGATAATGTCATATTTATCTTTCTCTGATTTATTTCACTTAGCATAATGCTCTCCAGGTCCATTGATGCTGTTGCAAAGGGTAGGAAGGCGGCCCTTCCTTTTTACAGCAGCGTAGTATTCCATTGTGAAGATGTACCACAGTTTTCTAATCTATTCATCTGCTGGTGGGCACTTAGGCTGTTTCCATATCTTAGCTATGGTGAATTGTGCTGCTATGAACATAGGGGTGCATGCATCTTTTCTAATTGGTGTTTCTAGTTTCTTGGGATATATTCCTAGAAGTGGGATTACTGGGTGAAATGGGAGTTCCATTTTAGTTTTTTGAGGAAACTCCATGCTGTTCTCCACAGTGACTGCACCAGCCTGCACTCCCCCCAGCAGGGCACAAGGGTTCCTTTTTCTCCGCATCCTCTCCAGCACTTCTCGTTTGCTGATGACCATTCTGACAGGTGTGAGATGGTACCTCAGTGTCGTTTTGATTTGGATCTCTTGAATGATTATTGACTTTGAACATGTTTTCATATGTCTCTTAACCTTCTGTATGTCCTCTTTGAAAAAGTATCTATTTAGGTCCGTTACCCAGTTTTTTTTATTAGATTATCTTCCTTTTGTTATGTTGTATGAGTTCCCTGTAAATACTGGAGATTAAACCCACATCAGAGATAACATTGGCAAATATGTTCTCCCATGCAGTGGGTTTTGTTGTTATTTAATTGATGGTTTCTTTTACTGCGCCGAAGCTCTTTATTTTTATGTAGTCCCCATTTGTTTATTTTCTCTTTAGCTTCCATTGCCCTGGGAGCTGTATCAGTGAAGATGTATTTCTTCAGCATATGTATGAGATTTTAAGATTTTTATGGTTTGTTTCCCTGCTTACATTTAAGTCCTTTATCCATTTTGAGTTTATTTTTGTGCAGAGTGTAACTTGGTGGTCTATTTTCTCTCCTCCCCCCCTACCTCCACCCCCCCTGCATGTATCTGTCCAATATTTCCCAACACCATTTATTGAAGACTGTCTTGACTCCATTTTATGATCTTGCCTCCTTTGTCAAATATTAATTGAGCATAGTGGTTTGAGTTGATATCTGGGTTCTCTATTCTATTTCATTGGTCTATACGTCTGTTCTTGTGCCAGTACCAGGCAATTTTGAGAACAGTGGCTTTGTAATACAGCTTGATATCTGGTATTGAGATCCATCCTACTTTGTTCTTCTTTCTCAGGATTGCTGCAGCTATTTAGGGTCTTTTTTTATTCCAGATGAATTTTTGGAGAGTTCTTTCCAGGTCTGTGAAATATGCCATTGGTATTTTAATGGGGAGTGCATTCAATCTATATATTGCTTTGGGTAGTATGGACATTTTAATGATGTTGATTCTACCAATCCATAAACACAGTATGTTCTTCCATCTGTTTATGTCTTCCTCAATCTCTTTTTTCAGTGTTCTGTAGTTTTTCAAGTACAGGTCTTCCACCTCCTTAAGTTTATTCCTAGGTATCCTAATTATTTTGGTGCAATGGTAAATGAGATTGTCTTTTTAATTTCTCTTTTTTCTCTTTCTTTTTTAATATATTTTATTGATTTTTTACAGAGAGTAAGAGAGAGGGATAGAGAGAATCATCGATCAGCTGACTCTTGCATACCCCATACTGGGGATGTGCCAGCAACCAAGGTACATGCCCTTGACTGGAATCGAACCTGGGACCTTTCAGTCTGGAGGGCAACACTCTATCCATTGAGCCAAACCAGTTTCAGCTAATCTCTCTTTCTGTAAATTCACTATTAGTATATAAAAATGCCATAGATTTCTGGGCATTAATTTTGTATTAAAAATTGTTACATTGCCGAATTCATTTATTAAGTCTAATAATTTTTGATGGTGTCTTTAGAATTTTCTATGTACAGTATTATGTCATCTGCAAATAAAGACAGTTTTCCTTCCTTTTTTCCTTTCATATTCTTGTCTAATTGCTATGGCTAGCACTTCTACTACTCTGGCCATTGAGTATGATGCTGGCTATAGGTTTCTCATATAAGGCTCTTATTATCTTGAGGTATGATCCCTCTATTCCCACTTTGCTGAGGGTTTTTATCAAAAAAGAGTGTTGGATTTTGACAAATGCTTTTTCTGAATCAATTGATATGGCTATGTGTTTTTTAAAAAATATGGAAGAATTCACAAATTTGCATGTCATCCTTGCACAGAGGCCATACTAATCTTCTCTGTTTCATTCCAATTTTAGTATGTGTGGTGCTGAAACAAGCACTACAATGACAATATCTTAATAACCAATATAAAAATAGACATGAAACAAAACCGTACCAAAGAAATCATCACAAATTAAAGCAATTCTATAAAAAAAATTAGCAGTTATAAATCTATCAAAAATTAAGACAGGATAGTATTGAAACAGACATAGACATATATATCAATTAAATAGGAGACTAGAAATAACCCCAATACATATGGATGGAAATTTAGTATCTGATAAAAGTGATGTTTCTAAAAGGAAAATAAGAGAAGTTGGATTATTCAATAAATGATGGAGATAACTATATAACAATCTCAGAAAAGTCCAGGCCTATACTTCACCAAAAGAAATTCTATATGGATCAAAAGATTTAAATGTAAAAACTTTTTTTTTTTTTTAATCTTCTAATGGGAAAACTTTTATAAGCCTGGAGAGGGGGATAGGGAGTGTCTTTTTAAATGACAGGAAAACCAGAAGCCATAAAAGATTGAAATTCATCTATATGTAAAAATAAAAAATGTCTGCATAGCAAAAACCATTATACATAAAATCAAGACAAATGTCATACAGATAATAATGTATCTACAACCTATATCACACACACAGAGTTTTCTTTAACATAATAATAGCTTCTACAAATCAATATGAAAAAGACATATAACCAATTCTTTATAAAGTCAAATGATATGAACAGATAGTTCACAGAAAAAGCATACATGATTCAAATACAAGAAGAGATGCTCGATCTAACTCATACGCGCTCATTATATATCTAAGAAGAATGATAAAAGAAAAAGAATTTCTGACATTCAAACAAAAATAACAATTGCCATGTTTTTACTAGTTGGTCTGCTATCCAGACAATTCTATATAAATAATGCAGCAAGTAGTAATTTCATACATACCTGAGTTGCTGAATTGCCAATATCCTCAGATTGAGTATTAACAACACTTGGAGATGGATGCATATCAGAGGATTCTTGAACTTTTTTCTGGCTTTCACTAAGTGGATTGGATCTTTTCAAATTCTGTCTTGATATAGGTATAAGGGGTTTTAAGCGTTTTTTTCTATGAACCTGAGTAGGTTCATCAGACTCCAAATTATTCTTTGAACATATTAAAGACAAAAATCCCAAGGGTCTTCTGCCAGGTCTAGAAATACAAACATAAAGATATTCAAGAATATCCAGGAAGACACATTCTTAATACCAACTTCTTTCCATTAATCCTACAATGGCATATGTACTAGTAATACAACATTAGTGCATATAATTAGTGCTTTAAAGTGCATACAAATCACCTGAGAATCTTATTAAAATGAAATTTCTGACTGAATTAATGGGGGGTGAAGCCTGGGTTCTGTATTTCTAACAAGTTCTCAAATGATGCCCATGCTGCTGGTCCCATGATCATACTGAATAGTAAGGTTCTACAGCAGATGTCAGCAAACTAGGCCAAATGTAGTCCACCACTTAATTCTATAAACAAGTTTTACTGAACACAATTGTGTTTATTGGTTTAAATGATTGCTTTTGCACTATAAATGCAGGGTTTAGTAGTTGCAACAAAGACATATGGGCCACAAAGTCTAAAATATATACTACACGATCTTTAGCTAAAATTTGTTGACCCATATTCTAGAATACTGCTTCTTAATCGGTTTTAACCCAAAACCCCCTGATGCCTCCCTCTTTCTATATTCAGCACATCTCTTAGATCAGAAAAGAAATTGCTGAGCTTCACTTTCTGTAGTTTAGATAACTAGAACGATAGATTCATTAAATATGCCTTTTTAAGCTAAAAATGCCCTTCCCCCTTTCCTTTAGTGGAGGTTAGTACATGTCCTCCCTCTTCAACTCACCAATTCCATATTTAAAACTGCTGACAAGAACAATAATTATGCAGAAGCCAGAATGCTTTGCTTCTAGAGTATGAGGAAATAATGTGGGGAAAACTGGCTTTGGGCTTAAATTTCACACTTACTCTCATTAAGACAAAGCCATGGTTTGCCTCTTCGGTATGCCATAAGGGAGAAAAATGTACATTTTCTGGGACCTCAATAAAACAAAATCTAGAACTACTTCTGATATTAGTCCTGTCTTAGATCATCTATTATACATGTGCACTGGTAGCTACTACATGACAGAATAAACAAGGATCAACTAATAATCAAGGACAATGTGGAAAACCAAATGTGTAATACGAAATTCTAAATATATTTTATCTAAAGAGTCAAAGTTTCAGCACTTAGAGATTTCTCAAGATACCTGGATAGTGGGGTTTTTGAAGATGATGTGATGCTATCCACTTGTTCAGACTTAGAAGCTGCACAAGTTCCTTCTTTCTTATCAGACACAACCACCTTATCCTGAGGTAACAGAGGTGAATTCTTTTCTACGTGTGTATCTATTATTTTATCAAGAGGTGAAGATCCCATACTCTGAAAAGTTTCTTCAAGTTGCTCTTTCTGAGGTTCTGGTGTTGTATGCGTGCTTTCTGAAGTAGAGAAGATACTTTGTCCCTTGTAAGACATCCCTTAAAAAAAAGAGAAAAAATGGTAAGCACATATATTGAAATTAATACAACGAATGGAACTTCAATATTTGAAGGGAAAAAAACCATAACATTCTATCATAAGCATGCTCTAGTAAGCTAAAGTAGAATAAGCTAAATTAAAAATTAGGGAGTTACCTGGATGCTTAAGAATAATATAGCTAGCTAAAAGTTATAGTAACAGCTTCTCAAGAATAGTCTTATCAATATATTTTCACCTAGAAAATTTCTCCATAAATATTTCTTAAACTAACAAAGTGATCATTTTCTAATCTCAGGGTATAAGGAAGGACCTACGAAAATTCCTTTGTATCCAGCCAGCTTTTTAATTACTAAAATGGTAGTTGTTGAGCTTTCTCAGGAATCCTGTAGAGTTGTGTTTTTCCATTAAATACAGAAAGTAGACTTTTATGGCTACCAAAGTGCCAAATCCATAATCTCAGCAGGGGAAAAAACACATCTAATAATAAAAGCATCATTCTTAGAGAACAGTGAGCAAGACTCTACTTCAATCCCAAATTTGAACAAGATGCATCAAAAATAATGAGGGGTACTTAGGAAAATATAATCACATTAAAATTGAATTCACTCACCTGTCTCCTCAAAAACATTTATCAATTCCTTTGAACATACCTGTTTTAAGAAAATTTACAAAAAAAATTAGAAATCCATTTATCAAATAAAATGAAGCGGGCTGGGAGAGGACAGTGGGTAGAAAAGGATACATATGTAATACTTTCGTTAACCAAAAAGTCTCAATGTGAAAAACACATAAATAGTCAAATGACAAATAACCAACTGGAAAAACATCTGCAACTCATATCTCAGGCACATATAAGACAGTTCCTTCAAATCTATAAGAAAAAGATTAACAACCCAATTTAAAAAAATGGGTCAGGAATTCAGTCATCTCACAGAAAGCACAAATGGCTTAAAAATATGAAAATATGCTCAAACCTTACCATAATAAGAGAAATTAAAACTATTCTGGGAGATTATTTTTCAACGATCAGGATACACTGCCTCTGATGTCTGCTATCATCTAAGGACTATTGGTCTTCAAGTGTCCCTTTGATATACAGATGCTAAATTAACTTTGCCATAGTGTGGTTACATAATGTACACAGTGTGGTACATGCATTATAAGCACCGGAAAAAAAAACCCAGAGAGTGCTAAGAAACATACAACACAATGCATGCTGACTGAATCTGCATAGTACTAACAGACTACGTAGTATTATAAGATAGTGATGGTTGAGTTAAGAAGTTTGTGTGTTTTCAGGCAGGGGTGGAGAAAGTCTGGTTCGTGTGCCAAGGCCTCCGAAATCATTTGGTCTGTTCCTGCCAAGGCATTTGGCGTGAGTTAATTCAATGTTTGACCAAATATAGAAGGCTAATTTTAAGCTGATAATTATAAATATGATGTTATAAATATTTATGAGAATGATGTTATAAATAGCCAAATGGTACTTGACAGAAAGAAGGTTTGGGATTGGGCCTAAACTGGCAATCGGATATCCCCCAAGGAGTCCCAGATTGGAGAGGGTGCAAGCTGGGCTGAGGAACACCCCCCATGCATGAATTTTGTGTAACGGGCCTCTCTCTCTCTCTCTCTCTCTCTCTCTCTCTCTCTCTCTCTCTCTCTCTCTCTATATATATATATATATATATATATATATATATGCCTAAGTGACTATTATGACCTAGCGACCAGAACAACTGGTCAACTAGTCGCTATGATGCATACTGACCACTAGGGGGCAGACGCTCAATGCAGGAGCTGCCCCCTAGTGGTCAGTGCACTCCCACAGCCAAACTCCCGTGGCCCCTCCCTAGCCAGCCAACCTCCCATGGTGCATTCCCTCGGTTGTCCCCCCAACTGGCCCTGATCAGGGGGACTGACCAACCTCCCATGGCTCTTCCCCCCAATCAGGGGCCAGCCAGCCAACTTCCTGGGGTTCCTCCTCCCAGCCGGCCCCCGCAATAGGCCTTGATTGCCAGCCAGACCAAGATACCCCACCCATGCATGAATTCATGTACCAGGCCTCTAGTCTTTATCCTATATAAAAGGCTAATATGCAAATCGACCAAAAGGCAAATGACTGGTCATTATGATGCACACTCAACACAGGAGCTGCCCTCTGGTGGTCAGTGCACTCCCACAGGGGGAGCACCACTCAGCCAAAAGCCGAGCTCACAGCTGGTGAGTGCAGCCTCTCCCGCCTCCTCAGCAATCAGACATTCCCCTGAGGGCTCCTGGTCTGTGAGGGCGCAGGCCGGGCTGAGGGAATACCCCTCCCCTGCAAGTGCATGAATTTCATGCACTGGGCCTCTAGTATAAAGAATATAAAGGAAAAAAACCAAATCAATTTGTTATAATATGGCCATCTTACTTAGTGGCTCTCTTACCTCAGAGGTATATTCTTGACAATCATTTCTTAGAGTGAGTGAATGTTTTTTGGCAGGAGGAACATGGTCACTTTCATCAGACCTAGAATGTAATCTCTTCCTAGACATAAGATCCAAATTAGTAGGAGGCTTTTCAGAAGCATTTCTTCCAGAATTAGAAAAACACATGGCATCCTGGTCAACTGAAGTTATTGGAAAATTCATACTGCATAGAAAATAAATACACATTAATCAATTAGAGCTATTCCAATCAAAACTACCAAAAACACTTCAAAGTAACTAACACATACATGGCCATGACCAAAATAAAAAGGTTATTGCACTCCATTAATATTTAAAGGCTTAGAACTTAAATTCATTACTACTGAATTAAATCTGAGGTATAAAAAATGTCTGTAAAGTTAAATTGTAACCTAAAATGTCTCTTTCTGATATAAAAAACTTCAATTTCTAATTCATTTAATGTGCAATTAAGCATCTTAATCAGTGACTATTAAAGTACAACTTAATAATTCTACTGTAAAGAATTAAAATAAGTATCAAAAATATATAGAAATGTTACCTCTCCTATTTTTGCTTCTTTCTGTGAATGTATTTAAGATATATATGTTTACAAAGTAACAAAATTTAAGGTATATATAAATGTTTACAAAGTAACCATACCTTTAATAGATGCCACTTCATGATCTACATTTGTAGGTGTTTTTAACTTTCAAAATACATAAAATACCACACAGGTTTCATACAAAAAATATTACACATTTGTGAAAACTTCATCAGATATAAAATAAATGATTTCTTCTCTACTTTGCCACATGATTACTAAATAAGATATCTAGAATTACAAATGTTGGTAAATGGCTCATTCCTATCAATACTATTTGATTCATAAAGCAAATTTTCTCCTAGAAAAAAGTTTAGCTCATTCATTACCTCATGTCACCCTTTTCTTCTGTAGTCACAGACTTGACCAATATAGGCGCTGGCAGTAAAGGGTTTAACTGTGTAGCGTTATCAGTAAATTCTTCTACTGCATTGGTTGGAATTTCCACCAGAGTTAAAATGAATGCTTGCTCTTCCTCAGCATCATGATGTATGTTACCAACTAGATTCACTATCAAAATTTAAAAGTTAGTAATGAAAAGCTGAACCATGAGAGAACAGAAAATCTTTTAATTTCTAAAAAAGTCTCAAAACAACTTATCATTAATAATAAAAACTGAATTACACCCCCCAAAAAAGTAATTTTATAAAGGATAAAGATGATTCACTATGGAAATTTATAATTATGTACAACAAAATACTTCGGTTTGTTTTTCTTAGTTTTTTTACTTTAAGGCCATCATAGACCCCCCTCCCCCCAAAACACACACACACACACACACACACACACACACACACACACACACACACACTGTTTTGTTTTTTACACAAATTGGGGAATAAAAAACATACTGGTAGTTTCTATAATACTTTATTGAAGCAGATTATCATACCTGCTAAATCCTGACGATTGCTTACATTCTCTTGTTGAACTTCTGGAATACTAGTTGGTATACACTTGCCATAAAAATTAAAATGAAAAAGTAAAGTTAACTAAATCTCAGTTTAAAAAAGTTTTCCTGACATTTTGATATACTGAATGGTCATGGTTTCAAACCTCAACAATTATCTAACCCTATGCAATTTTTCAGTGTTTTTGAAACTTAGTTGTACCAATAAACTTTTGATTACGGTAAGTAAATATTTACACACAGCAATTCAAACTAAAATGACAATATGTATAGTCTATGAAATGAATTTTGGCTCAGTGGATAGAGCTTCAGCCTGGGGACTCAGGTTTGATACTGATCGAGGGCACATGCCTGGGTTGTGAGCTCAATCCCCAGTAAGGGATCTGCAAGAGGCAGCTGATCAATGATTCTCTCTCATTATTGATGTTTCTCTCTCTCTCTCCCTTTCCCTTCATCTCTGAAATCAATAAAATTATATATATACACGTTAACGTCTGGGCCCTATTCCCCCCCAAGATTGGTTTCATTGGATTGGGTTGAGGATCACTCACTCCTAAAGATCCTTCTGCAACTCTCTTCCTTAACAACGAACAGACTAAGTTTATTCATTTGTTTTCCACAACTATGTATCCCCATATCTCACACAGTGTTAGACACGTATCTTCTCAGATCCAGGGGTTAAGTAGCAAGAGGTGAATTCTCTGTGTAAAAACACTTCCCTTTTCAAAGCTTTTATAACAAAGCTAGGTATTGGCTAGTATCTCTGTGCTCCAGAGACTAAAAACACAATACAAATTCTATCACAGTACATTCTTGCAAAGGCAAACCGGATCAGAGGTTGCCAGGGGCTGGAGAGAAGGGGTGACTAAAAAAAGACACCAGAGCATTTGGGGGATGATTAAATTGTTCATGTATTAGTCACATGACTATATATGTTTGTCAAAATGTATAAAATTGCATATTAAAGAGGGTGAAAGGTATTGTGATTGTATTATTCCCCCCCCCCCCCTTTTTTTAAAATGAGGAACAAACACCTAGCCACCACTTGTTACATTTTTCATTCTTTTACCTCAGGCACATAAGATGTAAGCACATTGTCTCCACTCGAGTCCTTTGCCAGGGGCTCTCCAACAGAACTCTCACTAAGACCCTGACCCAAACCAAGTGTGTGGGAGCTTGTCTCAGAGGAAACAACTGGAGCAAATGACAATATCTGAATTTCTTGAGATCCCTGTGCTTGGTCTTCCTTTCTGAAAGAGAAATTAGTATGTATTAGTTTCAGTATATATTTGAAATCAAGTAGAAAACCATAGCATGTTTAGAGCTAGGTACATCAAATTCATCTATGTTAATGTTTTTTAAACTTTTATATTAATATGACAAAACCTGGATGTATGTTTGTTTTTTAAATTAAATTCTTACTGCTAAACATTATGGATATAGTTGAAACATAATAAAATCAAATCCCACAATCTCTCTTCTTTACCTTTCCTTTAGGCTTGCTTCCTGCAAAATACTGGTCTCTTCAATTGCATGGTCATGTGCCAATCTGCTCTGCTCCTTATTCTCTGCTATTGTTTCTGATTCAAGGTTTTTATCTTCTAATCCTGTTGCTTTAGGAGCGTTTTTCTCTGTTTCTTAAATTAAAAAAACATTTAAGATATAATCCAAAATAGTACACTAAAATCTCCATATTAGAAACATATTTTCTCTTCAAAGACAGATCACTATATAGTGGACTCTTTCAAACATCTCTTAATCCAAAAAGCAAGTTTATTATTATTTATTTTTTAATGTATTTTATTGATTTCAGAGAGATGAAGGAGAAGACAGAGAGAAATAGAACATCAGTGATGAGAATCATTGATCAGTTGCCTCCTGCACAACCTCTCCTGGGAATCGAGCCAGCAATCTAGGTATATGCCCCGACTAGGATTTGAACCATGACCTCCTGGTTCACAGGTTAATGCTCAATCACAGAGCCACGCCTGCCAGGCCAAAAAGCAAGTTTATTCACAGGGCACATATTTCATTCCTGACTACCACAAAAACTGTGACCCTATTTAGTGGTAATAGCAGTATAATTAGAAATCCACCAACAAAAGTAATTTATAGGTGGATATACATAAGTCTGGTTAGTTCCACCTTGGGAAAAGTACTAGGAAAGAGCTGTTCTCAAAGAATAGTGTTACAAAGAGAAAGAAAATGACTTCTATATAGGAAAGATAACTTGAGTCAGCATGAGAGTGCTTCTGGGTACTGCTCAGACCAGAGCAAGTAACAAGCATTGCTGGGTGAAAAAGAAACCCCAGAAATCAAGAATCCAAAACAGAAATGATGTTAACTATTCAGACCTTCTACATACAACATACAGGGTTTAACACAATCTTGGTAAATATTTCAATACCACTAAGTCACACATTTTGAAAAGTGCAGAATAGTGTACTGTATGCATATATTTTTATTCTTCCTGAAAGAATGTATATATGAATGTATGGGCATATATACACTCTCATTAGATATTTATGTGTATAAAATCTTTCTTGAAGTCTATAATAAAAATGGTTAAAAGGCCGAAACCTGTTTGGCTCAATGGATAGAGCGTCGGCCTGCGGACTGAAAGGTCCCAGGTTCGATTCCGGTCATGGGCACGTACCTTGGTTGCGGGCACATCCCCAGTGGGGGATGTGCAAGAAGAGCTGGTCGATGTTTCTCTCTCATCGACGTTTCTAACTCTCTATCCCTCTCAATTCCTCTCTGTGTAAAATCAATAAAATATATATATTTTTAAAAAATGGTTAAAAGCAGTTTACCACTAGAAGTGGGATTAGAGGTCTGGAAACCTAAGGAGGAGGGAGTTTTTTAAATCGTATGCCTTCTGGGCACTCTCTTATTTTCTGCCACATGCATGTATACCTTTCTAGGAAATGTGTGCTTGAACATTCATATACACACACACACACTCACATACAGAAAAAAATACAAAGACAAAAGTTTGATCAAGTAAATATAGTAAAATGGTATTAACTATTAAACCAATTGGATTTATAGGTAATTATTTTATAGCTATTTCTACTTTTTGTACATTTGAAATTAATAGTAAGTTAAAATAAGTTTAACTACTGAATACTCCATTTGAAATGTCATGTAATTTCTTGTGTCAAAATAATTTTTGCAAGGGAACAATAAAATTTACCTCTTTGAATTTCCACTTCTCCTTTGGTTACAAGCAAATTGGGAACTTCCTGATGAGCACCAAATCTGTTGGTCCTTAAAATCTTAAGATTTGGCTTAGGCTTGGCAAATCTCCTTCTCATTCTCAAATTATTGGTCACCTCAGAAGTTGTATTCCTAGAAAAAGAGGGGGGAAAGAGAAATCTATCAATGTGTAAGAATTCTCTCTTACATTGTGTCTAGCACTGACACAGATATGTGCCATCTTCTAAGAAGCCACATTGTCTGAAGTTTCATTTCTTAATGCTAAAATTACGGGTAGTAACTTTTCTAAAGGTCTTGAGAAGGGAAGAGATTCTGGACCATATTTGTAAAACAGAGACTAAAACTATTTACATAAAACTATTTCATTAAAGCTTTAAATCTTATCGCAGTAATTTTAATATGCAAAATATCAAACTAAAATCACAATCAGCAAATTTTTACTTTAAAGGATAAGGAATCAGTACTGCATACTTTACCACTTATACAAGTATTACTTAAATCTATTAAATTGATGGTTTAAATATATTTATTAGTAGGCTACTGTAATTTATTTTTTGGTAAAACTCAAAAGAAATAATAGTTTAATAAAGCAAAATAAACCTGGTTGATCTAGCATTTTCCTTCACTTTCTCCAGTAAACCAATTTCTTCTTTAGTACTTTGTTCCTCCAATCCAATCTTGTTTTCTTCTAATGATGAAAGAGGTATACTACTGACAGGTGAAGAAAGCTCCTGATATTCAGAAACAATTTTGTCACTGACATTATCTGGGTTAAAAGGAATATGGCTTTTATCCTTTGAATGAACACCAGGAAGTACACATATTCCTATTGCAGAAAAAAACAGAAAATATAAATAGATGTCAAAATAAATCCTTCAGCATTCAGCAATTGCAAATTTCTATACTGTTTTTAAAGTTTGCTCTTCTGGGCTCTAAAACTAAATGTATGATCCCATTCTTTATGCCAAATATTTTACCTATTCTAAGCTTAATAATTCTTACAGACTGAAGTATTTGGGTTATTATAAGTAAAAATAAATCTTTTTGTTACTTTCAATAACTATATAACCTCAAATAAATTAAGAATATCACCTTTATTTACAATTTTTCAAAACCTGTATTTTATGTCTTAGAGATTTGTGACAAGCTCCAATGCAATACTATTCCATTAAGAATCAAGCCTGGAAAAAAAAAAAAAAAAAAAAGGAATGAAGCCCATTCTGGCCAGGTGAATTGATTGGAACATCATCTACGACACCAAAAGGTCGCAGGTTTAATTCCCAGTCAGGGCTCATACCAAGGTTGTGGGGTCTGATCCTTGGTATGGGAGGCAACTGATGGATGTCTCTCTTACAATGATGTTTATCCTTTCCCCTCTCCATTCCCCTCTCTCTAAAATCAATAAAACAAAAAAAGATAAACCATGACTCTGTTCACCTCATACAATCTACAGTTTACACATCTTTAAAAGAAACATTTCTGTATCTGCATGACATATTCATAGAGTAAAATACTTAATCAAGACCATTGCTTCTCTGTAAGGTCAGCCTAAAATATTAAAAATCTGGGTTGACATATAATTTGGCTCAATTCAAACTTATAGAACATTCTAAACCAAATAATCTCATTGAGGACTATTGTCCCATCATACTGTATTCAAATGTCACGTAACGGTCAAACTACCCAAAGAAGTAGCTCCTTTGATAAAGAAACATGTATAAAGTAATCAGTGATCAATAAGTGCCGTTAACCAATGATGTTTATGATAACAAAGGTAACTGAGTACATACTATGTGCTGGGGATACAGCACTGAACAAATATTCCACAAATACAAATTACTTTTAATAAACCAAGTGCACCCCTAATTGGTTTGGCTCAGTGGATAGAGCGTTGGCCTGTGGACTCAAGGTCCCAGATTCGATTCCAGTCAAGGGCATGTACCTTGGTTGTGGGCACATTCCCAGTAGGGAGTGTGCAGGAGGCAACTGATCAATGATTCTCTCATTGATGTTTCTTAACTCCCTATCCCTCTCCCTTCCTCTCTGCAAAAAATCAATAAAATATATTTTTAAAAATAAATAAATAAATCAAGTGCACTATCTTGAAATAGTGGCCACTACATCTAAAGGGACAATTAAATGGATCATTGCATACATATTATCTTTTATGAAAAAAACAACTAAGTGGTGCCAACTTGAAATGTAACAGACAGGTATTCACTTATTATCCAAATGTGGGTATAATTTCTTAAAAGTTGAACTTTAAAAGTTGTTTTGAGGACTTATTTTCATTCTTACCATCACTCTGCTCTGTACAGATCTCTGACTGCAACACTAGATCTCCCATTGTAAGTAAAGTAATGGCAGCTTCAGTGCTTCCATCGTTGGTATCTTGTGAGAAAATATACCAACATTAAAACAGAAGAATGTATCTGGAAATTTAAGTTTGTTTACTTAGAAAGTTTTTAAATTCAGGTGTTTATCCTCTAGTAACAAGTTTCAATATCCTCTATACCACTAATCCCTTACTAGGGTAATGTTTTCATCAATTTACTATAGGTAAAGAAATCATCAATTGTTGGCTTTTACTCACTGCAAATGCCTCCCTCCCATTAAGTAACTTAATATCTTCAAAAAAATGCATCTATGCAAATCAGAGAAAAAAATACTTCTTTACTAAACATATAACTCAACTCATTTTCTACAGTAACATTCCAAGAATTCACATTTCTCCTAAAGATAACACATTCAAAAGCTGAATCATTTTGTTCAACTTTCTAGCAAAATTACTCATTTACAAACTACCACCACTACTATATCACTGTGCTAGTGTTAACCAAGTAGTTTTTAACAGTTTTCTATTAACAATTACCTGTTTCATCTTGGCTATGTTCACCTGTGGTCATTTCCTAAAAGAGGAAAAGTAATATCTTATGTAGTGTCCCAAATTATTTGTTCTATATCTCAAAAAACACTATGTTGTACAGATCTATCTGTGTTTTTAATTGCAATAGAGTGGGAACTGGTTCCCTCCCCTTAATTATAATTATTCATAAAATTGGATAAACAAGAACAGAAATAATTAAAAAGCCAAGTTCTTTTGTCTGTTGTTCTTTATTTTACCATTTCTTTGTATATGTACAAATTTTAATTATGATTATATTGCAATCTGCATCTACCATTCTTACTTTAGTTCTTCACTTCATAAACCTTCAGCTTTAGTCATAGCTGGCATAGTTTTGACTCAATGGAAACCATAGTCTGAAAAATATCACAATTTTTTTTTACACTACTAAGAAGTTACAGGACTGATGTCCAGCATGACAGCATAAGGAGCTCTGGTGACAATCTCCCCATTGAAAATGGTGAAATTTATTTAAAAGCAAAAGCAACCATTAAGGCCTCTGGAAATGATCCTAAGAGCATAGAACGAAAGATCATTTATTCATGAAAACACAAAACATTAAAATGGATGCTTACAACTGACAATACATTCAAATTTTCTTCTTGTTTCATTTCCTGTGTGGTCACATCTGTGTTTGAGAGCTGATGTTCATCAACAGTTATGAATCCGATATCTGGGACATTCACGGTTATTTCAAGCTGTCAAAATGAAAAGTCTTATGATTTCATATTGGCATACTATATACAAACAAACAAGTAAAATAAAATGGTAAACTGAAAAAATAATCCAGATTCATACACAATTAAAAAACTGAAGAATAGTCATTTTTACATTGATTTGACATCAACTTGGCAAAAATAAAACATGTAAGGCTTTTGAGGGGCCTGAGAGTCTTATAACCAGTAAGCAACTTTTACAAGGCTAATCTTCCTAGTACCTAGCATTTAATTTTCCATTATCCCCACTTTCTTCCTACTTTGACATAATTAATCTCATCAGTCTGTTAGCATTTCTGGAGTGCTTCCTAAAAATTAGAGGGCTGCAGTTCAATGAGACAAGTTTGGTCCCTGCCCTCAAGGAACTCCCAATCTAAAAAAAAAGAGATATATAATCAACTAACTATACACTGTCTTAAGTACTATAATAGAGATCAGTTGAAAGCTCTTAAATATATACTAGAGGCCCAGTGCATGAATTCGTGCACCAGTGAGGTCCCTTGGCCTGGCCTCCGAGATCAGGCCAAAACCAGCTTCCCAGTGGTCCTGGTTTGCAAGAGGGTGCAGGCCAGGCTGAGGGACCCCACCAGTGCACCGGAGTCATGGAGAGACGAGGGAGGTTGGCCAGCTGGAGAGGGACCACGGGAGGGCTCTAGGGCATGTCCAGCCCATCTCACCCAGTCCTAATTGGCCAGACCACAGCAGCAAGCTAACCTACCGGTCGAAGTGTCTGCCCCCTGGTGGTGAGTGCACATCTTAGTGAGTGGTTGAGTGGCCTTAGCATATCATTAGCATATTATGCTTTGATTGGTTGAACAGCCAACTGGTCAACTGGGCACTTAGCATATTAGACTTTTATTATATAGGATATTACCCTCTCCTGCAACTTAAAACCTGTATCTTTCTTGATAGCCATGTCAATGGCTATGTAAAATCATGAGTTTATTCACATTTACCCTTCCTTTAGCAGTGTTACTGGTCAAAGATCCCTATAATCCTGGAACTAAAAATATTAAGATTTCTCTCTTAGATTACATTTAAGACAGTGTGGCTCTTATTCCCTTAATAACAGAAAGAAGTTGGTTTGGACCACCATCCATAAATGTAAATTTATAAATTCAGTAATCCATTAATTCTGGGTAACTTAACATTATTTGAATTGTTTTATATATCCTACTTCTTTTATTATTACCATCAATACCATCTCAGTTTACTTCTGATTCTGTTTCAAATGACTCAGAAACTATCATGAGTACTTACTACAAAATTGATTGATATATGCTACTCTATAAGCCACGTAAATCATTGAAAATTGAGTCAAAACAGAAAACTTTGAAGTTACAAAGTTGAAATACTAGACCTAGAGGCAAAGGAGTAAGGAGCTTTTATAATAAAGTAAGTTAAAGTAGTATGATCCTTCATCTCACATCCATTAGGATGGCAAGTATCCAAAAAAAAGAAAGAAAATAACAAGTGTTGACGAGGATGTGAAGAAATTAGAACCTTTTTACACCATGTACAATGATGCAGCTGCTATGGGAAACAGTTTGGTGGTTGCTAAAAAAAAAAAAAAAAATGGGCCATGGCCAGTATGGCTCAGTTGTTTGAGCATTGTCCCATGTACCATGAGGCTGCCAGTTCGATTCCAGGTCAGAGCATATGCCCGGGTTGTGGGTTTTATCCCCAATGATGGGTACACAGGAGGCAGACTATCAATGTTTCTGTCACTGGCATTTCTATATTTTTTCCTCCCCCTGCCCCTCCCCCTCCCCCTCCCCCTCCTTCTTCTTCTTCTTCTTCTTATTCTCTTCCTATCTCCCTCTCTCCCCTCTGTCACCCTTCCTCTCTACTTCTCTCTTAAAAATCAATAAAAACAATTTTAAAAAAAAGTCAGTGAAAATTAAAATTTAAAAAAAATAAATTTATAATTTACCATATGATCCAGCAATTCCACTTCTAGTTATATTCCCCCCAAAAAATTAAAAGCAGGAGTTAGAAGAGATATTTGTACACCCATGTTCATAGCAGCATTCTTTATATTATCCAAAAAGTGGTAGTAACCCAACTGTCCACTGACAGATGAATAAACAAAATGTGGAATGGAATATTATTCATCCTTTAAAGAGGAGGACATTCTGGCACATGATCAAACATAGATGAACCTTGAAAACATTATGCTAAGTGAAACAAACTACTAACAAAAACGACAAATACTGTACAAGAAATACTACACAAGGTACCTAAAGTCATAGAGACAAAAGTGGAATGGTGGTAAGCACAACCTAAAGGGGAGAAGGTAATGGAGAATTATTGTTAGATATGTACAGAGTTTTAGTTTTGCAAGATAAAAAATGTTCTGGGGCTAGATGGTGATGATGGGATAGCACAATGAAATGAATATACTTAATGCCACTGAACTATACATTCAAAAATGGTTAACATGGTAAATTTTATGTTATGTGTATTTTACTACATTTAAAAGTATATAAATATATGTCTCTTCTACCTTGTCTACTAACCAGAACTCAGCCTAAGCCGATAAAAATTACATTTGGTAGAGGTAATTTAGAGAATGAAGTCTACAAATCCTAATATTCAATAAGAGAAAAAAAAGTGAACCACTAAGATAAAAATACAAGTAAGACAAAGTCCCAAGCCCTCAAAAAAGAAACTACCTCTTCCATTGTTTCCTCAATATGAGTAGAAACAGGTTCAGGAGATCTGAGACCAACAGGTACAAACACTGGAGCTTTGTTTATTTCTTCTGGAGCAAGATGATAGCTTTCTTCTTCATAGACAGATTCAAAATCCTCACCATCATCTTCATCCTCTTCCTGGGAAGCCCTAAGAGTCACCAGCATGGCCTTGGGAGCTCTAGGTTCCTTCTTAGAAGTCTTACTCCGAATTCGTTTTGATCCACGCCCTTTGTTGACAGTTGGTTTGATCTTTCGATGCGTTCTCCTTTCAGTATGATCCATCTCATATCCGACGGCAGAAGAGATAGCTGTTCTTTGATTGAGAGCAATTTTAGAGTAATTTGATTCTTTTAATAGTTGTGAATGGCTGGAGGTTTAATCAAAATTACAACATAGTCACTGCACACACAGGATAATTTTATTAAAAACCAAACTTTTACACTGAAAATGCCAACTCAAGCCTTAAAAATGAAAACTCCCACCACTCATTCTGTCAAAAATTTATACTGTGAAAAGAAAACACTTACTATTAGTTTCTCATTCAGCATTATCTGAATATAAAAACATAAAAAAATACAATTCTTAAAAAATAAATAAAAGTCTTAGTTATCTACCCACAAATTTTTCATAGTAAGTTTTATTTCTGGGCCATTTCCCCTCTTGCTACAGAAGTAGAGATAAAATACAAGACTGAAAATTATCAGAGGAAAAAGGAATGACAGTCAATGGGCCAATAAATACAAAATAGGAAGTTAAAAAGTGATACTGGTTATTCTTATTGGGTAAACAGATTAGGATAAAAAAAAAAAAAGAGGAGGCAAAAAAATCCATCAAAACAATATTGGTTTTAAGAACTTAGTTTCCTTCCACGTTTCTTGAAAATGATAGAAGAGGGTACCCTTCACCTATGTTTGTGCCCATTTGAATTAGTACTCTAATTATTAAGATACTACATGCTACTCTTTGGTCAGGCTTCTTCATATCTACCATACTTAATACCCAAAGATTTTAAATGTAGGATAAAGAAAATCTTCCTAAAGAGATCCAAAGGAAGTAACTATTCAGTAAATAAAATCAAAAGGGAAGAGAAATAGACCTATCAATAAAAAACAATCTACACTTCTGTTAACAAGATATCTCTTACTCTATTAATAAATTAAAATAGGACATCCATAAAGAATAAATTTTTATTTCTTCTGCTGAAAGTAGTTATGTAAAATTTTACCTTGCTAATTTACTGAGATGCTGCTCTTCAACAACTGGAGACACAGAACTATCCCCTTCAGTTTTCTGTCCCATACTTCCCGATGGTCCAACTTCTGATTGAAGTTCTTTCTGGGCCAAACCAGCCTCTTCAGAACCTATACAATCTTTTCTTGCTGAAACCTCCAGAGATGTTAGAAGTTCAGCTTTTTCCTTCAATTTAAGAAGAAACAGCTAATATTACCACAAAAACAATCTCTAGGGCAATTTGATTTGGTAGTTTGACCTAGAGTTCCAAACTTGCTTACACACACACACACACACACACACACACACACACACACACACCATGACTGGTTTCTAAGTTTTTATAATATTAGAATGCCACTCAATTTTTGTGAAAATGACAATACAAAATTAAATATTTTTAATGTTCTCATGATCATGACAAAATACAACCCACTGATAAAAATTATATATTTTCAAACTTACCTTTTGAAGGAGCTGGATGTCAGAATCTCCTTGCTGCAGCAAATTATCTTCTGGCCTCCAGGCCTTACCCGGATCTGCTCTGTCTTTTTCTATAACTCTTTCCTCTTTCTTATCATGTGCTCTTCCCAAATTTGGCTCAGGGTTTTGGAACTGCCTTCTTATCAATTGTGCTGGACTAGAAACACAAGTTTTATGTTCATTTCTAGAATGAAGTACAAATCATCTTGAAGAACAAAAATCAGAATTCTTTTTTAATGTACCAGTTGTTAAACAATTTTTTACACAAACCAATCCTATGTTCAAAGGACTATATGTAAATTGGCTATGCTGATATGAAAGGAAGAACATAAATGCTTTTGCAGTATTTTCTGTATAGCCTGGGAAACAGGACTGAATGGTCCCCGGTTCAATTCTGGCCAAGGGCACATGCCTGGGTTGCAGGCTTGATCCCCAGTGTGGGGTGTGCAGAGGCAGCACATCAATGATTTCTCTCATCACTGATATTTCCCTCCTTCCTATTCCCTTCCTCTCTGAAATTATATATATATATATATATATATATATATATATATATATTTTTTTTTTTTTTTTTTTTTTTTAAAGAAAAAAAAAAAAGCAGAAAAAAAAAATTCTAGTTCATGCCCTAGCCGGTTTGGCTCCGCGGATAGAGCGTCATCCTGTGGACTGAAGGATCCCGGGTTCAATTCTCGTCAAGGGCAAATGCCCAGGTTGCCAGCTCAATCCCCAGTGGGAATCAATAAAAATATTTTTTTAAATATTCTAGTTAATAATTATTATTTTATACTTTTATAAAAATTTCAAGATATGAAGTTATATAAAATTCATTATGTAAAAACCCAACCTTTATCTTTGGAAAGTTTAATGCTTTCTGATTTAAAGGCACACTCACCTCATCTTTTTATCTAAAACATCAATTTTGTTAATATGAAGGTTTTCTAGAAGAGTCACGTGACTCTGATTTTCATACATTCTTCCTTCAGAAACTTTAGAGGATATATTTTCAATTTCAGTTCCAATTTGATAATTTGGCTGAAATGACAAAACCATATTTGTATATTTTTTTAAAACAACAGAATATACCTTCTAAAATATTTTGAACATTAAGAAAGGCATTTAGTTTTTTAAAATGAAGATTCAAACTGGATATGTTCATAATCACCTAATTTAGAAAGTTTAAGAGATTTTTGCAGTAAAATGTTTAAATGATGCTTTTAAAAGTACATAACCATCTGTTATGAATTATCCCCCCGAAAAAAGAAGTTTAATGTTGTTGTTTTTAAAGAATCAGGAGGGCCGAAACAGGTTTGGCTCAGTGGATAGAGCATCAGCCTGCGGACTGAAGGGTCCCGGGTTCGATTCCGGTTAACGGCATGTACCTTGGTTGCGGGCACTTCCTCAGTGAGGGGTGTGCAAGAGGCAGCTGATCGATGTTTCTCTCTCATCGATGTTTCTAACTTTCTATCCTCCTCCCTTCCTCTCTGTGAAAAATCAATAAAATATATTTTTTTAAAAAGAATATTTATATATTTAAAAAAAGAATCAGGAGGTTCAAATAAAAATTACAATCACTTTAAATCTAGATTTTTACTATAACAGACAGAGAAAAGGACAGAAAAACAAGAACTGTTGAAATGGACATTACATTACTAAGATTTGCTTCTAATATCACAAGAGCCATCAGTAAGAAATGGTTTAACTATCAGAATGTTTATGCAGCAGTTAAAAATAATGTATCCCTGTATTCTTGACAGGAAATATATTAAAAAAAAGTATTCACACAAAAAATGCATGTAATCTTTCAGTATTTAAATTTACATATGTATCCACATATGGATGCATGGGGATACATCTAGTAATATACAACAACAGTTTTTCAATGGTAATCTCATGGTGGTCAGATTTGGGGTAGTTATTGTTTTGTATTGATTGAAGATTTTCACAATGAATAGTTCTTTAGTAAGGAAAAAAATAAAATTATATTTACTTTTTTTAAAATTCAGAATGGTAAATCTGAAACAAAACTAGATATATTATGTAATCACTAAATAGAGTAAGTGTCAAATTACATAAGACAAACCTGAGCTATCATTTAATGTTTTAATTTGAATTAAAAGGCTCAACTCGATTATGTAACAATAACTCACCACATTCAGTAATTTCTTTTCAGTTTCATCTTTTTGTAATTTTGTCCTTTCTTTTTCAACTATGCCTTTGGCTTCACCTTTTTCTTCCATTTGCCTATGTCCAGCCTTTTTTATGTTTGGTCTTGGTCTCTGAAGGCGGCCCCTAACTGGTCGAGTAGTATGGATAATACTTTCCTTCATTTCTTGTTGAAAAGTGTTTATATTATTATGATTCCTAGAGAGAAGGACAAAGAAAAATAGAGGAACTTGACTGTAAAAAGATGAAAACTATAAAAATGTAAAATTTGAGAATCCTCTAATAAAATTACCCTCTCAATAACAATTTACTTTCTGATTATAAATATACCTTTTTTTATAAAAGGACATATTATTTCAATTATTAAAAGGTAATGAGCCCTAGCCAGTTTGCTTAGTAGCTAGAGCGTTGGCCAGCAAACTGAAGGGTCCCAAGTTTGATACCACCCAGTCAAGGGCACATACTAGTACCTCGGTTGAAGGCTCGATCCCCAGCCCCAGGTCTGGTTGCATGTGGGAAGCAACCAATCGATGTGCCTCCTTTACATCGATGTTTCTCTGTCTCTCCCTCTTCCTTTCACTCTAAAAGTCAATTAAAAAAATATCCTTGGGTGAGGATTTAAAGAAAAAAAAAGGTAATGAATTTATATGAGGTACCTACAATATTCCTATTCATAGAAAGAAAGTACGATCCTGGTTGCCAAGACCTGGAGAAAGGGAGGAAAGAGGAGCTTTGTTTAATGGGTACAGACTTTTAGGTTGGGAGAATAAAGTTCTGGAGATGGATGGTGGCAATGGTCGCACAATGCGAATGTACTTAATGCCATTAGACTGTATTCTTTAAAAAATGGTTAAAAACTAAGTGTTATGTACTATGTATTTTACCACAATTTTTAAAATATATATTCTTATTAATTTCAGAGGGGAAGGGAGAGGGAGAGAATGATGAGAGACAATCAAGGATTGGCTGCCTTCTACATGCCCCGTACTGGGGATTGAGCCTGCAACCCAGGTATGTGCCCCTGACCGGAATCGAACCCACGATCCTTCAGTCTGCAGGCCAACACTCTTATCCACTGAGCCAAACTGGCTAGGGGTTTTACCACAATATTTTTTTTTATTATTATTATTTTTAATCAATCTTTATTGTTCATATTATGACAAAGGTTCCTCATTTCTTCCCCCTTCCACCAGGTTCCCACCCCACCCTCCGCCCCTCCCCACTGCCCATTGTCCTCATCCATAGGTGCACAGTTTATGTTCAGTCTTTTCCTCCCTCCCTTTCCCCGAGAACAGTCAGTCCACTCCACACATTGTTTAAACATAGCTGCTGGTTGGAATTGGATTACCTGTTATGGGTAGGAAGGGCTTGTCATTCCCTTTAAAATTAAGGTGTTAGCTTTAAAACCTCTTTTTGGCAAGAGACCTTAAACTTTCAGAACTTTAAATTTTTCAGATAGTAAATCAGTTACTTAGCATTTTCTCAAATCAATAATATCTCCACATGCCCAAGGATACACTTCACACAAAAGACATTTCCAAATAGATCAACCAACCTCATCCAGGCCCCACACAAGGCACTCACAGATCAACACCCCAGTGCTATACTGATTTAACACATCCAGATCTAAGCCTTCCTCATTTGATTCAGCAGACCCTCAAGTTCCCCCAAAAGTTTCCAGCCATGTCTGAGAGGCAGCCGTGGGGCAGGGGCAGGCGAGGAGCGAGCTGTTCCGGGCCTAGCGGCTCCGGGCCTGGCCTCTGTTGCTCTGGTCCGTTCCACAACCAGCTGCTCCGGGTCTGGCCACTGCCGCTCCCGACCTGGCTGCTCTGGGCGTAGCTGCTGCTGCTCCAGGCCTGGCCGCTCCCAGCCTGGCTGCTGCTGCTCCGGGCCTGGCCGCTCCCAGCCTGACAGCTGCTGCTCTGGGCCTGGCTGCTCCCAGCCTGACAGCTGCTGCTCCGGGCCTGGCCGCTCCCAGCCTGGCAGCTGCTGTTCCGGGCCTGGCCGCACCCGACCCGGCTGCTCTGGATCTAGCCGCTCCAGGCTCGGCCGCTCCCGACCTAGCTGCTCCCGACCTGGCTGCTCCAAGCATGGTTGCTGCTGCTCTGTGCCTGGCTGCTCCCAACCCGGCTGCTCTGGGCCCGGCCGCCCCGAGCCTGGAAGCTCCCGGCCTGGATGCTCCGGGCTTGGCTGCTGATGTACTAGGTCTGGCTGCTCCCGACCCGGCTGCTCTGGGCCTGGCTTCTCTGGGCCCGGCCACTCAGGGCCTGGGTGTTCCTGGATTGGGCACCCTGGGCTTAGGCGCTTCCGCCTCAGGCCTGGCTGCCACTGCCCCAGGTCTGGCTGCTCCAGGACTAGCTGTTGATGCTCTGGTTCTGGCTGCTGTTGTTCTGGGGCCTGGCTGTTGCTGCTCCAGGCCCGGCTGCCACTGCCTTGTGCTTGGCCAATCTAGGCCTAGCCGCCGCCGTTCCAGCATTCTGTCCTTTTATTTTTTTTCTTTTCTTTTTAAACGCATTTATGTTGCAATGTTGGCTGCTGAGTTGAGTTCTGATTTAGTCTTCAATTTTTCAAGATCTTCTTTGTATTTTTTCTTAAGTAATTTTACTATCTTTTGCTCTCACTTGATTTCTTCACATTGAAAACTTCTTTGGTTTCTTCCTCCTTGTCCTGGAAGCTCAGCAGGTTGGCCTGTGGCACCCCTTTGTTCTCCGCGGGCTCCTGTGCTGCTTCAGCCTGTTGCAGGGGTCGGCACCGCCCAGGAAGCAGCCCCCAGCCTGGACTCCCTGGCCTGCGCTCAGCGGTCGAAGGCCCAGGGGCACCCCCGCCTGGGGGCCCCATCGCCCGGCTCATTGCTGGCGCCTGGCTGGCCGGTGTCTGGCAGGGGCTCCTGCGTTCCTCCAATCTGGAGCTTTTTTTCTCCTTCCCGCTAGGGGCATCTAGCATCAGAGTCAACAGACTATCAATGTGCGCGACTCCGGGGGCTCGCTTTTCGCCACTCCCCCAGGACTCCACCTCACAGCCCCGTCTCCCTCTGCTTGAGCCTGGGTCCCCAGGGATTGGCCTAGAACTGGGGTTCAGAGCAGTCGGGAGTGGGGCTCAGCACTACCGGAGGTTTTGTTTCTTCCCGCCAGAAAAATCCAGCATCAGGGTCAACATTCTGTCCTCTGCACGCAATGTGCGCGACTCTGCATGACTCTGGGGGCTCTGCTTTTCACCACGCCCCTGGGATTCCGCCTCACAGCCCCATATCCCACTCCCTGTGCCTGGGTCCCCAGGGTCTGGCCAAGAACTGGTTACCACAATATTTTGAAACACAAATAATAACTTATATACATATATTTCTTAAATGTATTGCTTTGTATAAAATCTTAAGCAGTAAACAGTGAGCATAAGCAGACAAGCATAAAAAGGTGTTGAACTCAATCTGATTTTCAATTTTACAGGCAGTCTGCCATATAAATACTAATAAGCCAAGTACAAAATTCTTTATATTCATTGTTAAAATACATTAATACATCTTAATTTTAAAAAAAGAAATATTTGAAATAATTCTGTCTTATTTTAGATTTTCAAAGGATTATCACTGTTTACCCAATAGAAACAGGTAATTCCTTTTCCTGGACTTGTGTAGACTGAGAGGCCTCTTTAGATTCACAAAAACTTGAAGGTGAAAGGTTCTTTTCTGTCAGTTCACATGGTAACATCCCAGCCTCCTCCTGCCTATGATCTGATTTGTCTTTTTCTTTTGATGTCATCAGAGAAGACACATCCTAGAAAGAGATTAAAAATCATTTCATTGAGGATAGTAAAAGAATAGGGAAGTAGGAACTTTCATATACTATCAGAATAATAAATTTGTATAGTCTTTGTAGAGAATAGAACAGATCTATTAAAAATTTTATTTTCCAGCTATTCTACTTCTAGAAATGTATCTTATAAAAATATTCAAATAAGTACCAAGAAAATGATATAAAAGGATTTTATTATAGCAATATTGTGTGTGTGTTTGTCTCGCTGGAAAAAAAGAGAGAGAGAGAGATTGATTGATTAGTGATTCAATTTCAGGTCAGGGCACATGCCCAGATTGCATGCTCGATCCTCCGGAGAGGGGCATGCCAGAGGCAGCCAATCAATGTTTCTCTCACATCAGTGTTTCTTTCTCTCCTTCTCCCTTCCTCTCTCTCTAAAACAGGGTGGGAAACATAAGGTCTGCAAATTCATTTGGTTTGGCCCTGCCAAAGCATTAAACCTGCGTTAACTAAATGTTTGCAGGGTAATTTTTAAGTTGATAATTTTGTATGGCCCAAGAATGATGTTATAAATATCCAAATGGCCCCTGAGAAAAAAAGGTTCCCCAACTTTGCTTTAAAAAAGCAATTTAAAAATCTTAAATAAAAAAAGTGTCAGTGAGTAGATTCAAAATTGCTACATGATTAACTTGGCAAGGACAGATGGAACATTATAGAGGACTTTCATTATTTAGAGTCTATATTTTTTCCAATTTGGAATTTTTATAATCGATAAAATAATAAAAAAGTGATTTATCTTTTAGAATATAAAATTAGAAGAATAAAATACAAATGTTCAAGTACAATAAGAACTAAGTATTTTAAGATACAAAATAAAAATTTCAATTCAAAGTACTTTACATATTTAGAATACTCAATTTATGAGTGCTATTTCATTTCAAAGTTTGTTTTTTTACATATTTTTATTAATCTCAGATAGGAAGGGAAAAGAAAAGAAAGAAAAAGAAACATCAATAATCCCAGAGAATCACTGAAACCGGTTTGGCTCAGTAGATAGAGCATCAGCCTGCAGACTGAAAGGTCCCAGGTTCAATTCTGGTCAAGGGTATGTACCTTGGTTGCCGGCACATCCCCAGTAAGGGATGTGCAAGAAGCAGCTGATAATGATTCTCTCTCATCGATGTTTCTAACTCTATTCCTCTCTCTTCCTCTCTGTAAAAAATCAATAAAATATATTTTAAATAAATAAATAAATAATCCCAGAGAATCATTGATCTGCTGCCTCCTGCACGCTCCCTACTAGGGGATCTAGCCGGCAACCCAGGCATATGCCCTTGACCAGACTTGAAGCCAGGACCCTTCAGTACGCAGGCTGACACTATATCCATTGAGCCAAACCAGCTAGGATGGTTTGCTGTTGTTTTTTTAAAAAATATATTATTGATTTCAGAGAGGAAGGGAGAGGAAAAGAGCTGGAAACATCAACGATGAGAGATAATCATCTATTTATTGCCTCCGGCATAACATCTACTGGAAATTGAGTCTGCCAACCCAGCATGTGCCCTCACAGAGAATTGAAATTCAACTTTCTGGTTCTTAGGTCAATGCTCAACCACCGAGTAACAATGGCTGGGCTCATTTCAAAGTTTTTGATGCTATATCACATAATCTTAATTTATGAACTAAGTAAGTAAAATATCTCCTTTAACTCTTACCAAGCTCTTTGTTTTTAAATCCTCACCCAAGGATATGTATTTTTAATTGATTTTAGAGTAAGAAAGGGAGAGAGAGAAAGAAAAAAAAAAAATTTGATGTGAGAAACATCGATTGGATAGAAGCCTCAACCTGGGTATGTGCCCTTACCAGGAATCGAACCCGAGACTGTTCAGTGCACAGGACAATGTTCCAACAAAAAGAGTCACACAGGTCAGGGCCATGCTCTTAACTTTTTATTTCACCTTCACAACAGAGTGAAATAAAAAATTATCATTCCGCCGAAACCAGTTTGGCTCAGTGGTAGAGCGTCGGTCTGTGGACTGAAAGGTCCTGGGTTCAATCCGGTCAAGGGCATGTATGTTGGCTTCGGGCACATCCCTGGTGGGGAATGTGTAGGAGGTGGGTGGTCGATGTTTTTCTCTCATTGACGTTTCTGGCTCTCTATCTCTCTCCTTTCCTCTCTGTAAAAAATCAATAAAAAATATATTTAAAAAAAAATTATCATTCCCATTTCCCCTATAAAGAAATTGGTTCATCATTTGGCTATAATCACAAAGCAAACAAAGATCATAACTTGAACTACATGCAGCCCAGGCTTCTTAAATTCCTTCCATCACATACTTGCCCATCATAGAGATTTGAGATTCTTACACAAAATGTGGATCAATGAGGCACATTAAGTACAGCTACAAAAAATCACACATGGTAAAAATTGTATGAGGAAATACTTGTGAAATTTCAATTACAAGTGTTTTACTTTATTAAATAAAACAAAAGAGCCTCCATCTTAAATATCACTCACAGATTGAGAAGGGAGAGTGTTCATTTGTTCACCATCCTGTTGTATCATAATAGTCTCTATTTTATCCATTTCCAATTTCTTCCCAGGTACATGTTTTTCTGCTTCCATAGTTTCTCTTTTTAAAGTTGCTCTTGATAAGTTTGGTTTTGGTCTTTTGAATCGACTTCTCATAAAAGGTGCTGGCTTAAATGGCTTCTGTTCTTGAGGAAGAGATTTGCTTTTGGAACAAGGATTATCATGCTTTAGAATGAATTGAAGGGGCAGTGGGAGAGGAATCTTAAGACAACCTTAGAGACTGGATGTAAATATTTAATTCTGATTCTTAACAGGAAAACAAATTGGACCATTTGGTAGATTCTGAAAAAATGAGTGGTACAATCCAGATAGATATAAGCCTATGAACTATATCATCTTTACACAAAGAAAATAAAGGTATGATTTAAGAATATAAGTTATATACAATTGTTTGTAATTCTCACAATCAACTGTCAGAATATTCTCAATCCTCTCTCCCACTCTTTCCCAAACTAGCTTAAACTCTCTAACACTATGCTATAGATTACGTCTTGAAATCTTACTTAACATAATTGTAAATATAATTTTATATGCTTTTTCTTTAACAGCACACAGACCTATAAAATCATACCTTAAGTTAATATCTGAAAATTGCTCTGGAACATCTGCAGATGGTGTCCCCTGGCCTTCTGTTTTATCAAGTTCAGAAGTCTTCAAAGAAGTCTTCCAATGATTCAACTGGCTGGACACTTCCTTTTCAGTATTTCCCTTTTCCTCTACAGGTGTATGCACCACAGATAGGACTTCATTGCTAATATTCTGGAAGAATAGTCACAGTAAATCAGCAATTATACAAGATTCCTTAAGCATCTCAAACAAAAATCCTACTATATTCTAAACACTTTTCTTTAAAAATTCAGAAGTTTAGTTTTTTTAATTTTTAAATAAAACAAAGTTTACAAATGTTAAAACATAAAATTCCATTAACTCTTCTTTACATAATGCATATTTATATTTCCAAGCCACAAATGCCATTGCTGTCCGTTCAAAAAAAAAAAGTCCTTGAAATGTGTTAGAATAGGATGAACTTCAAATAACTGAAAACGTTTAATAAAAATAACTTTTAAAAGTGGAATAAATGGGGTGGGACAGGAAAAAATGGAGAACAGCTGATACATTTATAGTCAAAAGAAATAATTCTGATTTCTTTTATTCCTTTTTATCTAAGAGAGTAACTTCAAATTGACATTAAGAATATCTTTTCCACAATTAAAAAAATGTTTATTATTATTTTTTCTTCCAGGCTCCAAAACATAGAATTTAGGACTAAGAAAGACTTTGGGCTTTAGAGATTTTAAACATTGTTGGACTCAGAAATGCAATTATTTTTATAATGTTTCTCCGAAATAGCATTATAAAAAATGTTTAGGGACGGAAAAATACATACTTTGATATTTAGTGAAGGCACAGCACTGCAATCAACACTTCTGCTCTGCATTAAATCTGTCTCAGTTTGTAGTGAGGTCCCAGTCTCCTCTGGTTCGTTTTCCCTTAGAGAAATATCTATTTTTTCAGTTTTTTCCAAACCTGCCACCATTTCTTCTACAGCACTGATCTTTTCTCTTGAGAAAGTTTCTTTTCCAATTTCTTTCAAATCTGCCTCTATTTCTCCTGTAACTCTGTCCTCTGGGGTCTTTTCCTGTGTGGATATTTCTCTTCTCCTGGTTTCTTCCAAATCCATCTCTCTTTCCTCAGTGGCATTAGTCATAGTCACCTCTGGTCTCTCTTCCCTTGGAGAAATCTCCCTTCCAGGTTCTTTCATCACTGCCTTCTCTTCCCCTACAGTGTTGACCTCTGGGGCCTTTTCCTGTGTGGATATTTCTCTTTTCTCTGTTTCTTCCAAATCTGTCTCTCTTTCCTCAATGGCACCACTCACCTCTAGAATTTTCTCCCTTGGAGAAATCTCCATTCCAGTTTCATTCAAATCTGTCCTCACTTCCCCTACAATGTTGACCCCTGGGGCCTTTTCCTGTGTGGATATTTCTCTTCTCTCAGTTTCTTCCAAATCCGTCTCTCTTTTCTCAGTGGCATTAGTCATAGTCACCTCTGGAATCTCTTCCCTCAGAGAAATCTCCATTCCAGTTTCATTCAAATCTGTCCCCACTGCCCCTACTGTGTTGACCTCTGGGGTCTTTTCCTGCATGGATATTTCTCTTCTCCTGGTTTCTTCCAAATCCATCTCTCTTTCCTCAGTGGCATTAGTCATAGTCACCTCTGGTATCTCTTCCCTCGGAGAAATCTCCATTCCAGATTCTTTCATCCCTGCCTCCACTTCCCCTACAGTGTTGACCTCTGGGGCCTTTTCCTGTGTGGATATTTCTCTTTCCTCTGTTTCTTCAAAATCCATCTCTCTTTCCTCAATGGCACCAGTTACCTCTAGAATTTTCTCCCTTGGAGAAATCTCTCTTCCAGTTTCTTTCAAATCTGTCACCGTTTCCATGGTGAAGTCAATTATTTCTGGTTTCTTCTCCCTGAGAGAGATGTCTCTTCTCCCAGTTTCTTTTAACTTTGATTCAATTTCCTTTGTAGTGCTAGCCTCCACTGGTACCTTCTCCTTTGATGAGATTTCTAATCTTGCTGCTGTCTTTTTCCCAGAAACAACAATCTCCTCTGGTAACTCTTCCTTTGAGGAAATGTCTCTTCTTCCAGTTCTTCTTCCTATATTTGGCTTTGGTTTCTGAAATCGATTCTTTAGAACTGGAACCTGTTTGAGTATATTTGCTTCATTATCCTCTTGAATACTATAAAAAGAAAAGACACAGTTAAATTTTAAGCCAGACTTGTCTATTGAAGAGATGATTGAGAACTCACTACTGAAACATGAGGGACTCTCAAATTAAAAATATGAAAATTAAGAAAGCCCAAGGATAGTGTTGCTCAGTGGTTTAGCATTGAAATATGAACCAGAAGGTCATGGTACAATTCCCAGTCAGGGCAAATGCCCAGTTGTGGGCCCATTCCCTCGTAGGGCGTGTGCAGGAGGTAGCCAAGCAATGATTCTTTCATAACACTGTTTCTATCTCTCTCTCTTCCTCTCTGAAATCAATAAAAATCAAATTAAATTAAAAGAGAACCCTGGCCAGGTAGCTCAGTTGGTTACAGCATTGTTCCATTTGCCAAGGTTGCAGGTTCAATCTCTGGTCAGGGCACATATAAGAATCAACCAATAAATGCATAAATAAGTGGAACAACAAATTGATATTTCTCTCTCTCTCTCTCTCTCTCTCAAATTAATCAATACATTTTTTTAAAAATTAAGTAGAGAATTTATTAAAAATAATAAATTTAAATTAAAATCAAGAGGAAAATTTCATCTTTTTGAAAATATGGTAAAATTTTAAAATAATAAAATATCTATTTACATAGAGATACATATAAAGAAAAAAATCATCAGTAAGGTCAATTAGATTAGCAGCTAATTGGCCCTGAATATTTCCTACTAATCGTCATTCACACCATTCTTCACAAACACTGCTGGAGAAAAACTCTCCAGGCTCTACATTGTAGCTCGCCCAATTTGTGTCTGCTATTCCTACATCTTTGCCCTATTATCATTTACACAGACATATGACTTACCATAGAGTTAAGGGACCCACTTATATGGCCAGACTTGACTGGCATCCCAAACAGCTGGATGGAGGCATGTTATAAAAAAGATACAGCCTTCTAACTAAGAACTAGGTTCACACCTCCTCACTTTTAAAAGCAATTTAAAATGATATTTCCTGTACAGACATTTCTCTAAGAGAACACATTTCTCTAAGAGAATGGGACTAAAAGGAAGAATTAAATGAACAATATTTGGAGTTTCCTGAGTGTTACTGGGCATTTCAGTAATGTTAGTCTGAACAAATGTATACAACAGCTTTTAAAAAATGAGTTAAAACTGCCCTAGCTGGTTTGGCTCAGTGGGTAGAGCACCAGCCCGCGGCTGAATGGTTCCGGGTACAGTTCCAGTCAGGGGTAAATACCTCAGCTGCAAGCTTGATCCCCAGCCCTAGTCAGGCCATGAAGAAGGAAACTAATCCATGTGTCTCTCTCACCTCAGTGTTTCTCTCGCTCTCTCTATCTCTCCCCCTCCCTTCCACAAATAGGTCTAAGCACCTACTACATGCCAGGAAGGCATGTGCTAGGAACTGGAAATACAATGGTGAATGAGGCAGATCTCCTCCATTACAGCTTATCTCACCTGCGTAATTAACTGAAGAGCAGTACCCGAGATTAGAAATCAGATAAGAAATTGTACTGAATTATTCCTCAACTTAAAACATATAATGGATCCACAGCTCTCCAAGATCACAGAATTTAAGGAAAAAGGCAAAGAAAAAAAGAGGACCATAGATGGAGAAAATAGGAGAAGAATGTGCACATGATTACAAATCTATTCCATGGTCCACTGTATTTTTCTAAAATACAGTTTACGAATCAACAAAGTATTTATAAACATCCATAAGATAATCATAAGAGTACACAGGATGCCAAATTAGCTTAAGAGAAATTTTTTAAGTATATTTGCTAATTTATATAACCAAGAATTTTTAATGCATTCTTCATCTCAGAGTCTCTTTGTTTTCTCTTACATAGCATCTTGACAGTTCAAAGTGTTTGGGAGGGAGGGAGAAGTGTCTATGAGACACAAAGAGACCTATGGTTTGATTAAACATAGAATCTTAGAATTGTTTTTAAGAATGTTGGAGATTCAAAGACAAGATCACATGATAAGATAGAAAGGACACTGCCTTGAAAAAAAAGTTGAGATCAGACTGGTTATACTATATAGTAAAAGCCTAAATGCAAATTGAATCAAACAATGGAATGACCAGCAGAATGATGGGTCGCTATGACAAGCACTGACCACCAGGGAGCAGCTCAATGCAGGAGTTGCCCCCAGCCCACAGGACCCGCTGGCTCCTAACCGCTCATCTGCCTGCTTGCCTGACAGCCCCTAACCACTCTGCCTGCCTGCCTGCCTGATTGTTCCTAACCACTCTACTGCCTGATCACCCCTAATCATTCACCTGCCTGCCTGGTTGCCCCTAACTACTCAACTGACTGCCTGATCGCTCCAAACACTCTGCACGCCTGCCTGATTGCCCCTAACCGGCTCTATCTCAGCCCCCGCCACTACAGCTTCATCTGAAAGGATGTCCAGAATGTCATCCAGAAGGTCATTCAGCTGTCCAGTCTAATTAGCATAATATACTTTTATTATTATAGATATTATGTAACTTGATATACAAAAAAAATCAAGTCTGATTTGCTTGTTTTTAAAAATTAACAATTTCTAAAACTTTATACAAAATTTTAAAATTATATAGTCAATAAGATGATGCTTACCTTGAACATTCATTAAGAGACTTGGGCTCATCTGGTTGCACATTTTGAAAAGAAGTATCTTTTTTTCCAGATTGTGAGGTGAAATCACATGACTGATCTTCTATTTGTTCAGGAGTCTTAACAACAAAGACATTTTTTTAAAAAGTTTTAGTTTTCAAAATGAAACAACCATTTATAATTCCAATTTGAGTACAAAGAAAACAGTAACATTTCAAAACCATAAAATGGTAGTCCAAATATGTTGGGTTTTTTCTTTAGATATCTTAGGAAATTTCATAAGCCACACTTTTTACCTCATCTCAAAAGCTCCATTTCCTTCCCAATCAGAAAGCAAGTAACTGCTTTAGTCTCACCTGTAAGAATTATACCCTGGGATTTATCTCTTTGAACATATCTTCTTCTTATAATCACAATACAGACCTTGAAAATTATGCCAACTGTTACCCTTATCACAAAGACTAGTTATTATTATGTAAATAATCTAAAATCCATAATCTTTGTTCTTAGAATTATATTTTAGTAGGAAGATTTTAACATTTTGTTTCTGCCAGCGTTAAAATTCACTTATCAAGCTATATTTTCAAAGGGAAGTGTAATTCAAAATCTGCAGAGTAATGGGGAAAAACAAGTCCAAATATGAGGATCCATTATATTAATGCCCAAAATCCAGAGAGCTGAATTACACAGGTTTACAATTAGCTAAGTGGCTGCCTAAGAGATTTTGGCCTTATATTTAATGAACAATGTACACAATGGTATAACACTACTGTTTAAAAAGTGGATGAGGCCCAGCTGGCATGGCTCAGTGATTGAGGTTTGACCTAAGAACTATAAGGTCATGGTTCAATTCTCCGATAGAGCACATTCCCGGATTGGCGGCTCAATCCCCAGTGTGAGGTGGGCAGGAGGCAGCCAATTAATTAATGATTCTCTTTCATCATCGATATTTATATCTCCCTCTCCCTTCCTCTTTGAAAGTAATGGAAATACATTAAAAAAAAAAAAAAAAGTCAAATGGAGGCTTATAAATTTAACAAAAACACTGGAAGGAATCAGAATACTTACATTTATATCAACACAGGATTCATTTTCATTCTTTTCTACATTGGCCCCAATTTCTTCCTTTGATGCAAGGATTTCTTTTCTTTCAGCAGCTTTAACTACATTTGGCTTTGGCCTCTGTAATCGGCCCCTCAGTCGTGCAGGTCTGAAAGCCTTTGGTTGATTATCTTCCTGTAGATTCATTTTTTCACTCAAACTAAAAGAATTACAAAGGAATCAAATCAATCGTTAGTCTGAAGTCATATACTTGCTTGTTTTTAGTATTCCCTTCTCTCAAGTACAAATAATTTGTAATATAAAATAATTCACAAGTATCCTCAAGAATATCCATCAAAAGACACGTTAAAAGATCTTTCCTGAGCCGAAACCGGTTTGGCTCAGTGGTGGAGCGTCGGTCTGCGGACTGAAGGGTCCCGGTTCGATTCCGGTCAAGGGCATGTACCTTGGTTGTGAGCACATTTCCTGTGGGGGGTGTGCAAGAGGCAGCTGGTCGATGTTTCTCTCTCATTGACGTTTCTAGCTTTCTCTCTCTCCCTTCCTCTCTGTAAAATATCAATAAAATATATTTAAAAAAAAAAAAAAAAAAAGATCTTTCCTGGGAAATATTAACCCAACCCCTGTATTCATGAGACCTTGCTTCCTCTGGTTACCACTAGGTCTGATCAACGGCACATGCACTTTCTGAGCAGCACTTCAAAACATAAGGAGAAGTGGAAAACTGGGTGTCTGAATGGTTTGCCTCAAAACAAGAAAAGTTCTATTGGGACGTATCCACAAATTTCCTAAAGATGTGGAAAATGTGTAGTTGGCGAGGTCATGACTTTGAATAAAGCACATTTGAATTTCTCTTGAAATTATTTTGTTTTGTTTTTTTATTACAAAATCTGCATTATTAACTGGTACACCTAGTAAATGTTTCAATAATTGTTAAAAATAGATTTAAAGTGTATAGCTGAAAATATACTTTAGAGAGTATCAAGTAGAAAAATTATTACAATCATTCCTAAGAGTTACTATTTGTATTCTACTTCCTAAATACTTACTTAGATACAGTATCGGCTTCGGCGTTTTCTTTCTCTGTATTCTCCATTCCAGAAATGTCAAATGAATTCATTTTATCTTTTTCCATGTGGGTCTATGAATTCAATGTTTTACATTTAATCTACTTAACATAAAAAATTCAAACTTTGCAATAAGTAAAGAAAAATTTAAAGAAAAAAATTTATTTTGTACTTCTAATAAGAAGAGAGTTTTTAAAATCATACATATAGATAAAAGTATTAGAAAACATACTGGGTGAGGCAAAAGTAGGGTTTACAGTTGTTCATATGGAAAATAATACAATAATTAATAAAAAAAATATAATAAACTTGTTTCATATATTCACAACTGTAAATCTACTTTTGCCTAACCCTGTATAACCTGATACGTTACTGCAAATCACAAATCAGTATATCCTTTCTGGAAAGCCTTTTGGCTATATGAATCAAGAGCCTTAAAATATTCATCCTCTTAACCCAGTAATATGATTGTTAGGACTCTATTCTAAAATTTTCGACTAAAATTTAAGTACAAAGATGTTCACTGGAATATTATACAAATAGCAAACACTGTAAGATCAGGGTGGGGAAAGTCTGGCCCATGGGCCATATAAGGCCACAAAATCATTTGGTCTAGCCCTGCGAAGGCATTAGGTCTCACCAAATATAGCAGGCTAATTTAATTTTGTGTGGCCTGTGAATTATGTTATCCATATCCAAATGGCCCTTAGCAGAAAAAAGTTCTCCCATCCCTGCTGTAAATAGACAAAATATTCAACAATGAATAAATGGTTAAATAAACTCTGTTCACACCCACTGATAGAATATTATGAAGTTCCTAAATAAAAAAACAAACATATTTTCAAAAGATGTTTAATGATATGGGAAAATATTTATAGAAGTTAAATACCAAAGGATACAAAACTGAATTAATACTACTCCATTTTTAATTAAGAAAAGCTGGAAAAATTAAAATGTTGGTTGCATCTTAAAAATGAAATTACAAGTAGTTTTTGTTTTAATTTTTTCCTAATCCTCACCTAAGGCATATGTTTTCATTGATTTTTAGAAGGAGGGAGAGAGAACACCAATTAATAGGCTCCAATCAACTGAGGCACACCAGCCAGGAAGGTTTTAATTTTTTTTTTTTTTAATTGATTTTTTACAGAAAGAAAGAGAGAGGGTCAGAGAGTTAGAAACATCAATGAGAGAGAATCATCGATCAGCTGCCTCTTGCACACACCCCACTGGGGATGTGCCCGCAACCAAGGTACATGCCCTTGACCAGAATTGAACCTGGGACCTTTCAGTCCACAGGCCGACTCTCTTATCTACTGAGCCAAACCGGTTTCGACAGGAAGGTTTTAAGTTTTACATGAGTGTATATTTTCCCAATTTTCTAAAAATTAAAAATATCTTATATAATTACAATATAACGAAATTATAAAAAGTATGAGAAAAATGCTGCTTCACATAATAGGAAAAAAATATAGACTAACATTATAAAAAGTATTTTACCAAAAATAAAAAATTTAAAACAATATAATGCTAGCATGAATATAAGGAAACCAGAACATGCATTTGGTGCTTGTAGCAATGTAAACAGTTATGTTTTTGACTGTCAGTGTGACAATGCACAAGACCTATAAAAACATTAAAAATATTTTGACCTATTAATCTGACCACCTCTGAAAATTTATCCTTTGTTTTACCTTAAGAAAGCCCTATTTAAAAAATTGTTTGCTTTATTTCAAGAGTTTGAATAATGGAAATAACCTAAATATCCACCATTAGGTAAATGATTAGTAAATTGATGTTAACCTTAATTAAAAAGATCTATTAATCCCAAGAAAAATAAATAAATAAATTTAGAGAAAGAAGTTTTAAATGTTATACTATGATTGCCCTGGCTGGTGTGACTTAAGTAGTTAGAACCCAGCCCACACCAAAGGGTTGAAGGCTCGATTCCTGGTCAAGGGCATGTACCTGTGCTGCAGGTTTGTCCTTGGATCAGAACAAGTGCAAGAGGCAACCAATTGACATGTTTCTCCCACATAAATGTTTCTCTCTCTTTCTCTCTCTCTCTCTCTCTCTCTCTCTCTCTCTCTCTCTCTCTCTCTCTCTTTCTCTCTCCTTCCTTTCCACAATCTCTCTAAAACATTAATGGATATTAAACCAAAACAAAAAAAAATTATTAAAAACTATAGAAATGTTTACATACATAAAAAGAAAGTTTAAGTCATAAAGGACAAACAGAACAAGGTTGTAGATATAATTTTATGCATAGCTGGCTTAAAAAACATTTTGAATAATAATTTCATATAAGAAAAGTCAAATTTGTCATTATTGAAGGTGTTTGAAATGTCATAGGTGCTAAAAAAAAAAATGGCCGATATGATTCAGTTGGTTGAGCATCATCCCACGTACCAAAAGGTCACCAGTTCCATTCTGGGTCAAAGCACATACCCAGGTTTTGGGTTCCATCCCCAGGAAGGTTGCATTCAGGAGGCAACTGACTGGTGTTTCTCTCTCATATCAATGTTTCTCTCTCTCCCTCTCCATTCCTCTCTCTAAAAATCAATAAAAACATATACCTTTAAAAATTAAATAAAAATAAAGCAGGAGCTTAGTAAGACAAATTTAATATTCTTAAAATATTTTTTTAATTGACTTCCTCTCTAGTGAAAGAGAGAGAAACATCAATGATGAGAGAGAATCATTGATCAGCTGGCCCTCTCTACATGCTCCCCATCAGAGATCACACCTGCAAACAGGGCATGTGCCCTAATGGGAAATCGAACCACAACCTCCTGATTCATAAGTTGACGCCCAACCACTGAGCCACACTGGCCTGGCTATGACAAATTTAATATTAATGGGAAAGTTGTTCTGAAGAAAATGCATAATCAAGACACTAATAAAATATTTAATATTAATGTGTAAGTTCTTATATCTTTGTGTTAGTATCACAAACATTACTTTTTAATTATAACTAAATATTTTTATTTCTAACTATTTAGGAAATTTTTTTTTATAATTTTAATATCTATAAAGTCTCTTGCTCCATACCTTTTCATCTGAAGCTTCCGGATGTAAATTCTTGCTCTTGGCATCTGTTTTACCTTGTGAAAGAATGGATTTCTTCCCTACAGCCCTTGATAAATTGGGTTTAGGTCTCTGGAATCGTCCTCTTACCATAGGTTTAACATTTTCTGTTTGATCAGCTTCCCTAAAAAAAAAAAAATTCATTATGCACTTTCATTCAGGCATATTAAATTAAATTCTTAAAAATTCACTCACAGTCAGAAAAAAAAACACAACTCATTTAAGCATATTACAGAGTAGCAAAGAAAACTGAGAAACAGCAATGAGGCAGTAACTAACTTGTTCCATCATATATTCATATATATATATATATATATATATATATCTTTGACCAGGAATTGAACAAAAACCCCCCAGTGGTTAGGCCAACACTTTCACCACTGAGCAAACAATGAGCAGGGCTACTTGTATTATCTTTATATACTTTTTATTTTTTCTAAAAATATATTTTATTGATTTTTTACAGAGGAAGAGAGAGGGAGAGTTAGAAATATCGATGAGAAACATCGATCAGCTGCCTCCTGCACACTCCCTATTGGGATGTGGTTGCAACCAAGGTACATGCCCTTGACCTGAGATGCTTGAGTCCGTAGGCTGACGCTCTATTCACTGAGCTAAACTGGTTAGGGCTTAATATACTGTTTTTTTAATTTCTGAAAAAATAAAACTGGTACTGGTTAGAGTGAATAAGGATATGATAGGAAGAATATTTCTCTCAATACTTTTACACTTTTAGACAGATGAACCATAAGAATATACTATTATCCATATCAAAGACTAATTTTAATTTTAAAAAATAAGGTTGATTCTAAATATGACTTTGCTTTACTGAATATAAATAACTTATAAACTGAATAGCTTTTAAGACCATATGAGAAGTTATGAGAGAGACAAAAAGGAAGTCTGAATTTTTTACCTATCTCTTCAAAGGAAAATTCTGTGATGCTTTTGTTCTGTTTTTAGTGAAGATATTAACTTAACCTGTATCTATATACCAAAAAACATGATAATCTCTTCAAAGTCATAAATATCAAAATCCATTACTTTGACAACAGGCATGAATATTAAACCAAGTAAAAGTAAAATCTCAGCAAATATTTAAGATTTTAAATTATTTTAGAATTTCTTAAGTTACTACTTGGCTAAAATTTGTATTACTGTAATACATCATATATGAAAGAGGCTCTTTCTGTAATGAAATATACACACTCAGATCACAGACATATTAAATGGTCTATAGTTCCCTTCTCAATCCTAAAAGAAGCAACATTATTTTTTAAATATATTTTATTGATTTTTTACAGTTAGAAAGGGAGAGTTAGAAACATTGATGAGAGAGAAACCTCAATCAACCACCTCCTACACACTCCCCAGTGAGGACACGCTGGCAACCAAGACACATGCCCCCGACCGGAATCAAACTCAGGACCCGAGTCCACAAGCCGATGCCCTATCCACCGAGCCAAACCAGTTAGGGCAAGAAGCAACATTATTTACATTTGTTAAATTATAAGAAATTACCAAAAGTTTGAAAATAAATTTTTAATTCTTGCCATGTAAAATACTTACAGTGATATATTTTTTAGTTCAACATTTCTTTCTTCTGTACAACTACTTTCAGCATTATTCACCTCACATAACACTCTAATTCCAACTTCTGATGAATGCAAATCTGAAGTGATTGATTCTGAAGCCTCAGTTGCTACTGATGTAGCATCTTGTTGACTATTAAAGAAATGAAAACATGGGGGGGGGGGAGAAATTATTAATAATGCTTACTTTAAACTAATTATTTAAAAGACTTTTAAAATGCTATATACTAACCAACACTATGAATGATAATCCTTCATATTATGAAAGAATTAAAACAAATATTTCGGCTTTACTGTGATCTTTGTTGCACCATGTTAATTTTTTTTAAATTCATTCTTAACACTATACTTTCTTTACCTATATTGTGTAATTGATTTTTTTTACAGAGAGGAAAGGAGAGGGATAGAGTTAGAAACATCGATGAGAGAGAAATATTAATTATCTTCCTCCTGCATACTCCCTATTGGGGATATGCCCACAACAAAAGTACATGTTCTTGACCAGAATCAAACCTGGAAACCTTAATCCGCAGGCCAACGATCTATCCACTGAGCAAAACCAGTTAAGGCGCACTATGTTATTAAGAACTAGTCCTGCCAAAACTGGTTTGGCTCAGTGGATAGAGCGTTGGTCTGCAGACTGAAAGGTCCCGGGTTCGATTCCGGTCAAGGGCATGTACCTTGGTTGCGGGCACATCCCCAGTGGAGAGTGTGCAAGAGGCAGCTGATTGATGGATTCTCATCGATGTTTCTAACTCTCTATCCCTCTCTCTTCCTCTCTGTAAAAAATCAATAAAATAAAATAAAAAAGAACTATTCCTTCACCCTAGCTGATCTGGCTCAGTGGATAGAGCATCAGCCTGCTGACTGAAGAGACCAGGTTTGATTCTGGTCAAGGGCACATGCCTGGGTTGACTTCACCTAGAAGAGACAACAATTCAAGATATGTATTCACCTAATAACAGAGCCTTAAAATACATAAAGAAAAGCAAATAACTGAAAAGATAAATAGGCCAAATCAATTACAGTTGGAGACTTCACACTCCTCTCAGTAACTGACAGAAAATGTAAACAAAGTCAGGAAAGATTATATATAAAATACCTTAATGAAAGAACAGGGTCAGTTTTATTCACAACTTTGTCCCTGGAGGATAAATCCTCAACTTCATCAATGGTTTGTACACAGGAAAGCTTCTGTTCCTTATTGCCTTCATCTTCATTTTCCTCAGGCCTTAAAAATGGACATTTACCTATGAATACAAAATACATGTTATTCTAAAAACTGACAGCAAGAACATCTATATTTTAAAACTCAAAGGAATTTACATATAATATCATCTCTTCCTATAAATCATTAATCCATTCAACATTTAAGTTCTTATATGCAAGATAGATTTCGCTCTTCTGTTCCTTCAGTAAGTGTCATAATTATAACACAGTAATAGCTAATCATTTCAGAACTTACTAAGTGATAGAAACTGTAAATCCATCAGATAAATATTTAATATTTAAAACAATCCTACTAAAAGTTATTCATATAAACCCCATCACAGAAAAAAATGAATCTAAGTTGAAAGACGTTCAGTGACTTGCCCAAGGTCATACTTAGCAAATAAAAGAAATAATTTAAACCAAGGTCTGCTTGATTTCTAAAGTCTAATTTCTTAATCACTGAGCTATCCCATTTTACATGTAATATCTTTTAATAGTAAGCCACAAAAGAGCACAATATTGTAATGCCTATAAACCAAACAATGCTACCAATAAGGACTCATTTATTAAAATCATGTGGGTGCCCTGGCCAGTGTGTCTAAGTGGTTGATCGTCAACCTAGGAACCAGAAGGTCACAGTTCAATTTCCAGTCAGGGCACATGCCCAGATTGTGGGCTCAATCCCCAGTGGAGGGTGCATACATGAGGCAGCCAATCAATGATTCTCTCTCTTCATTGATATTCCTCTTTCTCTTTCTCTCCCTTCCTCTCTGAAATCAAAGAAAATATTTTAAAAACAATTATAATAAATAAAAAATCATATAGGGGAAGCCGAATTACATAAAACTTAAATTCTATGGAAAAGTTGTTTTGGCCCTACTGGGTTTGGCTTAGCGGACAGATCCTGTGGACTGAGGGGGTCCCAAGTTCAATTCCAGTCAAAGGCATGTACCTTTGTTGCGGGCACATCCCCAATGGGAGGTGTGCAGGAGGCAGCTGATCTCTGTTTCTCTCTCATAGATGTTTCTAACTCTCTTTCCCTCTCCCTTCCCCTCCGTGAAAAAATCAACAAAATATAATTTTTAAAAAAAGAATTATATGGTCTGATACTATTTATTTTTCTCTCTTTATTTGTTTTAAATAACCTATACATGAAGTCATTTGTCTGTCTGTTTGTTTTCCATCCTCACCTCAGGATATTTTTCCATTGATGTTTAGAGAAAGTGCAAGAGAAGGGGAGAGACAGAGATAGAAAAATCTATGTGAGAAAGACACATCGACTGGCTGCCTCCTACACAAACACTGACTGGGGCAGAGATCGAGTCTGCAACCGAGGTATGTGAGCTTGACGGGAGTCGAACCTGGGACTCTTCAGTTTGCCAACGCTTTATCCATTGAGCCAGGCTATATATGGCTAGGACTATATATGAACTCTTTTTTTTTTTAAATATATATTTTATTGATTTTTCACAGAGAGGAAGAGAGAGGGATAGAGAGTTAGAAACATCGATGAGAGAGAAACATCGATCAGCTGCCTCTTGCACACACCCCTCTTGGGATGTGCCCGCAACCAAGGTACATGCCCTTGACCAGAATCGAAACCGGGACCTTTCAGTCTGCAGGCCGACGCTCTATCCACTAAGCCAAACCGATTTCAGCTATATATGAACTCTTAAGGAAAGGGACCAAGACTTCCCTAAACTCTTAGCCCTCATTCCCTAAAAACTCTTAAGTGCCAATATATCTGCATTTTAAGAAAGTTTAAAAAATGAGCCGGGACTGGTTTGGCTCAATGGATAGAGCGTCGGGGACTGAAGGGTCCCGGGTTCGATTCCGGTCAAGGGCATGTACCTTGGTTGCGGGCATATCCCCAGTAGGGGGTGTGCAAGAGGCAGCTGATCGATGATTCTTTCTCATCGATGTTTCTAACTTTCTATCTCTCTCCCTTCCTCTCTGTATAAAATCAATAAAATATATTAAAAAAAAAAAAGAAAGAAAGTTTAAAAAATGAAAATGGGAGGAATGTGTAGTCCAGTAGCTCTTTTATAGGAATTACACAATTTATTGTGATTTCAGAGAGGTGCTATGAAAAAGTAACATAAATATCTGTGATTTATTAACAGATACAAGCAATGTGCACTTAATTATATTAAGTAATCACCTTATATTGTCAATAGATTCATTCCTGGTACTGAGGCAAAATTACATATAACAAAACCAATTTTACCAGCAACTAACTTATGTATAAACAAGAGTTAAATTCCTAAGACATTCAATCAAGTTGTGAAAATATGATGTTGAGTGAAACCAAATTATTTGAAGACCTGTGACTTTTTTTTTTTAAATATATTTTATTGATTTTTTACAGAGAGGAAGGGAGAGAAATAGAGAGCTAGAAACGTCGATGAGAGATAAACATCGACCAGCTGCCTCTTGCACACCCCCTACTGGGGATGTGCCCGCAACCAATGTACATGCCCCTGACCGGAATCGAACCTGAGACCCTTCAGTCCGCAGACCGACGCTCTACCACTGAGCCAAACCGGTTTCGGCTATATGTGACTTCTTATCATTGTTAATGGGAGTACAATGGAGGTAATAAATCTTAGAGACAAATTTTAGAGAAAAAAATGTTCCCATTTAGCTTTGTGGTTTCTATTAACAATCTTTTTCCTACTAAATTAAAAATAAAAGTGTTTTGCCCGTGATTCTCAATGGTTAGAGCATGGTCCCTTGCACCCAGATTTGATTCTGGTCAAGGGCATATACTTGGGCTGTAGGTTTGATTCCCAGCCCAGTAAGGATGAGTGCGGGAGACAACTAATCTCTCTCACATCAATGGTTCTCTTTCTGTCTCTGTTTGTCTCTCTCCCACCTTCCCTCTATTCTGCTCTCTCTAAAAATAACATGGAAAAGCCCAGTGAGAGTGGTTCAGTGTTTGGGCATCATCCCATGCACCAAAAGATTGTTGGTTTGATTCCCAGCCAGGGTACATGCCTGGGTTGCAGGTTCGATCCCTTCTGTGGAGCATACAGGAGGCAACTTATCAATGTTTCTCTCTCATTAATGTTTCTATCTCTCTGCCCATCGCCCTTCCTCTATATAAAATAAAAACATATTTAATAAATAATCATGGGAGAAATATCCTCCGGTAAGGATTAACAAAAAAATAAATTAAATAAATGTGTTTAATACAGTATATAAGTACAGAACCAATTAATAAACATTAGTATTACTACTATCTAAAGAAAGGCATTTAATTTATAGACTATATTAGAGGCCCAATGCATGAAGATTCATGCAAGAATAGGCCTTCGTTCCCCTGGCTGCCGGCACTGCCTTGCTAAGCCGGAGCTACCTTCCACCTCTTCTCACCTTGTTGCATCAATTTGCATATTCCTTCCTTATTGGCTGTGGGTGTCACCATCGTTTGTTGGGAGTTATGGTCAATTTGCATATTCCATCTTTATTAGATAAAATTATTATATAAATGCCTTCAAATAATTAGAGGGTATTAAAATATGTAAAAAACTTACTTTTCTGTTTTTCTCCTTTAGAAGGACCTGGCTGAACAGTGGCATTTCCTGAAAGATTTTTTACTTCTTGTGTACCAACTTCATCTTGATTTTTCCTTCTTTTTTCTAGATTTAGGTCTGGTTCTAATGCAATCTGTTCTGAATCCTGTCCTGATAAAGTCAGAGGCTGCAGTTCTTCTTGAACTGTCTGAGCATCCTTTTGAGAATCTTCTGTATCTGAAATTTTAGCACTCATAGACTCATCTGGATTGTCAGTCACTCCTTCACTGGTAACTTTTTTCACTGAAAATAAAAGAAATGGTTATAAATACATAAACAACCTACAAAAAATTCTTAAAGCTGAGACAGCAAATATCCAAGGATATCTTCTGTAATATTATTTGTATAAGCAACATTTTGAAGACAATATAAAATGCCCAACAGAGAACAGTAAAATTAAGTTATAAATACATTTATGCTATAAAAATCCATGCAGTAAATAATAATAATGGGGTAGGCTCATATGTAGTGATGTAAAAGATTTTAAAATATACTGTTACATTGAAATCAAGTTGCAAAACAACATATGTAGTATGACCTCATTTCTATTAAACAAAAATAATTACATATACTCTTAAGACTAAGACACACACACACACACACGCACACGCACACGCACACGCACGCACAGGAAAGAGTTTAGTAATAGTTATCCATAGGAAATCTGAAGATTCTGATTGGCAGGGTAGAAGAGAGTTCAAGAATTTTATTTCCTGAATGATTTTTCAATGAAGAATCTTTTTAAGAAATATTTTTAAACAATTTCTAGTGCTTTTCTTTTGAAGGCATATAGTCAACTGTATTAGAAGATGAAAACAGCCCTGGCTGGGTGGCTCAGTTGGTTAGAGTGGGTTCAATTCCCACTCAAGGCACATACCTAGATTTCATTTCAATCCCCAGTCGGGGATCATATGGGAGGCAACCAATTAATATTTCCCCTTCTCTTCCTTCCTCTCTCTCTAAAATCAATGTTAAAAATAAATTTAATTTAAAAAACAAATACAACCTCAGGTGAGGATTTTTTTTTTATAAATATTTAAAGATGAAATAATTTAAAAAGCAAAAATAGCCGAAACTGGTTTGGCTCTCGGGTTCGATTCCGGTCAAGGACATGTGCCTTGGTTGCGGGCACATCCCCAGTGAGGGGTGTGCAAGAGGCAGCTGATCGATGATTCTCTTTCACCATCGATATTTCTCTCTTCCTCTCTGTGAAAAATCAATAAAATAGCCAGGACTGGTTTGGCTCAATGGATAGAGCGTCAGCTTGGGGATTGAAGGGTCCCAGGTTCGATTCCGGTCAAGGGTATGTACCTTGGTTGCGGGCATATCCCCAGTAGGGGGTGTGCAAGAGGCAGCTGATCAATGACTCTCTCTCATCAGTGTTTCTGACTCTCTATTCTCTCCCTTCCTCTCTGTACAAAATCAATAAAATATATTTTTTAAAAATCAATAAAATATATTTTAAAAATATATAAATAAATAAAATAAAAATTACAAGCAAAAATAGAGATCACCATGGAAACAACATCCAAGATGAATGATCCAATTAAAAAATGGGCAATGGACCTAAATAGAACATTTTCAAAAGAAGACAGAAGGAAGGCCAAAGGCACATGAAAACATGCTCAAAGTCACTAATTGTCCGAGAGGTGCAAACCAAAACAACAATGCGGTACCATCTCACACCTGTCAGAATGGCCAACATCAACAAATCAACAAACGACAAGTGTTGGTGAGGATGCGGAGAAAAAGGAACCCTCGTGCCCAACTGGCGGGAATGCAGACTGGTGCAACCACTGTGGAGAACAGTGTGGAGTTTCCTCAAAAAACTGAAAATGGAACTCCCTTTTGACCCAGTAATCCCACTTCTAGGAATATATCCCAAGAAACTAGAAACACCAATCAGAAAGGATATATGCACCCCTATGTTCATAGCAGCACAATCTACAATAGCCAGAATTTGGAAACAGCCTAGGTGCCCGTCAGCAGATGATTGGATCCAAAAACTATGGGACATCTACACAATGGAATACTATGCTGCCATAAAAAAGAAGGAATTCTCATCATTTGCAGCAACCTGGATGGAATTGGAGAACATCAGGCTGAGTGAAATAAGCCAATCAATGAAAGAGAAACACCACATGACCTCACTCATTTGTGGATGATAAAGAACATTATAAACTGATGAACCTAGAGACAGATATAGAGACAGTAAAGCAACAGGCAAACTGTCAAATTACAGTGGGGAGGAAGATCTGGGGGAGATAATAGATCAACCGAAGGACTTGTATACATGCATATAAGTACAACCAATGGACATAAAACTCTGGGGAGGGAGGGTATGAATGGAAAGGAGGGAGGGGGGCAAATCAATAAAATATATTAAAAAATAAAATAAAATAAAAATAATAAAATAAAATAAAAAGAAACAGCATCCAAACCAAAAGTAAACTTAACTTCATACCATGGCTGATCAGACATCTCTAGAAATATCTAATCTTTAAAAAAAATAATAAAATTCAATGTCATTTATTTAATATGTTTTATTGATTTTTTTACAAAGAGGGAAGGAGAGGGATAGAGTTAGAAACACCAATGAAAGAGAAACATCAATCATTTGCTTCCTGCACACCTCTTACTGGGAATGTGCCCAAAACCAAGGTATATGCCTTTGACCAGAATCGAACCTGGGTCTCCTCAGTCCACAGGCTGATGCTTTATCCACTGAGCCAAACTGGTTAGGGCACAATGTCATTTATTTTTGTCAAAACAAGATTTTAAAACTAAGACAATACTGGATTTATTCTCTATCAGAATAATAATCAGCAATTTTTAACTTCTGAGACTTGTAATACCCTGTTCCCCCGAAAATAAGACAGTGTCTTATATTAATTTTTTCTCCCAAAGTTGCCCTAGGTCTTATTTTCAGGGTAGTCTTATCTCTCCATATGCTAGGTCTTATTTTCGGAGGATGTCTTATTTTCGGGAAAACACGGTAATACATCTGAAAATTTCTCACATTAACGAGATACAGTGAGTTACTTGTGTTGTTACATGATAACCACATCTATTTTAATCTCCTAAGGCTATGTATAAAGTAAAGAAAAATGACTAAAGAGTAAAAACTTTACAGTGATCAATACTACTTTTTAAAACATGTAGACACTATACTCCAAAAAAGGAAATGTGAGATTGGCTCTGTGCAGAAGAGAATTAACATAGCGGCTATCCTTTGAAAGGTCTTCCTAAAAAGGCTGGCCCGTTGCTATCTAGAAACTGGGGCTTGAGGAGAGTCCCCATCTGTCTACTTAAACTGTTTGTACAAATAATGAGGTTTCTGCTGAACAACTGGCCTTCCTTCCAGTAGTCTGAATTCTGGTACGTGCCAAGCAAAGGGTATGACAAGCCTCCAATAAAATTATTGGGCACTGAGCTTCTTACAAGATTCCCTGGTAGGAAACTTTTTATATAAACATTTAAATGAACATTAAATAAACATTTATATAAACATTAACTTGGGCTCTACAGGGTCGCCTAAGACCATCGGAAAACACAGATATTTACATTACTACTCATAACAGTAGCAAAATTACAGTTATGAAGTAGCAATGAAAATAATTGTATGGTTGGAGGTCACCACAGCATGAGGAACTGTATTAAAGAGTCGTGGCATTAGAAAGGTTGAGAATCACTGCTCTAGATGCAAGAAAGATATCAAACAGACATGACAATTAGAGAATTTAAAAAAAAAAAAAAAAAAAAAGAACAAATAAAAGAGCTACTATCTTGGGCCCTGGTAACCTCAATTACGTGAACGACAGGTGAACACTCAAAGGCTTAATATTGCAAGTCTATTAAGTAAAATAACACACTTCCTTTTAAAATAAATACCTTTTACATTTTTCCGTGGTTTAGAGGATTTCTTCTCCCTTAAATTCTGATTTTTAAGGGACTTTTGTTTTCTTTTCTCTTCTTCATCAAGAACTTTCTGAAGCAAATGAGCAAAAAAATCGAAGTCAAAAGGGCGCTTTTCCTCTGTTTAATAAAAAAAAAAAGAAAAAGAACCTTCAAATTTTTATTTTAGTATCAAATTATTAAAGCAAATGGGGCCCTGACTGGGTAGCTAAGCTGGTTAGAGCATCATTCGGATACTCCAAGGTTGCAGGTTCAATCCCAGTCAGGGCACAAGTAAGAATCAATCAATGAATGCATAAGTGTAACAACAAATCAGTGTTTCTTTTTCTCCTCCTTCCTCTCTCTCTCTCTAAAAGTCAATTAAAAAAAAAACAACAGCCGGGACTGGTTTGGCTCAGTGGATAGAGCGTCGGCCTGCGGACTGAAAGGTCCCAGGTTCGATTCCGGTCAAGGGCATGTACCTTGGTTGCAGGCACATCCCCAGTGGGGGGTGTGCAAGAGGCAGCTGGTCGATGTTTCTCTCTCATAGACGTTTCTGACTCTCTGTCCCTCTCAATTCCTCTCTGTGTAAAATCAATAAAACATATTTCTAAAAAATAAATAAAATTAAAAGAAAAACAAAAACACACAAATAGGTTAATCAACAGGAGACAATGAATAAAAAAACGCCAGTCACTATATTATCCTTCATAATAAAGAGGTAATATCCAAATTAACCCTCAGGCCCTCACAAGATGGCTGCCTATGACCAGCCAGCAGAGGGGTTAGTGAGGGACGACCAAACGACTTAACAAGCAGGCTGCATGGGGCGATCAGGCTGGCAGAGGGTCAGTTGGGGGCAACCAGGCTGGCAGGGGGGCAGTTAAGGATGACCAGGCAGGCAGGCAGCTGAGTGATTAGGAGCCAGCAGTCCAGGATTGTGAGAGGGATGTCCAACTGCCAGTTTAGGCCCAATCTCCGGCAGTCGAACATCCCCCAACGGGTCCCAGATTAGAGAAGGTGCAAGCTGGGCTAAGGGGATCCTCACCTCCACCCCCATGCACAAATTTCGTGCACCAGGCCTCTAATCATCACATAATAGACCACTAAGCAATAAAAATAAACTTTAAAAAAAAGTATCTACTGATAAAAGCAAGTGGATCTCAAGCACATGATTAATGAGCCCTGGCCAAGTGGCACAGTTGGTTGGAGCATCATCTGTACAAAAAAAGTTGGAAGTTTGATCCCCAGTCAAGATTGATTTGATTATAAGATTATTAGAAGCTGGCCTCAGAAAAAGAGATATATACCAAAACAAAAATAAATTGGTCTTAGCAAACCAAGCCCCAAACAGGAATTTCTGAAGGCCCTGTTTTATTGTGGACCCAGCCTTTATGTGTTCTGGCCTTCCACAACGATGATTAAAAAAAAAATAATCCAGCCGGAACCGGTTTGGCTCAGTGGATAGAGCATCGGCCTGTGGACTGAAGGGTCCCGGGTTCGATTCCGGGCAAGGGCATGTACCTTGGCTGCGGGCACACCCCCAGTGGGGGGTGTGCAAGAGGCAGCTGATCGATGATTCTCTCTCATCGATGTTTCTAACTCTCTATCCCTCTCTCTTCCTTTGTGAAAAATCAATAAAATATTTTTTTAAAAATAATCCATAAAGCTTCTCAGAGGAATTCAAAATATAAGTTCTAAAAAATACTATTTACGTTTAGATTATTTTTTTAATTTTCCACTAGAAAGAACCAAAATCAATCAATTGTAAATGTATCTATTATAATGGATTTAACAATGATTCTGCATCCCATAAAAGATTTATAGGTTTGTAAATTCTTATTATAATACCTAAAACTTAATGAAAAGATTCTGGAACACTTTTCTAAAATGGAGAGGGTTGAGAACCACAGTATTCCAGATCTTCCAAAAGCTTTTCCTAGAAGTGGTTTTCCTGAGGACCCAATACAACAAGGAATATAGGATCCACTCATCTACCTTAGTATTTACTCATTAAATAAATGTACATGCTCCAAAATTTAGATCCTCTCTTTAGATTTTTTTCTAAGATAAATACTAAATAGACACTAAGTACATTTATTCATCAGGAGGCATTGGATTATTATCTTCCAAAGAAGGAACCACTTTATATAGTACATTTAATTGTTTTGCTTTATAGATCCTTTGATATCTTTCTCTAGATTTAAAAAGAAAAAGAATGTTAACTTTAATGAGGCTATTAGACAGTGAAAGGCACACATCATTCCTTCAAATCAGGAATAAATTCAAATGTTATTTCTTCAGATAGAACTCCCCTGACCACCCAATCTAACTATCCACCCATCTAGTTTAGAAATTAATCACTATCTAAAGTTATCATGCTTACAAACTGTGCCCTTTCCCCCACCCAATTACATTGAACACTATAAAAGCAGGATCCTCGCCCTAAATGGTTTGGCTCAGTATAGGGTGTCAGCCTGCAGAATGAAAGGTCCCAGGTTCGGTTCCGGTTAAGGACAAGTATTATACCTTGGTTGTGGGCACATCCCCAGTAGGGAGTGTGCAGGAGGCAGCTGATCAATGTTTTGTTCTCTTCGATGTTTCTAACTCTCTATCCCTCTCCCTATGTCTCTGTAAAAATCAATTTTTTTTAATATATATTTTTATTGATTTTACACAGAGAGGAATTAAGAGGGACAGAATTAGAAATGTCGATGAGAGAGAAACATCGACCAGCTGCCTCTTGCACACCCCCTACTGGGGATGTGCCCGCAACCAAGGTACATGCCCTTGACCTGAATCGAACCTGGGAACTTTCAGTCCACAGGCTGACGCTCTATCCACTGAGCCAAACCGGTCCCGGCTAAAAAATCAATATTTTTTTAAAACTATCTTAAATAAATAAAAATAAAAGCAGGATTCTCATCACCATTATATAGTTTTGTCCAAACCAATATAAGGACAAAACTAATTTAAAACACATTAGAACCTGCCCTGGCCAGTTGGCTCATTGGATAGAGTGTTGGCCTGTGGACTGAAGGGTCCCACGTTCGATACCAGGCAAGGGCACATGCCCAGATTTCAGGCTCCATCCCTAATAGGGGGCATGCAGCCAATCATTGATTCTCTCTCATCATTGGTCTCTCTCTCTCTCTCTCTCTCTCTCTCTCTCTTCCTCCCTGAAATCAATAAAAATATATTTAAAAAACACACATTAAACAAAAGACAAAGATTGATCATTTTTTAGGATCTTGATATAAAACCGTATTAAAATGGTCTTAATACTTACGGAATGCTTTGTCTATTCTCCATCCATTTGTTTTCTCTTCACGTTTAAATTTATTCTGTTAACAAAACAAAAAATGCTATAATTTTCTCCTATTAAACAAGTGAGGATTACGTTTAAACAAAACAACCATGAAAATGAAACTTATGGAAACATATGGTAACCAAAATAAATAAAAATGTCTTTACCAACAGACAAGTTAGTAAACCTTTTATACTGAGCTTTCTGATCTTCCTTATAATCAATAACACAAAACAGCAATGAAAGTCCACTAGCATGAAAACAGATCAAACCTATAATCAATTAAGCTAACCAGAATTAACTCTTTAAAAACTAATATATTGCCCAGCTGGCATGGTTCACAGTAGTTCAGTGTCAACCTATGAACCAGGAAGTCACAGTTCCATTCCCGGTCAGGGCACATGCCTGGGTTATAGGCTCAATCCCCAGTGTGGGATGTGCAGGGAGAAGCCAATCAATGATTCTCTCTCATCACTGATGTTTCTCTCTCTTTCACTTCCTCTCTGAAATCAATAAAAATATATTTTTAAAAACTAATATATTCATATCGTTAAATCTATTATATTATTATGCTAATATATTTTTAATGGCATGGAATAGAAATAAAGAAACACCTAAGCAAAATTTTGAAACAGGCCAGGTTTATCTTTGGAACCTTCTTTATATTAAGGCACATTTTCTAATGCCCCATAGCCAGTTCCACTCCAGATTAAGTCATTACAATGGAGATAGAAAAGATTTAGGCTCAATCCATCCTAAGGTAATTAAGATATCTAAGGGTGTAAGTTTGTGTCCCAGGATGTCTAATCATGCATATACATCCCGGGTCTGGGAACAACCTGCTAACTGCTCCTTTCTACAGATCAGTGGTCTAATAATACTCTTATTAAAAATATAAAAATAAAACTTTTTATTGAAAAAAAGAGAAAAGCACAGAAAACAAACGAGCTATTTCATGGCCCCCTTCTTCCCTCTGAAAGAATCTACCCAACAATCTGATTTTTAAAGCAATTACTTTCTTGCCAAAACCGGTTTAGCTCAATGGATAGAGCGTCGGCTTGGGGACTGAAGGGACCCGGGTTCGATTCCGGTCAAGGGCATGTACCTTGGTTGCGGGCACATCCCCAGTAGGGGGTGTGCAAGAGGCAGCTGATCGATGACTCTCTCTCATCGATGTTTCTAACTCTCTATCTCTCTCCCTTCCTCTCTGTACAAAACCAATAAAATATATTTTAAAAAAAGATAAATAAAAAATAAAGCAATTACTTTCTTGCATTTCCTTACTGTTTACCATTCAAGAGAACATTGTTAGACTCCAGTTTATCTTTATCCATTTTTTTAAAAAACTTATTACTTAAATATCTTTAAATCTACAGATTACCCCTCATTTCCATTCTTTACTTTTCTTCATAAACTTTTACTAAATAATATGAAAGTTTTCAGTGATCATCTTTCTTTCTTAAAAAATCATATTAATCTTTAAACATCTCAAAAATTAAGTTACATTCATAAAAAGTGACTGACTATAATCACTAAATTAAACCTTTTGATAAAAATGCCAATAGGCTCTATACAGTATTGAATTCTAAAATACTGCTACACCTACCTATCTATACACTGAGTACTGGGTGACCAGATTATTATGCTCTCTGAATGCATAATAATCTGGCCACTAAGTATACCGGTATATCCTATATAATATGAAATTGTCTCCTTGACCAGGAGTTCAACCAGCAGACAGGCCGGTCAATTGCCCATGTCCCCTCTCCATGGCTAGGCTGGCTGGACCCCACCCATGCACGAATTCATGCACTGAGGTTCTAATTATATATATATATATATATATATATATATATATATATATATTTTTTTTTTTTTTTTTTTTTTTTACACACACACACACACACACACACACACACACACACACACACACTGAGTGACCAGATGATTATGCATTCAGAGATCATAATAATCTGGCCATTAAGTGTATAAAAACCTAAACAACCATTGCAACCGAACGAATGACCAAACAGGCTGCGTGGGGCGACCAGGCTGGCAGGGGGATTAGTGAGGAACTACCAAAGGACTGAGCAGCTACCTGTGTGGGCAACCAGGACGGTGGGGGAAGTGGGGGGAGTTGGGGGCTAACAGGCCAGCAGGCAGAGGCAGTTAGGAGTGATCAGGCTGGCAGCAGGGCAGTTAAGGGTGATTACGCAGGCAGGCATGTGGTTAGGAGCCAGTGGTCCAGGATTGTTAGAGGGATGTCCGACTGCCAGTTTAAGCCCAATCCCCAGCCCTAAACCAGTAGTCGGACATCCCCCCAGGGATCCCAGATTGGAGAGAGTGCAGGCTGGGCTGAGGGGACCATTCCTCTCCCCTCCCCACACGAATTCATGCACTGGGCCTCTAGTTTTACCTAATTGGGAACACAATTCAGAACTATTTAAAAGTTTTTGAAGAATATTTTATATTAGTCATTTATCCCTGGAATCTAAGGTTAGTTTGACATTTGAAAATCAGTAGTCCATTTTCACTTTTCTACACTTTGCCAAAAGGCCTACTGGAACTACACTATAAACTTTTAGAGGAATAGCTTGAACAATTTTTGAGAGAAAATATCTAGTATCAAATTGATCATTAATTACTCAGATCAGCTTCTCTAGACATTCAATTTCTAGCCTTCACAGAACTTTAATATTTTGTCCTCAAAATTAAAAAATATTAAAAATTTTCTCATTTTTTGTAGAAATACAATGATCATTACACTGTACAATGTTCCTCAGGTGACCAATCCATGCCTAGCCCAAGGGGGGGGGGGGTGGAATCTATCTTTCTTAATGGCCCCTTTAATTAATTAATGAAGTTTAAGCCCACTGTTGAAAAAAGATCTCAACTATCAATTGGAAATGTATTTTCTTCCTAGGAAATACAGAAATTTATTTTGTGATTAAAAAAAACACCACCACTTAACACAAATATTCTACTACATTTATTTTCCCTCTTCATTATATAATTCTTCATCTTAGTTTCAGTGGCTTATTAGTACACCCTCAAAGATATTTAGAAGTGGACAAAACATAAATAAGAAAATACAATATTGAAGTTAAAGAAATTGTATTCATAAAACTCAGAAAAATTTTATTACTTTTTGAGCTATAAAAAGAAACAGATGTACCAAAAACATAATAGTGAAAAAGGGGTGGACTGAGATTTAAATCAATGGTTAAAAAAAATATATTAGTAATTTTTAATCTCTTTCCAAGCAACAAATGTAATGCATTCACTTTACCTTAATTTCTATCCTTTCTCTGTGAGGAAAAAGTTGTCCAATCATAGAAAAGTCAGTTCCTACCATGCTGATGGCTAAAAAAAACATATCTGTTTCTGTAAAAATAAAAGATTTAGAAAGACCAAAGGTTAACATTCTCAATATTTCAGAGGAAATAAACCTTACCTAAGTATGCATTTTGAGTTGAAATAAATTTGATAGTAGTTTATTATTACAGTGCAGTAAATTCTTTAGTCATAGAAATATGTCTACATACAAAATTATAGACATATTTCAATTTTTTTTCAAAGAGCCTCATGGATCTAAAAACCTTTTCTTTAAGCCCTGGTCTGGTAGCTCAGATGGTTAGAGCAGGGTCCTGATATGCCAAGATTGCTGGTTCAATCCCTGTTTAGAGCATATACAAGGAGCAACCAATAAATGCAACAAATTTCTCTCTCTCTCTCTCTCAAATCAATCAATTAAAATTAAAAATTTAGCTCTGGCAGTTGTGGCTGTTAGTTGGGTTTTGTCCCTTACACTGCCAGTTTGATTCCTTGTCAGGTCAGGGCACATACAGTTTGCAGGCTTTATCCGCACCCCACTGCCTCCATAGGGGTCACGCAGGAGGCAGCCGATAGATGTTTTTCTCTCACATCAATGTTTCTCTCTCTTCCCCTCCCTTCCTTTTCCTCTAAAAATCATTTTTAAAATTCTTTTAATTAAACATATCTTTAAACTTTTATATAGAAACATGGTATAAGAAATTTGCATGGTGATACCAAAGCAGATGGAATTTTTTTTTTAAAAAAGGCATCTGCCTACCACATCCAATGCAAAATTACTAAGATGTACTTAATTCATGAAAGAAAGTAGCTAGGCCTGTACCCCTGTGGCTCAGTTGAGCATCGACCTGTGAACCAGGAGGTAACAGTGCAATTACCAGTCAGGGCACATGCCCATGTTTTGTTTTCAGTCCCCAATGGGATGTATACAGGAGCCAGTTAATTAATTATTATCTCTTGTCATTGATATTTCTATTTCTCTCCCTCTCCTTTCCTCTCTGAAATCAATAAAAATATATTTCACCAAGTTTTAAAAAATTTAAATAGCTAGAAAAATACATAAGAAACTGTGGACAAAAGTAACTTCAAATGAATAGGATTGGGAGAAGTCAGAGAAGGAAAGTAGAGAATTATTATTCAATTATGTTTGAATTTTTTCTCAAAACAAACTATTATTTATATAATAAAAAGTAAACATAACTATGCCTATAAGTGGGGGAACAAGAAAATATAAAACAAAGAACTTATATATTTATAGGCATAGCCAATAAGTATATACTTGCCTGGACACAGGCAATAGGTGAAAACTTGGGGTGGGCGGGGGATGGGAGAGGGTGGTAAGAATTGGGTGGAAGAGGGTAAAGAGGAGGAGGAATGGAAGATATATGTAATATTACCAACAATAAAAATATTTTTAATTAAGTAATAAACAACAGCATGCAATAGACATACTTTTTAACAGCATAATTTTTATTTGTAGAACTTTATTATGCAATATTATCTGAGGCAGAATAGGAATTTGACAGAGAGAAACATTCTAACCAAAATAACCATAATATTAATTTCTAAAAATCTTCCTAAGATAAAGTTGGAATTATAGCTCCATGGGACAGAGATTAGAGGGAATGTCAATAAAATTAGCTAGACAGAAACGGCATTGTAGTTTGCACTTTATTTACTTAGGGGAGACCTGGTTTAATTCAGAAACAGAGAAAATAGAGAATCCAAGATGGCGGCATAGGTAAACACCTAAACTGCTGCCTCACACAACAATTTCAAAACTACAACCAAAAGACAAAACAAGCATCATACAGAACCAGAGGAAAGCTGGATGAATGGAAATTCTTTAACTAGAAGGAAAGAGGAAAGCTCATGGAAAAATCAGAGGAGCTGCAAAAGGCTGAGGTACAGAGACACAGACATGGCTGGCTTTCTCTAAAGGAAAGGAGACAAAAGCTTCCAACTGTGTTGAACCCCAGTTCTAACTGACCGAACCCCAGTGCCGGGTGAGACCCTGGGGACCCAGGCTTACCCGGGGGAATCTGGACTGTCAGGCAGAAACTCAGGGAAGCTGCAAAAAGCAGAGGTCCCCAAGCGCGAGTGCGCAAAGAGAGGTCTGACAACTGAGTGCGCCGCCGGTTTTCTCTAGTGGGTGAAAAATGGAAGCTCCCCGCTATGCTGAAGTCCAGTTCGGGCAAGAATGTTGGAATCCAGATTCGTTGGGGGAGAAACTGGACTGTCTGGCAGCAGGTGAAGCTCAAGGGTGGCTTACTCTTAGAAGTGCTTGCAGCAATTACCGAGCTAAGACTCCGCCCCATTCAAGCTGAGCACAGAGGCTTTAGCAATTTTGCAAATCTTGTCTCATAAGGCTGTCTCCAACACAGAAATTCTCCCGGTGTAGACACAGCTGATCCTCAGAGCCAATTGGCCTGGAGGTCAATTCCTCCCAGTGATACCAACAATAATCAAGACTTAACTACACCAAGGCTATATATACAGTCACAAAAGGGTGCATCTCAGGTAACTAGGGAGGCTGAGCCACTGTACCATATAAGACACCTAACACATAAAGCTACCCTACCAACTCAGGGAAGCAGCCAAAATGCGGAGACAAAGAAACAGGTCACAAATGACAGAAATGGAGAAAAGAAAACTACTGGATATAGAGTTCAAAACCACGATTATAAGGTTTTTCAAGAATTTCCTAGAAAAGGCTGATAAATTTAGTGAGACTCTCGAGGATATGAAAAAGGACCAACTAGAAATTAAGCGTACACTGACTGAAATAAAAAATATTATACAGAGACCCAACAGCAGACTAGAGGAACGCTAGAATCCAGTCAAAGATTTAGAATACAACGAAGCAAAAAACACTCAACTGGGAAAGCAAAAAGAAAAAAGGATCCAAAAAGTTAATGATAGTGTAAGAAGCCTCTGGGACAACTTCAAGCATACAAACATCAGAATTATGAGGGTGCCAGAAGAAGAGAGAGTACAAGATACTGAAAACTTACTTGAAAAAATAACAACAGAAAATTTCCCCCTCCTGGTGAAAGAAATAGATTTACAAGCCCAGGCAGTGCACAGATCCCCAGACAAAAGGAATCCAAAGAGGACCACACCAAAACACATCATAATTAAAATGCCAAGGGCAAAAGACAAAGATAGAATATCAAAAGCAGCAAGAAAAATACAGCTAATTACCTACTAGGGAGCACCCATATGATAGTCAGCTGATTTCTTAACAGAAACTATGCAGGCCAAAAGGGAGTGGCAAGAAATATTCAAAGTGATGAATAGCAAGAATCTACAACCAAGATTACTCTACCCAGCAAAGCTATCATTCAGAATTGAAGGTCAGATAAAGAGCTTCACAGATAAGAAAAAGCTAAAGGAGTTCATCAACACCAAACCAGTATTATATGAAATGCTGAAAGGTATTCTTTAAGAAGAGGAAGAAGAAGAATAAGGTAAAGATAAAAATTACAAACAACAAATACATAGCTATCAACAGTGAATCAAAAAACAAATTAAATTAAGAATCTGATAAACAAAATAAACTAGTGAATATAATAGAATCAGGGGCTTAGAAAGGGCATGAAAATTCTCAGGGGAAAGGGATGTGTGGGTGTAGGAAAAGACTAGACAAAAATCATACACCTATGGAGGAGGGGGGGAGGTAAGGGCAGAGGGTGGAATTGAAAATGGGTGGAGGAGGGTTATGGGGGAAAAAAGAGGAATAATAGTAATAATCTGACAATAAAGATTTATTAAATTTAAAAAACACACACACACACACACACACAAAAAAAAATCAATGGGAAAATATCCTTGGGTAAGGATTAACAAAAATAAAAGATTGTAATGATTTAAAAAAAAAAAAAAATAGAAAAAGAAAGAAAGAAAGAGAGAAAATAATTCATTACATTTCAAAGAAATGACCTACATAATTTAGATGAAAATCAGTTACCTTTATTGGACCATGGTTTAGAATAATAATTTTTCCTAAAGCTGGAATACGTAGTTGTAGAACCACGCTCAAATATGGGGTCATTTTCCTCAACAACACAGGGGCCTTTGGTCCTTAAAACTTCTACAGTTAAACTGAAAGAAACACATTTTAGATAGATCCACACTAGAAACAAGTAAAAGAAAAACACAGCAAATAATATTTGAACAGTAATATCTTTAAATTTAGTATGGCAGAGTCATATGAAAAGTACAAATACATTTGAGATATGCTTATTTTGTATGAATCTAAGGTTCACTTAAAATGTAATTGCTAAGGGTCCTAGCCAGGTAGTTCAGTTAGTTAGAGCATTGTCGGAATAAGCCAAGGTTGTGTGTTCAATCCGTCAGCACATATACAAGTATCAACCAATGAATGCATAAATAAGTGGAACAGCCAATCAGTATCTCCCCCCCACTCTCTCTCATCTTTCTCTCTCTCTCATATCAATTCAGTAAAAAATAAAATAAAATGTGATTGTCAGGGAATAAAAATAAATGTCAACTTTTTTTTTTTAATCCTAAAAGCAATATAAAATTCAGAAAATATATTTGGGCTACCTAAAAAAGTATTTGTTGCCGAAACCGGTTTGGCTCAGTGGATAGAGCGTCGGCCTGCGGACTGAAGAGTCCCAGGTTCGATTCCAGTCAAGGCCATGTACCTTGGTTGCAGGCTCATTCCCAGTAGGGGATGTGCAAGAGGCAGCTGATCAATGACTCTCTCTCTTCAATGTTTCTAACTCTCTATCTCCCTTCCTCTCTGTAAAAAATCAATAAAATATATATTTAAAAATAAATTTAAAAGTATTTGTTTTACTGACTGCTGCCTGTCTGCTATATTTAATATATATTATCTTATGTTAGACTCAAAAATGGATATTGAGAATTATAAGCATTTTATATTTATGTTTTACATTCCTGCAGTTAAATATGCTTTTAACTATTTATTAATGACCAGTAAAATTATCATCACAAAATGATAGAAAGCAGCCTGCAAAAACAAAAATCATTAACAGTATCACATTTGTGTTTAATTATCATAGAACCTATATGCTATAAAATGATTTTTACTAATTAAATTATGCAGGAAACTTTCTATCCCTCTTTTTTATTTATTTACTTACTAAAAACTATCTACTTTTTAAAATAATACACTTTGAAAAAAATTAAATAAAATAATACACTTTGGAAAGACAACTAAATTCCACAATGCCAAATATGAAAAATTTAATATTATAACTGAGAAATTAAACAATAAGTGAATTAAACCTCATTATAACAAAAGTTAGAAAATATGTTAACCTACATTTCATTGCATTTTTTTTTAATATATTTTATTAGTTTTTTACAGAGAGGAAAGAAGAGGGATAGAGTTAGAAACATCGATGGGAGAGAAACATTGATTCAGCTGCCTCTTGCACACTCCCTTCTGGGGACGTGCCCGCAACCAAGGTACATGCCCTTGACGGGATCAAACCTGGGATCCTTGAGTCCGCAGGCCGACGCTCTATCCACTGAGTAAAACCGGTTAGGGCTCATTGCATTTCATTAGTTACCACCATTCAACAGAATATGGTATTAGTTAATAGTATGAAAACTTGAATATTGACATCAAGACTGAGTCAATCTTTGAAACCTATCCTCAAAAGAAGAAAGCATATGATTAGCTGTATAGCTCGTCCCAATTACCAGTGAAGTTGGTAAAACAACAATGGCTAGTTAATGGCCAGGAGTACTATCTTTTGATACAGAATACAAAGTTATAAAAATTGCTAAAAAAATTATAGCTCTGGCCAGGCAGCTTATAGCATCATCCTGATACACCAAGGTTGCAGATTTAATTCCTAGTCAAGGCACATACAAGAATCACTCAATGAATGCATAAATAAGTGAAACAACATATAGATGCCTGTCTGTCTCTGTCTCTTTGTCTCTCTCTACAAGCAATTTTAAAATGTCTTTTTTGTTTGTTTTTTATTGATTTCAGAAAGGTCATGAGAGGGAGAGATAGAAACATCAATGATGAGAAAAAATCCTTGATCGCCTGCCTCCTTTACACCCCACATTTACACCCCACATCCTAGGCATGCTCCCTGACCAAGAACTGAACCATGATCTCTGGTTCACAGGTCGATGCTCAACCACTGAGCCACATCAGCCTGGCTAAAAGACATCTTAAAAATAAAAACTTTTAAAAATTATAAATTAATCTAACACACCCTTCTATGTATATCTATTACACTAATATAAGCATTAGAGTCTAAATGACAAAGATAGAGAAACCCAATCTCTTTCATTAGACATAGCACTTTTGCTCTCAAGAAACCACAATCTCTCACTCTCTTTAACTTACCTTTCTTCATCCAAAATTATAGAACCATCTTCTGCCACTTTTACTCGGGGAACCAGCAATGGGCCATCATCTATTTCTTCTTCCAGTTCTTCATTATCTTCAACATCAGGAGTACTCTTATCTTCTTGCCTATCAAAGGTAAACAAAGGTTGATTCATATATCCATGAGAAGTGTTTTTGTCTACTATGGACCTCTAAAATAAATTATTGCAAATTCAACCTTCTAGCAATTACCAATTTCCTCTATAACTTACGAAAATACTATGTGTTGCCCTACCTGGTAGCTCAGTTGGTTAGAGTTGTCCTTGATATGCCAAATATATAGGTTTAATCCCCAGTCAGGTTACATATAGGAATCAACCAATAAATGCATAAATAAGTGGAAAAACAAATCCATGTCTCTATTCCCTCCCTTTTCTCTCTCTCTCTCTCTCTCTCTCTCTCTCTCTCTCTCTCTCTCTCTCTCTCTCTCTCTCTCTCATCAACCAATCAATAAATAAAAGAAAATACTATATTTTGTTAATGACATGATTTTAAGATTTTCTCAAATTTCATCTGGTAGCATTTAATAAGAACCTTACCCTTTTTGAAAATAAAGAGAAATAGTCCTATCCAGTTTGGCTCCATGGATAGAGCATCGGTCTGCGGACTGAAGGGGCCCAGGTTCAATTCCAGTCAAGGGCATATATACCTTGGTTGCAGGCACAACCCCAATAGGAAGTGTGCAGGAGGCAGCTGATCGATGATTCTTTCTCACTGTTGTTTCCAACTCTTTATCCCTCTCCCTTCCTCTCTAAAAATTAATAAAATACATTTTTTTAAAAAGAAAAGAGAAATAAATGCTCTTCTTTTCTATCTCAAAAGCGTATCAGAGTAAAACATGTACGTATTTTAGAAGTAACTAAAATAACCCTTACATTTATATAGCATTAGTTCTCAAATCATTTTATTAATTCTCAGAAAAACATTTAGGGCAATGGGCAGGCAAATTTATTAGTCAACAGAGCCAAATATCAACAGTACAATGATTGAAATTTCTTTTGAGAGCCAAATTTTTTAAACTTAAACTATATAAGTAGGTACATTGTTATTAACTTAATTAGGGTACTCCTAAGCTGGCCTTTGCTAAAAACTCAAGGGGCCAACGAGCCGCATGTGGCTCATAAGCCACAGTTTGCCCACCAGTGATTTAGGGGTATTTTCATAGTCATTTGAAGCTTGAAGAAAACAAGTAACTTTTGGTCTAGATTTTACATAAACATTACTATATGTGTAGGCTACACCAAGAAGCCAAACACGATTTTCTGAATATGACTCCAAATCCATTATACCTTCCATTTAATTACATTGTCTCCTTAAAGTATTACTAAAGCAAACATACCTATAAATCTATAAAAACATAACACATTTGTAAAGCTTGAGAGTTCTGCTTTAAAATAATGTGGATTCTAAGCAAAACAGTAATGATTTTTATTTAATAAGCCTTTAAGTATCAACCAAAAAACCCCAATGTTTGTGCTAATTTTCCACAATCCCCCACCATGAATTACAAGGCTACAATAACTTCCTAAGAGATCTCTTACAGGGCTTTCTTTTTGGTAAACTAAAATGACAGTGCAATGTGGAAGGCAACAGGCAGTTTAAACAAAGACTCGTTAGTGGCATCAAAACTACATCCATTGCAGGACGGCATACACAGAACGCTAAAAAAAGAAAACAAAAGGGAAAGTAAGAAGGAAGAAAAAAGGAAAAGAGGGGTAAAGGAAAGGAAAAAGAAAAATGCTATATACATGTTTGCTTGAATAAACATAGATTAGATTTAGAACAATACATTAAAAAATTGGTAACATGATGCCTCTGGGGAAACTAGATGGCTGAAAAACAGAATTGGAGACTTTTCTCAATATATCTTTGTTCCTTCTGAATTTTGTAGCATCCTATCTAATAAAGAGGGAATGTGCTAATTGACCATCACCCTCTCGTAGAGGGCAGCACCCACAGCCAATAATGAGGGAATATGCTAATTGTCTGCCATGCCCTCAAAGATGGCGGTGCCCAGTCCCTTCAGCCCCCCAGCTGCCCAGGGAGCAAGCAGGCCTCGAATGGCAGCTGCCCAGACGCACAGGGTGGCCCAAAGGACAACTAAACGACTGAACAAGCAGTCTGCGTGGGCGACCAGGCCGGCTGGAGAGGGGAGTTAGTGGGGGGCAATCAGGCCAGCAAAGGGGAGAGGCAGTTCATGAACAGGGCCCCTAGTGTGAATATATTATTATTTTAAAGCAAAACAAAACCCCTTATAATTCTAAAAGCTTTAATGTAAATCATAACATTGGCCATATATATGTAATACACGAATAGCCTGGGGCTTTCCTACTGATTAAAATCAAACTAACTTTATTCTTATCAGCAATTCTACTTAAAAATTGCTATCACATGTAATTTGATTATAAAAAGAGGTTATCACTTGATTTCTTTTTTTTTTTTTTATGTATCCATGCCAAAATATATTTGAAAAGAATAAGATAAGATGCTTACTCTCTTGTCTGAACAGGTGTCAATGACTTTTCAGTTTTCTTTTCTTGCTCCAGTGAGGAACTATTAAACAAAAAAAAGAGAATATTTCTTAATAAATAATTAATTTACATCTTGTCAATTCTATCAATTATTTTAGCTTGCATTTTTTTAATAACATAGCCTACACTAGTATTAATGATAGTGTGTCCCGACAGTCAATACAAAAAGCCGAGTAGAAATGATTTGTTAGGCCCGAGGTAGGGAACTCTCTTACCCTCTAATTCCTCAGTGAAGACAGACTCCCAGTCCAAAAACATGAAGCCATCTAGTGGCTTATCAAACCATTCAAAACCTAGTTTCTGGCCTTACCTTCAACGAGGCCAGTGACTTTCAACCTTTGTCATCTCATGGCACACATAAACTAATTATTAAAATTCTGTGGCATATCACAAAATATATTTTTTTGCCAAACTGATAAAAAGAAAATAGGTATCATTTTGATTTATTCCCAACAGACAGTTATTATTGTGTTGGCTGTTGTCATTTTTTATTTAATAATCTCAGTGCCCTTGACTAAATAGTCAAGTATTTTATGTTTTAAGAATTCTTGCAGCACACCAGTTGAAAATAAATGGACCTAGTAAATCTAAATACGCTATACTAAAAACATGCCATTATTCTTACATCTACCAGTTAAACCATCAAATGCACAAAAATGAGATTTATCATAATCTGGCCTCCTCAGGCTAACTTTGATTAAAGAAGCTTTGTTCTTTGAGGATTTCTTAATCAAATGCTACTTCATTTAATAAATAGGTCACTCCTTTAGATCAGGTTATAGTGTACAAGAAATAGAAATTGCAATCATGATTACAGAAAAGCTATTTAGTTTTACTACATCTTAATAATGTAACACAGGAAATTTATTTTTAATCTCAGAGGTAAAGGAATCATTTACCACCAAGAAAGCAGTTACTTAAAATACCACTAATTTTTGTTGCAAAGTTCTATTTAAAAGGACATCATATTTGCTATAAATTTTGTCAACATGCTTTTGGAAAACATGAAATGTACTCTATAGAGGATATTCAAAGAAAGTAAGACAAAAACAAAGTTTACTCACGTCATTGGATTGCTATCTGGCAGGTAATATATGAAGTCTCTCATAGTCATTTTTGAACGATCTGGTGGTCTCTGACTTTCATTTATGGCATATTTGTTTTTCCACTGTTTCTAGATACAGAGGGAGGGGATAAAGGGAGGGAGGAAGAAAGGGAGAGAGGAAGATAGAAGGAGATAGAGGGAGATGAAGGGAAATGGAGAAAGAGAGAGAGAGAGAGAGAGAGAGAGAGAAGATCCACTTTTATTTTTAAATATAGAAGAATTTCAAATGTACTATATTCAAGTATACAGTCCACTATTGCATTAATTGCAAATGCTTGAATATTACTCCTACCATAATTATGCACAATTTTAGGGAAAATTTTATAAAATGAACATTAAGAAGTTGTTGCATATTAAGGAATTTTAAAAACTAAAGTGACTCAGAATGGATAAAAGCCCAATGTATAAAATCCTGCTTACTGGTGCCTTCTAACTATAATAATTTACTGAGAATTTATAAATACATAGCTTTTGCTTACCCTTCAGTGAATTCTATGTATTTTATAAAATTCTTGAAGCAAATATTTAATTTTTAATTACCCAAAGTAAATCTAATTAAGCACATTCTATAAAACAACATTTTTCAGGCTTAAGTTTTAGAGGATATAGATTCAAATGTGTAACATAAAAAAATAATAATAATAATCTCTCTGAGCTTGTATACTCTGGTATAAAAGAGTGATTCTGAGATAACAAATATAAAGCACCAAGCTAAGTGCATTCCTCTTAAAAAAAAAAAAAAAAAAAAAGATAATGCTATAATTAAAAGCCGACATTTGTTAAGTTCTTATTATTTGCTAAACACTAATCTAAATGAGTTTTACATGTATTAATGCACTTAATCTCCACAATTCTTCAGTTAGGTAGGTACTATCATTAGTCTATTTTACAGATGAGGAGATACATTCAGAAAGATAATTAAAATGCCTAAAGTCATATAGTCAATTAGGGATGAATCTAATGTTCATACCTTTAGTGACTAACCCCAGAGCTTGTATGCTTCACTGCTGTTACATTGCCCTCTTAGAAAAATAAACTTGAAGATTAAAAAGGACATGGACTCTACTATACACATACATGAATGTTTTTCCCATTTATAATTTTCCATATTGTCAGTTTAAGAAATATTACCAATCATTTTTGCTCATCTATACTGGCCTTAAATCAAATGAATGTAACTCATGTCATCTGGACATCCTCATAAAAATCTGATTAAAAGTTATAAGTATGCCAGCTGGTGTAGCTCAGTAGGCTGAGCATACCCCATACATCAAAAGGTGGCTTTTTCAATTCCCTATCAAGACACATGCCTGGATTGCAGGCTTAATTCCCAGGAGGAGCTGTGTAGGAGGCAGCCAACTGATGTTTCTCTCTCCTTTGTATCCCTCCTTTTTTCTTTCTCTAAAAATAAATTAAAATAAAAATTAAAACACACACACACAGTCCAGCCAGTGTTGCTCAGTGATTAAGTAAACTCATGAGCCAGGATATGGCAGTTGATTCCCCATCAGGGCACAGTCCCTGGCTTCAGGCTCAATCCCCAATAGGGGATTGATAATTCTCTCATTATTGATGTTCTATTTCCCTCTGCCTTCCTCTCTCAGAAGTAAATAAAAACACATTTAAAAAAACAACCAAGTGCCCTGACCAGTTTGGCTCAGTGGATAGAAGAACATTGGCCTGTAGATTGAAGGGTCCCAGGTTTGATTCTGGTCAAGGGCGTGTACCTTGGTTGCAAGCACATTCCCAGTAAGGGGTGTGCAGAAAGCAGCTGATCAATGATTTCTCTCTCATTGATGTTTCTAACTCTCTTTCCCTCTCCCTTCCGCTCTGTGAAAAAAAAATCAATAAATTGTTTTTAAGTTATACATATGTTTATATGTGTATCTGCGTGTATACTGAAGCTTCTATTTGTAGCCTTGATCAAAAACCATCAAAATATAGATAAATAAAACATATAAAATTAGTATAATGGGGAAAAAAGCTTAAATCCATAGTGCTTCTTAATCATTCTGTTAAGAAAAGAGGAAGGGAGATCAATCAGAGAATGTAAATAAGCATAACCAGAGACCATGGGGTTGGGGTAAACGCTGGGCTGGGACGGGAGCAGGCTGGGAGAGGACCAGGGGCAGGTCACATGTAATACTTTCAACAATAACTAAAACTAAAAAGTATTTCAGGGGAAAAAAAGGAGAGAGAGAAAAGGGGATACTCTGTTAACATAAAGGATATTATTTAGTTTTGTTCCCCTATAAAATGCTACAGATGATTATTTTCCTCCAAATGATATCTAACTGACATAAAAACTGAAATCTGACAGGCTACAGTCAAAATTCTGATTTTCCTCTCTTACCTTCTCTTTTCTTAATTCTTCTTTTAACATTTCTCTCAGTTTCTGGGCTTTATATATTCGGTATCTGTCAGAGTAAGGCTGTTTCTCTTTTGTTGGTTTTGGGTGTGGCTGTGGATCTTCTTGATTAACTGTAGATAAGGGATGAGGCACTGAAGGAACATTGACACTAGGCTTAACCAGAGTAGGAGTACTTGATATTCGCTTTCTTCTCTGTGAAACAGTAGAGGAAGATTTACTGGATTCTTCAACATCATTCTTACCATCAGTCTTTTCATTACTGTTGAAATTCAAAAAGAAATAAAAAGGGTATCATGGATCTCTTTAAATATTTTAGTTTTAAAAATTAATTCAGGCAGGTGCTACTCAGTGATTGAGTGTTGACCTATAAACCAGGTGGGCATGGTTCGATTCCAGGTCAGGGCATACACCCGGGTAGCAAGCTTGATCCCCAATAGGGGGCGTGCAGGAGTCAGCCAGTCAATGATTCTCTCTCATCATTGATGTTTCTATCCCTCTCCCTCTCTGAAAGCAATAAAAATATTTTTTAAACTAATTTGGAAAAATTCAAAACAGTAGAATCTTATTATTTTTTTAAAAAATCATTGACTGAGATGTATGTTTGTTATGACAGATGTTGGAATAAAAATTTTTAGCAAATCATTTTAACAGATATGTAAATTCTAAGTCCCTAAGCACATTACAGCACATAATTTTATGTTCATCCTGGGTCCCTTAAAACACACACACACACACACACACAAAAAAAAAAACACAAAAAAACACACCACAAACACAAAAACCTAACTTACAAAAACAAAGTTTAGTTAACCTAGTTTAAATCATCAGATAACAAAGTTATCTTTTTTTAAGTTAAGCTTATAATTATAATCCACAAAACTGATCTAAATTTTGACATTTTACTTTATCAATCTAGATCAGTTAAACCAAATATACACATCAAACCTTTGAAATATCTGAATTGCAGTTTTTGTTTTTGTTTTTGTTTTTTAAATATATTTTATTGATTTTGTACAGAGAGGAAGGGAGAGAGAGAGTTAGAAATATCGATGAGAGAGTCATCGATCAGCTGCCTCTTGCACACCCCCTACTGGGGATATGCCCGCAACCAAGGTACATGCCCTTGACCGGAATCGAACCCGGGACCCTTCAGTCCCCAAGCCGACGCTCTATCCATTGAGCCAAACCGGTCTCGGCTGAATTGCAGTTTTTGAAGATACACACTTAGCTATGTTAATCAAACAAAATTCTGTTTGAGGAAGAAATCATTTGTCTTTTGTCAGGCACAAATCTATACAGCTATCAAATGCTTCACTCCAAAAAATGTGCTCAGTAACTCCAAATTAGATACTAGATATAGTTCACATTGGAAATAACTATTTCAGGAATGGATAGAAAGCAAGGTAAGTCAAGAAGGGAGGGGGGTAAGATTGGTAGCCTGGCCAGTAAGGCTCAATGGTTGAGCATCAACCTATGAATCAAGAGGTGGCTAGCTCAATTCCTGATCAGGGCACAGGCCCAAGGTTGCAGGCTCGATTCCCAGCAGGGGGCGTACAGGAGGCAGCCACTCGATGATGTTTCTCTCTCATCAATGTTCTTTTTTTTTTATTATTAAAATTTTACTCATTTCAGAGAGAGGAAGTGAGAAAGAGAGATAGAAACATCAGTGATGAGAATCATAAATCAGCTGCCTCCTGTATGCCTTCAGACTGAAAGTGTCAGTCTTCAGACTGAAAGGTCCCAGGTTTGATTCCAGTCAAGGGCATGTACCTTGGTTGCAGGCACATCCCCGGTGGGGGGTGTGCAGGAGGCAGCTGATCAATGATTCTCTCTCATTGATGTTTCCAGCTCTCTATCCCTCTCTCTTCCTCTCTGTGAAAAATCAATAAAATATATTTTAAATAAAATTTTTTTAAATAAAATAAAGTTTAAAAATAAATAAGTAAATTAATAGCCCAGATGGCATAGCTCAGTGGTTGAGCCTCTACCTATGAACCAGGAGGTCAGGGTTCAATTCCCCCATCACAGATCGCCAGTATTGTGTGTGCAGGAAGCAGCCTATCTATGATTCTCTCATCATTGATGTTTCTCTTTCTTTCTCTCCTCCTCCCTTTCTCTCTGAAACCAATAAAACTATATTTAACAAAATAAACTAAATCCTATATAACAAAAGCCTAATATGCAAATTGAATGACTGGGAGTTTGACTGTCTGCTATGATGTGCCCTGACCACCAGGGGGCGACGTGGAACATGCTGGGCGTCTGAGACACAGTGCTGGCAGCAGGTGGTAGTGGAGGCACTGGGGATCCAATGGGCCCAGATGAGAGCAGGACCAATGAGGGATGGTGGAGCGGATGAGTGGGTAGTGCAGTCAAGTCAGGGGGGGGGGTGACCCCAATAGTCCTGCTGATCACCCAGCAGATGGCAACCAGCAGCAATGGCGGGGAGAAGGCTGGCGGGGGGGGGGGGGGGGGGGGGGGAAGGGGGGCGCGCGCAGGGCCACTGCCATCTCCCAGGCGATAAGGGAGCTGGGGGGAGGGGGGGAGGCCCAGTCCCAGTTGATTGCCCCACAGGTGGGATGGTCAAGCAGATAAGGGAGCAGTGCCGGGCCAAGGCAGGATGCCAGGATGCCAGGACGGCTGCGAAGCTGGGGGCGACAGCTGGGGCCTGATTCCAGCAGGCCACACCAAGGGAACCCACCCATGTATGATTTCATGCACAAGGCCTCTAGTAAATAAAAATAAATTTTTTTTTAAATAATAAATATCTTGGCCCTGGCCAGGTAGCTCAATTGGTCAGAGCATCCTCCAGATAAGGCAAAGTTGCCCAAGCCAAGGTGGTGGGTTCAATCCCCAGTCAGGGCACATACAAGAAGCAACCAATGAATGCAATAAAAACGTGAAACAATAAATTGATGTTTCTTTCTCTCTCCCTCCCCATCTCTCTAAAAGTCAATAAATATAAATAAAAATGTTTTTAAATTTTTTAAAAAGTACTTATCCCTGCAAAAGTACTCCGGAAGAATTAAAACTACGGCAATCCAAATTCTCTAATGAATAATACCACGTGTGGCTTATTCACTTCCAGATTGTTACACCTGGATTACACCCACAATCACTTGAAGTCATGGTTCTCTCCCCCAGAATCTATATCCTCCGGCCTCAACTGTAAAACTTAGTTCAAGCGAGGGAGTAATTCCCCCGGTAAAGTTCACCCTCTCGGCTGACAGGCCCGGGGATGAAAACGCTCCCCTCTTCCAGCACCTACCTGCTCCGGGGAGCCTCTTCCGGCGGCTTTGCTCGCCCGGAATCCGCCGGGGGCACATCTGTGATCTCCGCTGGCTTCGGGTCACCGGCCGCTGCCGGCTCCGGCGGCCGGGGAGCCTCCCGTCCCCGCTGGGGATTGGCGGCGGCAGAGCTCCTGGCGCCCACACCAGGCCTGACATTCGGCTTCACGCTAAGGCGTGCCCGGCGGAACATGGCGGAGCCAGGGGGCCCGGGGAGGCGGCCCACGGCCGCTCTTAGCCCCGAGCCCCGGCCGCTGCGCGAGAGGGTGAGGAACGACGCCCTCCCACCAAGTCACGAGCCGGCCCAGCGGGCAGCTACCGGAGATTCGCGCCCCCGCCGCCTCCGGATGCCTCCCGCCGCCGCCTCTTCCTCATGACCCTGCTACAGTCAGAGGTGGGTTCCCCCCTAGACCTAGCTCCCCGCCCTTGGAAGGCGCCTAAGCTGATTGCGTCATCAGCAAGCGCTGCGCGATGACGTAAGACGCCCGGAACCATGGTAACTGTCAAACTACAAAGTCCAGGTTACCGGTGAACCAGAAATAGAGGCGCCAGGCTGTGCGCTCCGCCCTCTCCAGGCGTCCTGAGAAATTGTTGAAAAGAAGGGGAAGAGCTAGTCAACCCCGCAACCCCAGATTGTATGGGAACTATTGAAACCGCTGGCCGGTTTTCTTTTTAGAGGGTCCTGTAGAGCAGGGACTGTTTATGAACTCATTCCCAGGCTTAGAAACTCTAAATTGAGATCATAGATTAGAAATTCAGAGGTGACGCAACTGATAATAGTTACCTTTTAGGGGGGAAACTGAGTTTCAGGGAAATATGTCCGGTGGAAGAGCATTCACTGTATGTGCTTGTGGACTTTTTAATGTGAAGGAGTACCCTGTTCTGGCCTCGGCGGGCGGGGCGGTGGGCGGGGGCAGAGGCGGGGCCCAGCGGAGGATGGGGCGGGGCCCAGCGGAGGGCGGGGCGGAGGCGGGGCCCAGCGGAGGGCGGGCTGGCCCCGCCTTCCAGACCCGCTGAGGGGAGACGTCCGCTGATCGCGCGCGGAAGCCTGTGCTTTTCCGAGTCGCTCTCTTCCGGGCTCGGAGCGGTGGTCGGCATGGCCCGTGAGTGTGCGGACAGGTTGGGGAGGCGGCAGGGAAGCCAACGGGTCACCCAGGCGCGGGTGGCGGGGAATCCCCTGTCTTCAGACCGCAGAGAGAGGGACGGTGGGTTCCGCTGGGGCCTGAACGGGGGCCTGCCCCCCAGGTGCGGATTACACAGGAAAGAACCCCTCCCGGAGGCGGGCGGTGTGAGACGGCCGCTCCGGAGGGGTCCGGCCCTGGAGGTGGTGTATAGCTGGCACTTGACATCATCGGGCCTAATCAACACCCGGCGCTCCGCCCGAGTCTCCGCCCTCGTTCTTTTGTTTAGCTCTCACCGGTCACGTTTCACAAGCTTCTGGCTTAGGGGTTGCCTTGTGCGATGTGTGGTCTCTGTATCTAGCTTTCTCGCTCCACCCGCACCCCGCAGAAGCCAGAACTTACTTTGGAATACTGACCAATGGATAGCCGATTGGAATGGAATGCCGCTTTTAAGAGATCTTGCATTTGCAGCTAGTGAACACCTTGATTAGTATAATACGCTTAAAGATCTTCAGTATTTACCTTTACGCTTCCTCCTGTAGTCAGATCTGAGACCACCACTCAGTGCTGTACTTTGCTGGCTCATCTATTGAAAAGCAAACTTCAGCCCTGACCTCAGTTTGGCTCAGTGAATGGAGCGTCGGTCTTCAGACTCAAGGTTCCCAGGTTCCATTTCAGTCCAGGGCATGCATGTACCTTAGGGGGTGTGCGGGAAGCAGCTAATTGATGTTCCTTTTTTTTTTTTTTTTTTAAGACACTGTCCTATTTTTTTTTTAATTTTTATATATTTTATTGATTTTTTACAGAGAGGAAGAGAGAGGGATAGAGAGTTAGAAACATCAATAAGCGAGAATCATTGATCAGCTGCCTCTTGCACACCCCCTACTGGGGATGTGCCCGCAGCCAAGGTACATGCCCTTGACCAGAATCGAACCCGAACCCGGGACCCTTCAGTCCGCAGGCCGACACTCTATCCACTGAGCCAAACTGGTTTCGGCTGATTGATGTTCCTTTCTCATCGGTTTCTAACTCTATCCCACTTCCTTCCTCTCCGTAAAAAATAAATAAAATATATATTTTTTAGAAAGCAAACTTAAGATGCACTTCAATAAGAGCCTTAAACTGAAATTAATAATTTTGGAGATGGGTAAAGAGCACCACTGTTTTTCTTTGTAGGTGGAAATCAACGAGAACTTGCCCGCCAGAAAAACATGAAGAAATCCCAGGAAATTAGCAAGGGAAAAAGAAAAGAGGATAGCTTGACTGCCTCTCAGAGAAAACAGAGGTCAGTGATGTTAATGTAATTCTGAAGTCACTGAAGTTTTCATTGTGGAGAATGGAATGCATTTTTAAAATTCTTGGTAGAACTAGGCCTAACCTGCAGGAAGGGATAGCAGTTGAATATTTGTTGTGCCAGGCATAATAAAACTATATGGACAGTTATCCCAACACATGGATGAAGAATTTAAATTTCTTAAGCTATAGTTTGTTTTGCAGAGAGCCTCACGCAACTCCACTACACGATTAGCACTTCATTTAGCAAAATTATCATTTAATATACTGAATAGGTTATATACAGAACACAAGTGAGAACGTAATTGGCTTTTCTGTAACAACTTACAGCCTTTTCTCCCATTATAGAGACTCTGAGATCATGCAGCAAAAGCAGAAAGCAGCTAATGAGAAGAAGTCCATGCAGACAAGAGAAAAATGATGACTGACAATTTGGAAAACCTGGGTGCTACTGCCAACTAGGTGTATTTTATAAGCTCTATGATCAAGATTTTGTAGAGTGAACAGTCATTACATATGTTATATCTTTATAAAAACTTTTAAACTTTATCTTTCAGTCTGACTTAGTATAATGTTTCAGGATCTTTCTTCAAAAAATAAAACACTAACCATGCATGTGACATGTTGGTGAACATTTTTTTATCTGCAGTGAGCACATACATAACTAATTAGAGGTAATGTGATCAGATAATAGAAGCTCTTATATAAATCTACAATCTTTCTCTTAAAAATTTGTTAAGGTAGGTCTTTAAAGTCAACATTATTACATAATAGAATTTTAGATGCATTCATCTAATTTTGCTTTTTAATCAACTGATTTGCTTAAAAATCTCTAGAATTTTTACCCAGAGCAATAAGCCATGAGTTCAGAGAACTTTTTATGCTTTCAGCCATATCTTTTATTTGCTTTCTTTTAATGAATGATTTTCGTATTTAAAATAGCCTATGTAGTGGAATACCTTTGGACTTTTTAAAAAGTTAAACAATTCTTACAAATCTGGGAAAAACTAAAGTTCCAAAAGAACCTAAATATTAGCATAAAGAAGATCTCTGGGTTATAATAAATCATTGAGACATATCCAAACTGAATGTTACTCATTTTATGGATAAATTAACTGTTAAAATACAGAGTTTGATTTTTTACCTTCAACATCACCAGACATTTCTTATAGATAGAAAAGAGGAAGAAAATGAAGGGTAACTGCTGAACTATATTGACACTTTATATTGTCAATAAAAATATCAGAAGATATTTTTTCCATTGATTTTTAGAAAGGGTGGAAGGAAGGAGGAGAGAGTGAGAGAGGAACATTGATGTGAGACAGACACATTGATTGGTTTCCTCCTGTATGGGCCCCAACCAGAGGGCCGGGGATGGACCCTGCAATCTAGGTACCTAGGATTATATTGACAATTTAGTTTCTTTTCATGTAACATATTTAAACAAAGTAATTAAAATATCTAAACCTCTAAAGAGGGAAACTGGTTAATTACAAAATATCAAGGGGAAATTACAGATGAATAATTGTAACAAGTCAGCAAAGTTAATTCATGTACTAACTTTAGATATTTCTTTGAGTTATTACCAAAGAAAGTTATTTAAATGAAGTAGTACCAACTTTACAATGTAATTTGAAAATTACCAAAATCCATGAAACACCCTTATAAATATTAAAAATACTTTGTTACATCATCCTTAATAAGAGGTAGTGCATTATTATTAGCAACCTTCGTAAGTCCTGCTGAAAATACGAGGTAGCAGCTGCTAGTTCCCAAGGTGATATACTGAGGTCAGTTACATCAGTTACTTGATTCCTTTTGAATGACTTCTTTTAGTGGCAGAGTAAGAAATTATTACCCACTTATCAAATGAGGCCGTTTTTGTAAATGGGCTAAAAGGAACTATTGATTTATAGCCTTGTTTTTCTAACTTTAAATATATATATTTTGCTCTTTTTCCTCATGTTTTTATAGATGGGAAGAGTTTACCCAGAAACTCTATTGTCATTCCGGAAAATGACAATATATTTTTGCGTTATATTTTCAAGTTCCACCTAGTAAAGAGAGCTTTTTTGTTTAAGTCAGATGTACTACTGTTATTTGTTTTGAGTCTACAATTGGTTTCAAAACTACTGAATTTAAAAAAAAAAAGAATATCCCCATAGTGTTATATATAAAATTATGGCCTTAAATATATGCAATTTTCACTTTTCAATCATACCTCAATAAAACTGGGGGAGGGAAGAAATATCCCTAAAGTGAAAACCTAACAGACAATCAGATGATGATTTGTATATTTTACAATTTGTGTAATGGTGTTTTTTTATATTTTTATTCATTTATTTTTTTTACAGAGAGGAAGAGAGAGGGATAGAGTAAGAAACATCAATGAGAGAGAAACATCAATCAGCTGCCCCCTGTACACCCCACACTGGGGATGTGCCCACAAGCAAGGTATGTGTCCCTGACCAGAATTGAACCTGGGACTCCTCAGTCTACAGGCTGATGCTCCATCCACCGAGCTAAACTGGTTTCGGCTGTGTAATGGTTTTAACAGGGAGAGCAACTAAGCAGGGAGTATGTCAACTTCTTTTGGAAAATTCCTAATTGCCTTTGGTGATGAAGATCTGTAAACATCAAAATTCAATTAAAATTTAATTACTTTTATGATTGTCATGGTTTTTCACTAGGTCAAAACTGAAAAAGAATATTTATTAAACTGCCTCCTACTGCTTCACCTACTAAAGAAGTACCTGTTTTATAATAATCCATATTGGAAGATGTTGTCTTTTCAGATGGCCAAGTCATGAAAATGTCAGTGAAATAAGAATGACTTACAGATTGCTCAAATGCACTTTCTTATTTTTTTAAGTATATTTTATTGATTTTTTTTACAGAGAGGAAGGAAGAGTGATAGAGAGTTAGAAACACGGATGAGAGAGAAACATCGATCAGCTGCCTCCTGCACACCTCCTACAGGGATGTAGCACAACCAAGGTACATGTCCTTGCCCGGAATCAAACCTGGGACCCTTCAGTCCACAGGCCCACACTCTATCCACTGAGCCAAGCTGGTGAGGGCTGTACCTCCTTATTAATTCAAGGAAGACTTAAAACTTACTACAGGCTTTCCATGACTACTTTGCTTCTTGAAAACAAAACCTTTTACAAAGCCTTTAACATTAAACATTCACAGACAACTTGTTATTAAATTAAGATTTAAAATTTTTTTTGCTTTTTTTTCAATTTAAATTTTTTATTGTTAAAAGTATTACATTGTGCTACACCAGCACAGCCAAGGGTTCAGCGAGCCTGAGGGAGAGCCTGTGAAGGATGAAGAAAAGACAAAGAGCTGACACTGGTTTGGCTGAATGGATAGAGCATCAGCCTGTGGACTGAAGAGTCCCAGGTTCGATCCAGTCAAGGGCATGTGCCATGGTTGCAGGCACAACCCCAGTAGGGGGTGTGCAGGAGGCAGCTGGTTGATGTTTCTCTCTCATGGATGTTTCTAACTATACCTCTCCCCTCTTCTCTGTAAAAAAATCAATAAAGTATATATAAAATACAAAGAGAATAAGCTTTGTTTAGGTGGACCTTCTGTGCCTGGCTGAGACCACAGAACAGATCCAGCTCATGCTTTATTTTATAGTCAGAAGTAAACGAGGTAGAGTGGTCACCATAGTTACAATATTCCTGAGAGTTTCACTTATTGTCGTTTTTTGGTTTTTTTGGTTTTTTTTTTTGCTGCACCTCCCACAGCCCATTATCTACCTAGGTAGGATCTAGGGATCTAGGGAGCATCATAAAGTCAAGCTTAATTATGCTGTGCCCTCTAGGCTGGGACTTTTTGGCTTTTTCAGCAGGTCAGTCTGAGGCTTTACCCTATAACCGCTCCCTACATTACATATGTCTCCTTTCCCCCCATTGACCTCTCTTCCATCTGCTCCCATCCCCCAGCACATGTCCTCATGTCTGTGTCCATTGGTTATGCTTATATGCATGCATACAAGTCCCCCAGCCACCTTCCCCGCCTTCCGAGGTTTGATGCTGTTCCATGCTTCTATGTCTCTGGATCTAACTTTTTTATTGATTTTTAGAAAGAAGAAAAGAGAAACATCAATTTGTTGTTCTACTTACTTATATATTAATTGGTTGAGTCTTGTAAGTGCCCTGATCCAGTATGGAACCTGCAACTTTGACTCATCAATACAATGCTCTAACCAAAAGAGACACCCAGCCAAGGCTGCACTCTTATTTATTTATTTTTTTAACCCTCACCCGAAAACATTTTTCCATTGATTTTTAGGGAGAGTGGAAGAGAGAGGAAAATACACAAAGACAAACATCAGTGTAAGAGAGACCCATTGCTTGGTTGCCTCCTGCTAGTATCCTGACCAGGGCCCTGGCAGGGGAGGAGCCTGCAACCCAGGTACCTGCCCTTGACTGGATCAGACCCAGGATCCTTTGGTCCGCAGGCACTGAGCCAAACCAGCCAGAGGAAGGCTAACACTCGTTAAAGCACTTTAAAAAATGTATTATCGGATACCTATGGAGTGATTTTTATTTTTTTAAACATATTTTTATTGATTTCAGAGAGGAAGGAAGAGGGAGAGAGAGAAAAACATCAATGATGAGAGTCATCGATTCCTGCACACCCAACTGGTCATGCACGCCCCCCTCCTCCTCCCCCCCCCCCCCCCCCCCCCATCGAACCTGGGACCCTTCAGTCAGTAGACCAATGCTGTATTCACTGAGCCAAACAAGCTGGGGCGAGTGATTTTTATTGTACTGGTTTACTCATATTTTCTAAATCACCTGCAATGAACACTTAAAAAAATCTCACCTGAGAACTACTGATTTTAGAAAGACACACTAATGTAAGAGAAACATCTATGGGGTTGCCTTCCATACGCGCTCTTAGGAGGGTAATCAACCCCCAAGCTAGGTCTGTGCCCCCCTTACAGCAGCCTTTTGGTGAATGGGAGGCTGCTCCAGACCATCCGAGCCACTCCAGCCACTGCAATGAACACCAGTCTTAAAGAAAATGTACTGTTCAAAAGCGCCCTGGTAGAATCTACGAAGATATCAAAGAGCGACATCGAAGAATTGAGAGACTACAGAACAAAACAAGAAAGATGGAGACCCCTGGGAGAAGGGGCGGGGGACCCTCCAGCCGCCGGTGGTCCCCGGGCCACCGTACTCTTCCGCTCCCAGAGGCCCCCGCGGCGGAAGTGGTCATTCTCCGCGGCACGCACCCACGCCGCGCACCGGCGGCATCCCGGCCATGGCGATGGGGGGAGGCGGCGGCGGCGGCGTCCCGGAGCCGGAGGACTCGGTGCTGTTCCGGCGCGGCGCCGGCCAGGTGAGGGCGCGGCCGGCTCCGCTTCCCGCGGGCGCTCCGTGCGGGCTCCCAAGGCCGGCTCCCGCGCCGCTTCCCCGGCCGCGGGGCCGGTCCGTTTACTGCGGGACTGGGGTCCGCCTAAACGTTTCTACGTATTTTCCCTTTTGGGAACCAGCTCCTTCCCTGCTCGGCTTGGGCGCCTTGATGGCTTTGAGCCGAGGCCCTACCTTCACTTGATCGGACTTTGGTTGGTCCATCCTGACTGGGGGCTGTGAGTGGAGGCAGGCCAGGGCGAAGCGGGGGGACCAGGTAGGAGTCTACTCAGATGATCCAGGCGTAGATCAGGATGTTAGCAGAGTTACTTGGATTTTAGGGACATTTTGAAACCAAAGGCAGCAGGTGTCGCCTATGGATTCAGTAGTGGAGATTTGAGAGAGAAAAAGTCAAGGATAACTTCAAGATTGTCCTGAACGGTTGAAATGATGGGAGTTAGTTGCCTTTACGGATGAGCTGAGATGGGGAAGACTGAAAGGAGAGCAGGTTTATAAAAGTGAAGATCCAAAATTCATTTTGAGTGTAACAGTGGCGATGAGATCTGATTGGTGGTGAGTCCAGGAGTGGGAGAAGAGAAATTCAAGGCAAATAGTTCAGGGAGTTTTATTCTAAATAGAAAGTATAGAAATTGGCCAATAGATTGAGGGGGAAGCGGGATAAAGAGGATTATTGTTTTCCTGTGTTGTGGTTTGTTTTGTTTTTATGATGGTAGGAACAGGTTTCAGTATGTTTATGGGCTGATAGGAAAGATCCGGTAAGGAGGGGAAAATTGAGGATGCAGGAAAGAGAACTGCTGAAGTAGTGTTTCAGCGTAGGTAAGAGGGGACGGATTTGGCCTTTGTTGGGAATATTGACAGTTAATGTGGTGACAGTTATATAGGTACAGATCTGGTGGGAGACTGAAACTTTTCTTTGGATTGTTGCTGTTCTGTCAGTACAAGAAGTATCAGCTAGGAGTGAGGACAGGGCAGATGTTGGAGGTTTGAGCAGAGAGGGTAGAAAGTAGGCCTCTAGGAGATTGGATAAGTGTTGGAATAAGGAAATATCTCTGAAATAAGTAAATATGAATAAGTAAATATATATATATGAATTATGATGAGTAGTGTTGGAGTGTATGCTGGGATACAAATCGCTGATAATGAGGAGGTATGACCCAAGATGGCTGTAGACAATTGCAAAAAGAGGGATAGTAGACAGTAGACTCTGTTGACAGGATTTTTAAAGCTAGGGATTTTAGTGAGGAAGGAAGGAGAATAATTTGGAAGTGGAAGTGAGGAGCAAGGAAGATTTCTTCCCCACATTTGGTATAGTGACTACAGGGATATGAAGGAGAAAACATTTCAAGGAAAGTGGCAACCCCAGAGAAAGCCAGATTTTAGTTACCGCAAGATGAAGAAAATATTCAGAGAAGAGGTTAAGGAGGGGTAGAAAGTTTGTTGGTTACTCAAAAGCGCACAGTGGAAGTGTTAGTAATTGAGAAGTAGTAGAAGATGGCAGAACATGAGGAATAACTTTGGAAACCTTGGCTACTGGTAGTGACCGAGAAACAAATATAATGGCACCCCTAGTCTGTTTTGGTTGTTGTGTCACAAATTACTCAAAATTTAGTAGCTTGAAAATAATCATTATATTATTTCTCATAGTTTCTGTGTGTTAAGAATTTGTGAAGGCCTTGAGTATTTCCCCTTGAGATCTTTCATGTGGTTGCATCCACATAGTAACTGTAGCTACAATAGCTGAGTCCCTGCAGCTAGGGACTGGCTGGCCATATCTTTTCTTATAGCCTCAGGGCTTCTATATGTGACCTCTGTGATGGGCTGGTTTGAATTTCTTTAGGCCCCTTTATAGTTCTCTCTCATCCATCATCTCCTGTCCCCAGACAACTCCTGATTCACTTTCTGTCACCATTGGTTAGCTTGCATTTTCTAATGTTTATTCTATATTTATTAATTCACTGTTCATGAGTATTGCGTTGTTTTCAGTTTGGGGCTGTTACAAATAGACCTGCCGAGACTACTAACTTAGAAGACTATGTGAACATGTGCTTTCATTTCTCTTGTGTAAATACCTGGGTCATTCATTATTTTAACTCTAAGAAACTGACAAACTTTTCAAAGTGGTTGTACATTTCAACTAGCAATGTATGAACATTTCATTTGCTTCACATCATTGCTAACACTTGGTATGGTCAGCCTTATGCTAATTTTAAACATTCTAATGTGTGGTAGCATCTTGTGGTTTTAATTAGCATTTCTCTGATGACTGTTGGTGTTGGTCATCATTTTATGTGTTTATTTGCTGTCCATATGTCTTCTTTGGCAAAGTGTCTGTTCAGATGTTTTGTCCATTTTTAAAAAAATATTTTATTGATTTTTTTACAGAGAGGAAGAGAGAGGGATACAGAGTTAGAAACATCAATGAGAGAGAATCATCCACCAGTTGCCTCCTGCACACCCCCTATTGGTACATGCCCTTGACTGGAATCGAACCTGGGACTTTTCAATCCACAGGCCAAGGCTCTATCCACTGAGCCAAACCAGTTTTGGCTGTTTTGCCCATTTTTGAATTGGTTGGTTTGTTTTGTCTTTGTTGAGATTTGAGAGTTCTTCATATATGCTCGATATATAAAACCTTTATCAGATAGGTAATTTGCAAAATTTTTATCCCAGTTTATAGCTTGGTTTTTCAGTCTCTTTAACAGTGTTTTTGAGCCCTGGCTGGTTTTGCTCAGTAATGGAGCTTCTGGCCTTGAGTTTCCTCTTAATTATGGGTTGCTGCCACAGGGCTGAGGTTTATGGTGAGATAAACCTACCTGCTTAGATATTGTTATTGGTGTGTGTTTTGTTTTGTTTTTTGTTTTTGTTTTTCATTTGCCCAATGTGTAGGAGTTGCTCAAATAATTTTTAGATTTTTTTTCAGAGGAAATTGTTTCAAACAACTGTGGATTTATTGTGTTGGTGGGAGGAGGTGAATTAAGAATCTTCTGTATCTTCATCTTGGACTGCAGAAAATCCATTTCTTTCCATTTAAAACATGTTTGTACTTCACATTTCAGTATTTTATTATATTTGTTTTACATTCTTTTTTATTTTGTGTGTTTTTTTAAAATATATTTATTAATTTTTTACAGAGAGGAAGAGAGAAGGATAGAGAGTTAGAAACATCGATGAGAGAAAATCATCGACCAGCTGCCTCTTGTACACCCTCCACTGGGGATGTGCCTGAAGCCAAGGTACATGCCCTTCACTGGAATCGAACCCGGGACCCTTCAGTCCGCAGGCCGACACTCTATCCACTGAGCCAAACTGGTTTCGGCTGTTTTGTGTTTTAAATCACTGATTAGAACATCTGTCTTGGGAGCAGGCAGCATAATTTTATATACTTCTCAATGATGAATGCTTAGTAGGTAGTGGTGCTCAAAAACATTTTTTTATTGAATTAAGTTTAAGTTCTAAGTACTCATTAAATTTAAATTCAAAAATAGAAATAAGTTTTAGGTCTTTTCCAGATTATTTAATATCATATTTTTCCCCACTTAAAACTATGCCCTTTATCTACCTGGCTGGCCAAACTACACCATTTATCTGCTCTTAGACGAGATTGAAATGTGAGTTATTCTTGACCACATCCACTTATGGTTGGTAGATAGGGATTAAATTGTAGAGCATTCACTTCATGGCGTACCTCTTAGAACATTTACATATGTTTTGCTTTGGGGATAATGCTGCAAAATCTCTAAGCAGGTAGGTTTCTTGTGGTTATAGTTAGGATTTAAAGTACCCATTTTTTAGTTTAATTTTATGTTTAGTTTAAGTTGCTCTTGGAATACTTTTTTAATGAAATCCATCCAAACATGAATTGTTTTTATTCTTTATCCTTCCCAGAGTGATGATTCTGACATTTGGGATGATACAGCACTAATAAAAGCATACGATAAAGCTGTGGCTTCATTTAAGGTATGAAATGTTTACATTTCTGTTTGGATCCTCATGTTAGTCACTTGGAAAAATTAATTGATAACATTTACAGTAAAGTATCAAAGTATATATTATTTAGTTCTAATTTTGAAGCTTAAAAGATAACATTGGTTAGTTAAGTTAGATGTTTTCCTTTAGAAATTGGTAGGTAGCCTATTTATATTTGAACCTTTTAAGAGAGGAGATTTAACTAGAATTTTAAATATTGGTTGTTTTTAATGTGTTTACATTGTATAAACGTATGGAAGTCATCTAATTCAGATTAGTGGAAGGATAGTTTGAGTTTTAATTTTTAAACATTTAATAAGCTTTATTGAAATAATGGTGATAAATAGCAGTAGTGCAGTAATTAATACTTGTAGAGTGTATACAGTGTTTTAGGCACTTTTTAAAAATATATATTTTATTGATTTTTTACAGAGAGGAAGGGAGAGAGATAGAGAGCTAGAAACTTCGATGAGAGAGAAACATCGACCAGTTGCCTCTTGCACACCCCCTACCGGGGATGTGCCTGAAACCAAGGTATATGCCCTTGACCGGAATTGAACCCGGGACCTTTCAGTCTGCAGACCGACGCTCTGCCACTGAGCCAAACTGGTTTCGGCTGTTTTAGGCACTTTTTAAACTGCTTTACATATGTTAAATTAACTTAATCTCCCCCAAATCCAATTAGTTGGGTTCCAAGTCAGGTGTTTCTGGTGGTTGGAATATATAGTCCTTTGGGGAGTATAGTCTGTTTTTGTGGCCTACATAAAACATTTACACAGTTGTCCAACATCATTATTTGACTCACAGTCTGAGGTATTTGGTCTTATTGAGCACCATATGTGAGCCCTCTTAGTTCAGGCATAGCATAGGCTCATACAGAACACCAAGTATAGAGTCCACTTCCTTCATGTAGTCATTCCTGTACCATAAGGTAGAAAAATCAAACTTCTGTGTCATCCTTGAAGCTGAATTCTAAATTTGTCAATACCATGCTTTTCAGTATGCACTTAGACTAGAAGTACATTAACTTATGGTTACCCTGTTAGTTCTGTAAAGTGCAGATTAAAATGGGGCTCAAAGCCAATGGCGGTAGCTCAGTGGCTGAGCTTAGACCTGTGAACCAGGGCCCAGGTTGCAGGCTCGATCCCCAATACGGAGCTTGCAAGAGGTAGCCAATTAATGATTCTCTCTCATCATTGATATTTCTTTCTCTCTCTCCCACTTCATTCCTCTCTGAAATCAATAAAAATATATGAAAAATAAAATAAAATGGGGCTCGATGTGGGATTGGGTAGGTAATATTGCAGAGGGAAGGAGTCTGAATAGAGGAAAGGAACTGAGTTGAGGAAAAAATAGTTTACTTCTAGATGTGTTGAGTTTGAGATAAATGCAAGATAAGAAATTGGTAATAGGAAATGTTGGATTGAGCTAAGGAGAAAGGTCAAAGAAAGATAATAGTTTTAAAAGTCTGTTTGCATAGTGCTTATTATTGAAATAATAGGAATAGTAGATGATCATAATCAGGTAAAGAAGGATGGCCAAATTTTGTTGGGATTGCCCAAGTTTAAGATTTGATCAGAGGAGAAATAAAAGCCCTAAATTGGGGCCCTACATTGCTATGTCATCCAAACTGTCATGCATATAAAAAATAAAAATGGTCAATAGCGTCTAATGTTACAAAAAGGTTGAGAGTGAGGAGACTTATTAAATGGGTGTGTTTTGTTCTCCCAAAAAAAAATACTTCTTTATGAATCTTTAATTTATTGATTTTTAGAGAAGCAGGAGAAACATCTATCTGTTGCTCCACTTATTTATGCATTCTTTCGTTGCTTCTTCTGTGTGCCCTGACTGGAAATTGAGCCTACAACCTTGGTGTATCGGGATGACACTAACCAACTGAGCTACCCTCCTAGGCTGCTCATGAATCTTAACAGTTAACAGATCATCTGTCATGATCTGACCACATGGTATCAGCTGGAGTGGCTCACTTGGGAGTGAGGAATCTGCTTTCATGATGGTTCACTCACATGTTTAGTGCTGCCTTCTGCTAGGGGCTGAGCCAGGGCAGTGTGCTGGGGGCCTCTGTTCTCTAAGCAAGTTCCTTCGCTGACAAAGGGGTTTTTAGAGCTGATTATTAGGTATGTGATGCCTGTAGCATAGGAGATGGTGGAAATAGCAAGTAGAGGCTGTGTGGGGTTTATAATAACTGAATTGTGATTTTTTTCCATATCATTTTGTAACATGCACATTTCTATTCTTATTTTCATAGCATGCTCTAAAGAATGGTGACATTTCTGAAGCTTCAAATAAACCAAAAGGCACCGCTAGAAGAAAAGCTGCTAAGAAGAAGAAGAAAAGCCAAACAAAGAACACCACCACTCCCTCAAAGCAGGTTATTTTTTAAATATTGAGATTTAACTTCAGAGATTTTCTTCATACCATTCTTATTAAATAGTGTAAAATAGCTTTAACTTAAGTGATTAGTGCAGTGTTTTCCATTGGCATGTAATTATAACATTTCTTAAACTTTCTATTGTTTAGGAACATGCCTGTCAAAGTATAAGGACTTAGTTGGAACTGATTAATACTAAATTCAGGGCAATGTTCACTTTCTATGGGAAGGAGAGGGTGGAAGGCAGTGCTGTTTGAGAGGAATGCCTGAGGGTCCTAAACTGAATTGGCAGTGTTTTACTTTTTAAACTGAGAGGTGGCTATCCTTTCTTCCCCCAAAAATCCTAAACCTATTAATACTCAGAATATTTTTTAAGCATTTGCTGTATGTCAGCACAGAGGTGCTGGACACTTTACACATTCCCTCCTTTCTATTCTTCGCAACAAATAAATGAGTTGAGGTAGGTTATATTACGTCCTCTTAACAGATGAGGAAAATAATACTCGGAGATTAAAAAACTTGCCCATGATTATAAAAATGGCAGAATTTATATTATATGACAGGATTACACTATATTTATATTGGAATTCACATTTATGTGTTTTGGGCTCCAAGTCTTTTTCAGTGTTTCATTCTGCCTTCCAGATCAGTTAACTGGAGACTACCTCCATCCCCGATTTTACCCCAACCAAACAAGAAAATAGTTTACCCTCTTTAAAAGAAATGTGTTTAGCCAAAGCCGGTTTGGCTCAGTGGTAGAGCGTCGGTCTGCATACTGAAAGGTCCCGGGTTCGATTCCAGTCAAGGGCATGTACATTGGTTGCGGGCACATCCCCGGTGGGGGGTGTGCAAGAAGCAGCTGGTCGATGTTTCTCTCTCATTGACGTTTCTAGCTCTCTATCTCTCTCCCTTCCTCTCTGTAAAAAACTCAATAAAATATATTTTTTAATAAATAAATAAATAAGTAAGTAAGTAAGTAAAAATAAAAGAAATGTATTTATGTGTATCTTTTTTGTTTTTGTAGTGGAAAGTTGGTGACAAATGTTCGGCCATTTGGTCAGAAGATGGCTGCATTTACCCAGCTACCATTGCTTCAGTTGATTTTAAGAGAGAAACCTGTGTTGTAGTTTACACTGGATATGGAAATAGAGAAGAGCAAAATCTGTCTGATCTTCTTTCTCTAACATCTGATGTAGCTAGTAATATAGAACAGAATGCTCAAGAGGTAAGGATACAAAAAATAAAGTTCTTGAAAGTAGAGACGAAATGAGAAACAACATGATATAACAACTTGTCAGTTTGATCCACTGAGGCATTACATTTTTCTTAATGAAACCTATATAACAGCAATATGTATATTTTTTCTTTTTTAAAGAATGAAAGTCAAATTTCAACAGATGAAAGTGAGAACTCCTCCAGGTCTCATGGAAACAAACCAAATAACATCAAGTCAAGAGCTGCTCCATGGAACTATTTTCTCCCTCCACCACCCCCCATGCCAAGATCAGGACAGGGTCCAGGAAAGGTAATTTTTTTACACGGAAAAGATTTCCCAGAAAATCTATATTAATAAAAGGGTAATATGCTAATTAGACCAGATATCCTTCTAGATAAAGCCATGGTGGCAGGCTGAGGCAAAGGCAGTTAAGGGTGATCAGGCTGGCAGGGTAGAGCAAGTAGAGGGATTAGACAGGGGAGGGAAGTTCGGGGCTATCAGGCTGGCAGGGGAGAGCAGTTAGGGATTAGTCACGTGGTTAGGAGCCAGTGGTCCTGGATTGCGAGAGAGATGTCTGACTGCTGGTTCAGGCCCGATCCCGCAGGGACAGCTCAGCAGTCGGACATCCTCCGAGGAGTCCCAGATTGGAGAGGGTGAAGGCCGGGCTAAGGGATCTTCCCTACCGTGCCTCCCCGTCCCACTGGCACAAATTTTGTGCACCAGGCCTCTAGTAGTTAATAATATTGAAACATTTCAACAAATATTCAAACCTTCCATTAGGAGAATTGTAGATTTTCCCATGAAACTTGTGGCTTTCGGTAGGTGTTAATAAATACACACTTGAGAATTCTTCAGAGAGAAAATATGATAGTAATGCAGAATACTTTATAATGAAAAGCTTTTCCAACTACTTTTATGGAGTATTAGGTATTAGACTAATATAATGAAATTAGGTTAGAAAGTTTGATATTTTATCTGCTGACTGTCCTCAGTTACCCAAGTCACTTTTGTAAAATATGTAAAAACTAGCGGCCCAATGCTCGAAATTCGTGCAAGGGGAGGAGGGTGTTCCTTAGCCTGGCCTGCGCCTCTCCAATCTGGGACTCCTCGAAGGACGTCCTACTGCTGGTTTACAGGAATCGGGCCTAAACTGACAGTTGGACATCCCTCTCACAATCCAGGACTGCTGACTCCAGCTGCTCACTTGCCTGCCTGATTGCCCCTAACCACTCTGCCTATCAGCCTGCTCACCCCCAATTGCCCCCTCCCCCTTGCTGGCCTACTCACTCCAAATTGCTCCCTCCTCTGTCCTGATCACCTCTAACTAACCCCCTCTGACGGCCTGCTCGCCTCCACCTGGCCCCTCTGCTAGTCTGCTTATCCCCCAATGGCTCTGCCCCCCACCAGCCTGATCACCCACACTGTCTTCCCATCCTGGCCTGATTACCTCCCAGCCCTTCCTTTTTTTCTCAGTGCTTCCTTGACCTGAGGCCAGGGCTAGCTGGAAGCATGCATCTGGGATTGATTTATCTACTATAATTGAAACTTTGTAGCCTTGAGCAGAGGCCAGGACCAGCCAGGGCTGGCAGGAAGCTTGGCTTCCTCCATCATTGGGGCAACCCAAGCATCCTGCTCTCTCCAGCTCTGTGGCCACCGCCATCTTTAGTTAGGTAATTTGCATACTCTAATTGGCTGGTGAGCGTAGTGGAGGTATGGTCAATTTGCATGTTTCTCTTTTATTCGATAGGATTGGAAGAGAGTACAGTATTTACATCTACCACAGGGCATCCTAAGGAGCTGCCAAACTGTTAGAATAATTGTAAATATTGTTTTCCTTTATGCTTCTTTTGGTTATAAGTAACAAATCAACTTTTAAAAAGATTTATTTTAGGTTATATTGCAGAACCCAAGTATGTCCCTGTCTCATTGTTTTGTATAAAACAGTGATTTCCTTGGAGGTTATGGCACTGAGGAAATAATATAATTTTAAAAATAAAGATATCAAGTATGATTTATTAAAACTTTTCCTGCCCTGACTGGTTTGGATCAGTGGATAGAAGAGTCCCAGGTTCAATTCCAGTCAAGGGCATGTACCTTGGTTGCAGGCACATCTCCAGTGGGGGGTGTGCAAGAGGCACCTGGTTGATGTTTCTGTTTATCCCTCTCCCTTCCTCTTTGTAAAAACTAAATAAAATATATTTAAAAACAAAACCAAAAAACTTTTCCTTAACATTTTTTTCAAGATCTTTATTTTTAATTCTCACCTAAGGCATGAGAATATTTTTTCCATTGATTTTTAGAAAGAATGGAAAACAGTGGGGAAAGAAAGAAAGACATTGATGTGCGAGAGAGACAGCTATAGCAGGTACATACCTTTGACCAGAAATCAAACCTGAGACCCTCTGGCACGTGGACTAACCATTGAACCAGGCTTGCAAGGTTTTTCTTGAAATTTACATAATACAGTTTCTAGAATGATCAAATCAATATATGTGTGTATCTGTATATATCGATGTGTATCATACTTCTTTGATCTTAGGGGCCTGATTTTCCTTGTTGAATGAGAGATTTACTAATTTTTACAATATATGCTCTAAATTAGCATATGTAACTACTAAAAGGACATAAATAAAAATGATTATACAATCTACATAATGAAATTGTTGGATATATTGTTTTATGATTGAAATATGTTGCTAAAAACTACCTCTTGATTTATAAGGTAATTAAAATACTTTCTTACTTGGATTTTACTCCCTGAATCTCTACACAAAGGAAATCAGAAAAATCTAGATTGAGTTTATTTGACTTCCGCATTTGATACAAGCAATCCTATTTAATTTTTTATTTGTTATTTAAATTCTTTTGACATCAAATATTTTTCCTCTTTTCATATTGAAGTTAGTAAATTAATCTTTCTTTGAAATACTTTTGCAGCCAGGTCTAAAATTTAATGGCCCACCACCACCACCTCCACCACCACCACCACCACCACCACCACCCTTCCTATCATGCTGGCTGCCTCCGTTTCCTTCTGGACCACCAGTAAGTACAAAACAATTTAGATGGAACTTTGCTTTCATACATAGGTTCTAATGGGTAAAAATTTGAACCAAATCTCAGGGGGGTTTTGCTTTGTTTTGTTTTTATCCTCATCTGAAGATATATTTAATGATTTTGAGAGAGAGAGGGTGACACAGAAGAAACAGATGTGAGAGAGAAACATCAATTTTGATTTTGATCCTTGGACCAGGGATCAAACCTGAAACCTAGGTATGTATCTTGACCGGAAATGAAGTGTGCAACCTTTTCTTAAAAAATACTTTTATTGGTTTCAGAGAGGGAGAGAGAAATAAAAACATCAGTGATGAGAGAGAATCATTGATTGGCCGTCTCCTACTGGGGATTGAGTCCACGACCTGGGCGTGTGCCCTTGACTGGAATCAAACCCAGGACCCTTCTGTCCCCAGGCCAACGCTCTTATTCACTAAACCAAACCAGCTAGGGCAAGTTTGCAACCATTTTTTTAGTGTATGGAATGATGCTCCAACCAACAGAGCCATCTGGCCAGGATGGGTTTTTGTTTGTTTTTTAAAAAATTTAAATATATTTTATTGATTTTTTACAGAGAGAAAGGGTGAGGGATAGAGAGTTAGAGACATTGATGAGAGGGAAACATCGATCAGCTGCCTTCTACACCCCCCCTACTGGAGATGTGCCCATAAGCAAGGTACATGCCCTTGACCAGAATCGACTTGGGACTCTTCAGTTCGATGGTTTAAAATCTGACATTTGAAGGAAGTCAACCAGTAACAACAATAAAATTAAATTGAACAACAATAAAAAAAAAAATAAGTCACATAAAATGTTTAAACATCTTGATTTGATTAGATGTATTAGAGCTTTAGGCTGACGCTCTGTCCACTAAGCAACACCAGTTAGGTCTGTTTTTAATTTTTAATGCCCTTCTCTACCAGACTGAGCTCATAACCCTATATTGCCTGCTTCCTTCCTGGTAGAAATTGTATCCCTTATTCTATAGGGAGGTAGTTCCTGTTTGGAAGAATTTAAGTATACTGCACACAGGGATTTATGTGTCTCCTTTCCAGGTGTACTTGGATGTTTACTTGTGATCAAGTAGACAATTTGGATATCTACTGGTAAACTTTTAGATAACAACAGTAGCCTAGACACTTTTTGGCCAATTGTGTGTGTTGGGGTAGGGACAGTGTAGATGTTCACCCAACACCTTTATTTTAATACTCTGGGGTGTTTTTTAAAGGAAAACCATCAAAGTATTTATGCTTGGTATTTTACCCATAGTTTCATAAAGGATCAGAAAAATACATCTAATCAAATCAAGATGTTTAAACATTTTATGTGACTTATTGTTTTTTTATTGTTGTTCAATTTAATTTTGTTGTTGTTACTGGTTGACTTTCTTCAAATGTCAGATTTTTAAATTTTTTAATAGATAACATGGAATTTAGGGAAAGATACAGTTAACATCCAGCACTATCTCCATAAAATGAATCTCCAGACTTCACATTTTTGTTTACTAACTTTAAAGTATATTTTTCTTCATTTCCAGATAATTCCCCCACCTCCTCCAACATGTCCAGATTCTCTTGACGATGCTGATGCTTTAGGAAGTATGTTAATCTCTTGGTACATGAGTGGCTATCACACTGGTTACTATATGGTAAGTGATCATTCAACATTTTTTCCCGACATTTTGTGGTTGTGACTTAATTATGTTTGTGACTAAAAAGGTAATTTGTTAGATCCTAAGGGTTTAAAACTACCTTAGAGTTTAAAAAATACAACTATTTGCCTCAGGCTTAAATTACTCTTCTAATTGTCTCCATTTAATGTAATTATAGTGCAGTTAAAAATCTTTCATGTGCCCAGCCAGTGTTGCTCCTGGTCAGGGCACATGCCTGGGTTTTGGGCTCAATCACCATGGGGGACATGCAGCGATCAGTAATTTTCTCTCATCATTGATGTTTCTCTCTCTTCCTCTGAAATCAGTAAAAATATATCTAAATATATATACTAGAGGTCTGGTGCATGAAATTCGTGCACGGAGTGGAGTGTCCCTCATCCCAGCCTGCACCCTTTCCAATCTGGAACCCCTCGAGGGATGTCCAACTACCCTCTCACAATCCAGGACTGCTGGCTCCCAACCACTCACCTGCCTGCCAGCCTGATCACCCCCTAACAACTGCCCTGCCAGCCTGATTGACACCTAACTGCTCCCCTGCCAGATTGATTGCTCCCAACTGCCCTCCCTTGCTGGCCCAGACACCCCTAACTGCCCTCCCCTGCATGCCTTGTCCCCCCCAACTATCCTCCCCAAAAGGCCTGATCCCCCCCAACTGCCCTCCCCTGAAGGCCTGATTGCCCCCAACTGTTCTTCCCTGAAGGCCTGATCTCCCCCAACTGCCCTCCCCTGAAGGCCTGATCTCCCCCAACTGCCCTCCCCTGAAGGCCTGATTGCCCCCAACTGTCCTCCCTTTCAGGCCTGGTCATCCCCAATGCCCTCCCCTGCTGGCCTGGTTGCCCCCAACTGCCCTCCCTTGCAGGCCTGGACCCTCCCAACTGCCCTCCCCTGCAGGCCTGATCTCTCACAACTGCTCTCTCCTGCTGGCCATCTTGTGGTGGCCATCTTGTATCCACATGGGGGTGGCCATCTTTGACCACATGGGGGCAGCCATCTTATGTGTTGGAGTGATGGTCAGTTTGCATATTAGACTTTAATTATAAAGTATATTTTTAAATCTTTCATGTTATTACATTATTTTGATTATACATTTTCTAATTTGATGACACACTTTCTAAATTATTTTTCAGTCTCATTATTCTTTCTGTTTTAGGCAGATTAATTTGGTTAATCCTCATCTGAGGATATTTTTTCCATAGATTTTTTAGAGAGTGGAATCAAAGAAGAGAAACATTGGGGAAGAGAAACATTGATGTGAGAGAGACACATTGACTAGTTACTTTACACACACACACACACACACACACACACACGCACGCACCCTAACCAGGGCCAGGGATTGAACCTGCAACCCAGGTATGTGCCCTTGATTAGAAGTCAAACCAACTTTGGATCAAGGGCAAGTACTCTACTGACCCATACTGGCCATGGCTCTGATCACTTTTAAAGAGCATTATAAGGCTATAAACTTATTTTTCAATATCATTTTGTTAAATAGAATTAGTAAAATGTCTTACATGAAACAAAATGTTTATTAATATCTGTATGCTATTCTTTTAAAGTTTTTAATTTTTCTTACAGGGTTTCAAACAAAATCAAAAAGAAGGAAGGTGCTCACATTTTAATTAAGGAGTAAGTATGCCATTATTATAGAAGAAATCCTTTGTGAAATTTTTAAAGTTTGTGGAAAACATATTTTTAAAATATGAAATTGTTAAAATCTGGAAACGTTAATATAAAACAACGTTGAAGACATTTGATGCCAAAGCTATTTGATAAGAGCTTTATCTATATCCCCTCTAGAATTATGATATCTATCATCTCATCAAATACTTGTTGGTTGGTGGTGTGGAAAGAAAAACCTACTTGTCCTAGCCAGTTTGGTTCTGTAGACAGAGCACTGGTCTGCCGACTGACAGGTCCCAGGTTTGATTTTGGTCAATGGCATGTGCCCAGGTTGTAGGCTTGATCCCCAGTAGGGGGCATGCAGGAGGCAGCCAACCAGTGATTCTCTTCATTGATGTTTCTCGCTCTCCTCTCTGAAATCAATAAGAATATATTTTTAAAAAGAATAACATACTTTTCAATAAAGAGATCCTTACAATCAGTGGTAAATCTGCTTCCTTATGGTCAGACAGCCAGATGTACCTTTTAAAAATATATTTTTATTGATTTCAGAGAAGAAGGGAGAGGGAGAGATAGAAACATCAATGATGGGAGAGAATCACTGATAGGCTGCCTTCTAAACACCCCTTACTGGGGATCAAGTCCACAATCCAGCATATACCTTTGACTGGAATTGAACCTGGAGCCCTTCAGTTCACAGGCTGTTGTTCTATCCATTGAACCAAACCACTAGGGCTGTATTTTTTTCACATATTTACAGTTTTGGTTCATATTCATCTATATTTTGATGTGAATGCCATTATTTTGTGTGAGAGTGTGTGTGTGTGTGCGCGTGCGCACACCTGCATACTAAACATTACATTTTTTTACATTTTTATTTATTGAATTGAAAAAGACCAAAATACTGATTTGTTGTTCCACCCATTTATGCATTCATTTGTTGGTTCTTGGATGTGCTCTCAAGATTGAACCCACAACCTTGTAATATTGGGACTGTGCCCTCACGAAGTGAGCTACCCAGTCAGGGCCAACATCACCTTTTTTATTTTTTAAGAATTTATATTGACTTTTAGAAAAGAAGGGAGAGGGAGAGAGAGAGAGAAACATTGATGTGAGAGTGGAACATCAATCCACTGCCTCCTGCATGCCCCCTACCAGGGATGGATAACGCTGCAGTAAGTACTTCCTTATGTGTAGTGATTTGATTCTACTCTGTCATAGCCTTAAGGTAAACTTCTGTGTTGTGGCTATTTGATAAAAGTTTGGTAGATGTTTTCATGTTGCCTTGAAAAGCAAATTTTGAAAACCATGTTTTCTTTTTGATTTTCAAAATGGGAGGTGCATTTCTGGGAGGGGTATTTTTTAAATTTCATAAATCACATTTTAAAGTAAAATTACTCAGGGAGGTAAAGAGGAGGAACATCTGTAGTAATTTCAACAATAAAATTAATATAGAATTAAAAATAAATGATAATTACCTATATTTCATTCTTTGATTAAAGTCATTTTTCATTTCATTGGTGTTCTTCTTTAGCTAGGTTATTGAGCCAAATCTAAAAGGATGAAGAGAAAAATTAGGTAGGGGATAAAATGGGTTAAAGTCTTCGAGACAGAAAGTATATAAAGCCAGAAGCATTGTATATTTCAAGGCCCAAGGTAGCTCAAATGCCTTACCTCTGTTCCTAATGCCATTTGTATAATTTTCCCTCTTTGAATCTGCTCTCTACTTGTTTCTATTACATATCTTTCCTCATTATGTTATCTCTATGTTTATATATTTGTCATTCCTCTGTCATTAGAGGCAAGGCACTAATCTCATTCTTTATGTTATATAATATCTGGCACAGTTTTTTGCTTAAAGAGCATAGGATGGAGGGAATATACAAAAAGAGAGAAATGGTAAATGGAGGAAAGATTTCCAAGTTGTTTTCAGATCAAATCTTTCACCCATCATGAAAAATTAAATATAAACTCTGCTTTTTGTTAGCTTTAAAGAAGACTTCTTTTTAACAAATACTTCAAGTAGATTAATGGTTTTGAAAGTTAAGTGTAAGGTAATATTGAAGATTCAAAAATTGGAATAGCTTTTGGATAAACTAATTTTTGAGATTTGAAATTTTGATTTTTTTCATTACTAGTTAATGTGTGATATAACTTGACCTTGCACATTTTAAAATGGTATATAATTGTGAGTTGAGCTATAGCCCATTTTAAATAAAACAAGTTCTTGGTTTCCAGGCAAAAGACAGAGGTGAAACAGTATATCTGAGTATTATTGAATCTTTGTGTTTACATAAAGACTTCTGGTTAAGAGTAAAAAAAATCGTATTTTATAAATCTTGGTTTCAGTACTCTCAGGTATCTATTGTGTTTTTATTGTACAGGAAACTAGAAACTGCTATGTGAAATTTTTCTCTAATATTAGCTTTTTTTTTAAATCACTACTGGGTGTGCTAGAGGTAGATATTTCATTTAATCCATATAGCACAATCGAGTTAGATATTATAATTATTTCCATTTTACACAGATGAGAAAGGCTCATAGAGGTGAATGACTTGCTGTGAGCCACACAGCAAATGAGGAAACTCTGAATTCTCTACTCAGCTCTCAGTCCCCTACCATCTCCACACAGCAAGCAACTTTTTTCCAGGCTTTGTGGAATTTTGTCCTATGTATACATAATTTAGGATTTGGTCAAGGACCTAAATGGAAATTCTATACAAATTTCTGGAGGTCCTTCTCTTCAAATCACTCTTTAGACTTGCCTCTTCAAATTCCAGCTGCCTTATTCCAAGACCCAAACTACAATCTATTTCTTCCATCTAAGAACAACAATACTCTTGACTCAAGTTTCACTTTCCATGCTGCCGTTTGAAAATTGTGTCCAGCCAAAAAATAGGTGAAAGTGAAGTTCACTGTATTTGTTTCCCTTTCTCAAGGAGTTCAGCCCTATACACTGTATTGTCCAGTGCCTGAAAACAGTTGTGTCATACACGGTAGGGCAAAACTAGGTGTACCATTGTAAAATGCAAAAGTTTATTCCTATATTATTTTCTATACAAACAACTGTAAACCTACTTTTGCCCCAACCTGTATATTGTGCCGAGTTTTATAATCTGGCAGGAAAACAGGTACACTACCAGCTATTCCTATTATTTTTAAATGATGAATTTTCAATTGTTGCATGTTTTCTGAAAGTTTAGTATTGCAGCAATTTTCAATATTTTCCATCTTGTGGAACACTTTAATTACTAAAATTTTGAAACACATCAAAAAATGTATTTTTTGCTGATCTGACAAAATAGATATAACTTTTATTCATTCACACTAGATGGCTATTATATTAGCTGATGTGATTTTTTATTATTATCATTATTATTATTATTATTATCATCTAAGGAAAAGAGGTCAGAGAGGTCAGTGCTCCTGACTAAATAGTCAGGTGTTGAATGTTTTAAAAATTCTTGCAGCAAAATGATTGCAAAAATCACTGGTCTATTGTATTTGTGATGGTTTAAAAAAATGTACTAAACAACATTACCTCTATATCTCTCAAGTATGTAGGATCAGTATATCACATTTGGGATTATTATATACATATATGGCAATAATCTACTTTTAGCTTTTTTCTTTTTTAAAAATAATAATCACCTGAGGATAATTTTCCATTGATTTTTAGAAAGTGGAAGGAAGAGGGTAGACAAAGAAAAACGCCAATGAGAGAGAGACACGTTGATTGGTTGCCTCCTGCATGCCCCGACCAGGGCCAAGATCCTGCAGCCAAGGTACATGCCCTTGACCGGAATCAAGCCCAGGACCCTTTAATCCCCGGCCAGTGCTCTGTCCACTGAGCAAGCCAGTTTGGCTTTTTTTTTTTTTTTTTTTTTTTTTCACTGTTTTGTAGAATTATTTTGTGTATTAATGATTAATTTTTAAGTTTGGTCTTCAAATTCTAAATAGTTCTATAGATCATATGTTGTCATAGTGCTTCCTCAAAAGAATGAACTAGTTAATAATGCCCTCATTTCTTCATACCTAATTGTTAAGAGTATCTACTTGTGTTTTTTTTTTGTTGTTTTTTTTTTAAATATATTTTATTGATTTTATACAGAGAGGAAGGGAGAGAAATAGAGAGTTAGAAACATCGATGAGAGAGAGTCATCGATCAGCTGCCTCTTGCACACCCCCTACTGGGGATATGCCCGCAACCAAGGTACATGCCCTTGACCGGAATCGAACCCGGGACCCTTCAGTCCCCAAGCCAACGCTCTATCCATTGAGCCAAACCGGTCCCGGCACAAGAGTATCTACTTGTTATAGTTCAAGAATTATTCTTCGTTGTTACTCTTTATAAGAAATGTTTTAAAATTTGAACTAATATTCAATTTATTCTTATAATTCTTTTAACTACATTGTTGCTTGTTATATGTAGCATTCTTGACAGGAAGATATACTTAAATGAAAATAAGACACAGAGCTATGTATATCATACTGCCTGCTATTTGTGTAACCATATATTTACTAATGTATAAGCATTGATGATCATCTCAGAGTGATACTTTAGTTACCTTTGGAGAGGAGAAGACAAAGCCATATGAGGAAGACTTCACAGTGTACCCTTTTGTATTTTTGTGCTGTGAGCATTTATTGACCATAAAAAATAACACGTGATTAAAATATATGTGATAAGATGTATCAATGTTTTAAACTTTTAATTTTTTATTTTTATAGGTAATTATACAGTATTCCTTAAGAAGTAAGTGCTTTTTCCTCATTATTTCTTGTTTATATTTAGATGTATATGTATTCCATATCAGTGTATATAACTTTTGTTTTAAATAACTGCAGAATATTCTTATGTATAAATGTATATCATGCTTATTTAATTGAACTCTTATGCATGGAAGTTTAGGCTGTTTGCAATCATTTGCTGTTTAATATATAGTCATTCTTTTATACAATTCTTTTTGTAGATGAGTACATTTCTAAAATTATCTAAATAA